TTGATGCTCGCAAGAGAGTCGGTTGCCTGGCAGTTGATGGTTCGTGGGCAGGCTGCTGCATCGATGGACTTTTGAGTCGACTCAAAAGTCAACTCTGGCAGTTGATGGTTCGCGGGCAGGCTGCTGCACCGATGGCACCTGGAAGCTGCAACAGGCAACATGGCAAGCGAAGGTGGAAGGAAAGGTGTTGGAAGGGGTGAGAGAAGGGGACGATTGGTGATGTGAGGTGAGCGGTACTCTTGAGTGGTAGCCTAGCTCACAGCCACTGCATGGCCAGCAGCAGCGCCATGCCCAGGCCTACTCCGCCTCATCATTCTCACAGCACAGTGAGATTGATGAGAACCTAACTGAGCCAACTGACCGAGACTGCACAGTCACGGTCGACAGCAGCAGCGCCATGCCGGACCCTCTCCCCAGGCCCTAACGTGAGCGAACTGACAGAGCATGCACAGCAACGGTCGACATGACTCATGAAGCGATTTTTTAGTCGACTCAAAAACCCTCTCCCCAGATCCTAACGTGAGTGAACTGACAGAGCAGAGCATGCACAGTCACGGTCGACATGACTCATGAAGCGCCGCCAAAATCCCTTTAATGATTGCAGTATTAACTACCAGAGTGGGGCGAAAACCAGGCACATAACTGGCAGCGGGTGACTGACGGCTTTGCTGTGAGGCCAACGACCATGCCTCAACGGCAGCAGCAGCTCCGCTCCCCGCGCGAGGGTTTACTGCCGCGTGTCACATGGCCCGCCAGGGATCGGTAGTCCTTGTGAGCGATTCCGCCAATCACTGCGCTGATGAAGGCTTTGTTGCCGAAACGCGTACGCACGCACATCCGCCCTTAAACAACACATGGCCCGCCAGGGATCGGTAGTCCTTGTCAGCGATTCTTGAGAATGACAATGACAAGGCCGCCATGGCCTTGGTAGTTCAAAATCTGTGTGTCACATCGCTTGCCAGGGATGAGTAGTATGGCGCAGCTGAACTTGGGAAGGCTGGCTGGGGCGACTGGGGATGTGGGAAGTGGTTAGGTCAGTTAGGGTGGCTAGGATTCAACAGACAAGCTGTGGCATGGCTGTGGCTCGGGGGTTGGGCCGATTACGGAGGCTGGAGCGGCGAGTGGGAGGTGCTTTCGATAGATTAGCAGGTGGGAGATGGTTAGGTCGGGTAGGATGGTTGGGGGCTTGGCATGGCGGAGGTTTGAGCGGTTCGGGTGTCAGATCAGATCAGACCAGTTAGGGAGGCTGGGACGGCTGCGGAAATGGGAGATGCGGACGATATGAGACGCGGAGGTATGGGGTGACACTAAGAGCGAGAGAGAGAGAGCGCAGGGAGGGTCAGTGCAGGGGAGGGGGACGCAAGAGGAGGGGGGGTGGGAGCCTGGGGGTAGGGGATATGCTGCGACATGCACGGCAAGCATGGTGGCAATCTCGGGTCGCAGGTAACAGCAAGCTGACAAGCTCGCGTGGCGGAGATATGCGCGTGGCGGAGCTGCGGATGGCGGAGCTGCACGCGTGTCGGAGCGCGGATCTCGCTGTTGTCCCTCTGCCGCCATCGCCGAGCAAAGAAACGAGACTGCACGCAATGCGAGTCGCATGACTGCGAGTCGCAGCGAGGAGCAAGGCAGCGGCACGACATGGGAGGGTGGATGTCCTCGGGGCGTGCGTGACTTATCTGTTTGTAAATCACACATTTGACTCAAAACTCGACTTATCACACGTGGATGTCCTCGGGGTGTGCGCTTCGATGCGACGAGAGAGCTTTTTTGGAGAATTTTCAAAGACGAGAGACATTGGAGATCATTTGAGGCTTACTGCGCATGCGCTCTAAACCATCATCCCCCCTCTTTCCTCTCCCTTCTCTGCCACGTACTGTTGAAGCATGACGCGACGGGGCGCGCAGCAGCGGCATGGGTGGAGGAGGAATGGAAAGTTTCATGTCAGCACAATAACCCGACTGTTGAAGCATGACGCGACGGGGCACGCGGCAGCGGAGTCGCTGCGCGGCGTCGAAATGGAATTTCGCTCTCTCGGTCGGTCGGAAGTCCTCGGCGTCCTCGCCTTGTTTCTGAGCCCCCCTGCCCTGCCGCCGAGCGACTTCGACATTTTGCCACGTCAGCTTGGTAGAGCAAGGCAAGTCGCGGATCGCGTCACCGTAAGTAACGCCCTTAGGGTGTGCTCACCATCAGCAGATTGTCGCAGTCACTACGAGACTGAGGTAGCTGATTAGAGATTCTTTCTCGATTGTGGAAGGACTAAAATGACTGGTCCAAATGTGAAATTGATAACCAGATTCGGAAATCGATGCTTGCGCTACTCACAGAGACGAATACTCCTCATATCGGATCAGATTGAAAACGGGATTCCAGTTTCTTCCAATTTCTTGAAGCGGGGTGAAGAAAGCTACAGTGGTCAACATGTTTTTGCGAGACGTTGACTGAAAATTCGTGAGTTTGACTCACCAGCGGCCTCTGATTGTTCATTGCTCCATTCCTTACAGTTTGAGTCATCGCGCCGTGCAAAAACATTGCCTTGTGTTGGCGACGCGACGAGGGTACAAGAATGCATGCGGCATTCAGCAACTCATTTATTCAGTCTTCCTCATTTTGATTCACTTCACTTCAGCCTAAAGTTAGGACAAAGCTTTCCGACTCTTACTGAAACTGCTTCCGGTCTTCACTTCCAAGCTCCTGGGCAGCTAGATTTCTCCTGAACAGCTGGGTTTCCTTCTCCGTTGGAATATTTGCTGCATCGTAGGCATCGCGCAGAATGGCATTTTCGTCGATCCAGCGTCGTCGCCGTGACCTGAGCACGGCTCCTCTCCTCATCTCGCTCGTCCTGCTCTCATCTCTCCACGCGGCGATGGCCTTCCGCTTCTCCGCGGGGCTCCGCGCAGATAAGCTGCGCGGGATGATGCGCGGATGGGCGCAAGGAGGCTCGACCGGCCAGCAGCAACAACAAAGTGGTGGAACGAGCGGAGGAGGAATGAGCGGAGGCGGAACGGGCGGCGGAAGAATGGGCGGCGGCGGCATGGGCGGCGGCGGAATGGGCGGCGGCGGAATGGGCGGCGGCGGAATTGGCGGAGGCGGAATGGGCGGCGGAGGAATGGGCGGCGGCGGTATGGGCGGTGGCGGAATGGGCGGAGGCGGCATGGGTGGCGGTGGAATGGGAGGTGGCGGAATGGGCGGCGGCGGAATGGGCGGAGGAATGGCCGGACCTGGTTCCTCTGCTCCCGGATCGCAATCAGCCATGGGTCCTGGGGGGAACATGGGTGGCGGCGGAATGGGCGGCCGCGGCGGCATGGGTGGCGGCGGAACGGGTGGCGGCAGAATGGGCGGCGACGGCATGGGCGGCGGCGGAATGGGCGGAGGCGGAATGGGCGGCGGCACCATGGGTGGCGGCGGAATGGGCGGCGGAGGAATGGGCGGCGGCGGTATGGGCGGAGGCGGCATGGGCGGCGGTGGAATGGGCGGTAGCGGCATGGGAGGAGGCATGGGCGGACCTGGTTCCTCTGCTCCCGGATCGCAATCAGCCATGGGTCCTGGGGGAGGCATGGGCGGCGGAGGCATGGGCGGGTCAGGGTGGTTTGCTCCAGGGTCGCAGGCAGCACCCGGCCAGGGTGGACCTGGGATGGGCGGAGGGATGGGCGGAGGGATGGGCGGAGGGATGGGGGGAGGGATGGGCGGAGGGATGGGCGGAGGGATGGGCGGAGGGATGGGCGGAGGGATGGGGGGAGGGATGGGCGGAGGGATGGGGGGAGGGATGGGCGGAGGGATGGGCGGAGGGATGGGGGGAGGGATGGGCTGAGGGATGGGGGGAGGGGGGATGGGCGGAGGGATGGGCGGAGGGATGGGCGGAGGGATGGGCGGAGGGATGGGAGGAGGAATGGGCTGAGGGATGGGAGGGCCTGGAGGCAACATGGGAGGCGGTATGGGCGGATCAGGCTCGTATTCTCCTTGGTGCGAGGCATGCATGGTTCATGGAACGGGCACAGGCATGGGGTATTCAAGGTCCAAAGAAGAAGTTCAATTCAGTTATGGTACTGGTACCGGTACTAGGTGGCTTTACCATATGGGGAAGCGCAAGAGATTTGCAAGTGGGGCAGGGGTTGCAATGGCATCGATGCAAGAGCCTAGGGGTTCCATGCTTGCTGTCATTGCCGGAGCTTGGATGCAGCAGCACATGCACTGATGCATGGGGGCTATCAGTGTAGTGCTGCTTCGTCCAAGCTTGTAGCAGCCAGACAGTGTGGTGTGGACCGTAGGATGCATTAATACCGGTATCATTTGCGGGTTCTTTGTGTCTACTTGTGAAGGGAATGTGTGTGCATTTTTCTGATTTGTGGCAATTTTGTGAAGGTTGAAACACGACTTGTGTGCAAGAGCAAATCACGCATACCATGTGGAGTGTAAGCATGTGTGGTTGTTGAGTTTCAGTTAGCCATGGCAGCTGTGCAGTCAAGAGAATAATATTACTTAGCGCCTCTTGAAAGCAACCGTCGGAGAATAATCATATTTGGCATCCACATGCGTGCGCTGTGCAGGAAAGGCATACAGGAAACACAGCATGGTATATTGACTAATGGATACACATAGAGACTGTACAGCAGTGCGGAAAGCCAAGTTGGTGAACATTCAGTCCGTAACGAGACCAGCAAGAACATGCCCATGTCTTTTATGTGCCGGGATCTGCTGCTGGTCCCTACTAGTTCTCTGCCTCGTTAAAAGGCACCTTAGGACACTAGTAGCTTTCCTCTGCTTCGATGTCTGGCCGGGAGAGAGTGTAGTTGAGGGCGTTGAGTGTGAGCTGGGAGGGGGTGGGGAGAGGAGGGAGGGAGCGAGAGATTGAGAAGGGACGAAAGAGAACCGAATGGAAAATGAGAGCAAATGGGTTAGTTATAACAGAGAGTTAGTTATAACAACTCTCAGAAGTATTAAGAAAGGTGGATGACATGGGCTGTCAGCCAGGATGACAGAGAAAGGAAGGAGGGGGACACCGATTAGAGGAGAAAAGAGAGACGATTGAAGGAGGAGACTTGGAAACTGAGGGATTGCGCTTGAGAGCCCTAAGAGTCAGGCAGGAGAAAGGAGAAAGAGGAGGAGGTGTGAAGGGGGAGGAGGTACATGCATGATGGAGCATGCAGAGACAAGAGTAGGGAGTGCATCATCTAAGCAGCAGGTGGGTGCTTCATTTGACGTCTCGTGGCCTGAGTGGAGTGTAAGGAACAACGTATACCTCCAAGTCATACCCACAGCTTTGATAAACGAAGATGATGCTGGAGCGCACAATGGCCCGATGGTGGTTGTTTCATCTCAGCATGTTCCTATTAACTCACCATGCTCGTTACATCTCACTGCGCTAGCTTCATCTTTCTGTGCTTGATTTCATCTCACCGTGCTCGTTTCATCTCAGCATGCTCGTTTCATCCCACCGTGCTCCTCTAATTTCACCATTCTTGCTTCACCTCACCAAGCTCGATTCATGTCATCATGCTCGTTTCATCTCACCGTGCTCGTTTCATCTCACCATAGTCATCTCATCATCCAGTGGCCCCCCATGGTACGACACCGTGAACACATCCTTCGCCACCACGCCCTGACCGCACAGACATGGAGGATGGGAAACGATAAATGTTGTGTGAAATGTGAAATACTGTCAACTCATCCTTCGCCACCACTCCCTGCATGTGCATAGAAGGGAGATACATACAACATGGGTGGTGGTCATTACAGTGCAGTGTGGGAAGCGTGGCAGAGGGACCACATCCGTCATCAGAACATGTGCTGGGGCACGGGCATGAGTGATCAGGTGCATGCATGCATATACTGAAAAGAGGCATACACGGCACGGCACGGATGCACCGTCATTCTGCTGCAGGGTTTTTCTGAGAGTCCTAAAAAAAACCCTGCAGCACCCTGGGGCACGGGCATGAGTGCACGGGTGCACGCATGCATATACTGAAAAGAGGCATGCAAGGCACGGCACGGATGCACCGTCATTCACAGCAGCACTAATAGAAAGCGAATCCTTCGCCATCACATGCTGCTGGGGGAGGGGTGTGCAGGCCCCTCATCCTCCTCCCCCCCCCCCCCCCCCCCCCCACGATGCCCCATTCACCTCAGCACCCGTCTAAACCTACGTCACACCCACCTCGGTGTCGATCTCTGCTGATGTCACACCCACCTCGGTGTCGATCTCTGCTGATGTCACACCCACCTCGGTGTCGATCTCTGCTGATGTCACGCTGACGGACATCCCTGTGAGCACATCCACGATCTCCATCAGCAGCCCCGGCCGGTCCGCCGCCTCCACCCTCAACTCGCTGCCCGTGTTGTCCGGGAGGGCTGTGATCGCCATGCGTGTTGGCACACTCGACTGTGGGGGTTGCGATGGGATGGCAGCACACGTGAAGGGGGTTAATGTAAGTATTCACTGCCGGTCTGCCACCCCCACCCTCAGCTCACTCCGGCTGCTGTCCGAGAGGGGCGTGAGCGTCATGTGCGTTGGCACGCTCGCCTGTGAGGGATGGGAGCACACGTGAGGGGAGAATATGCATGCATCAATCACTGGTCTGCTGGCTGCCTCCACGCTCAGCTTGCTGCCCTGTCAGGGGCACGAGTGGCGTGTGCGTTGGCACGCTCGCCTGTGAGGGATGTGAGCGGGAATAACCGAGACGATGTGCGAGCACTCAGAAGCCCGAAGAAGCCTGATAGCAGGGTGGCAGCGTGGGGAAGCACGGCCGGGCGAAGGCTGAAGGAGAACAGGGAGAAGGGAGCAGCAGTCAACGTGGAGGAGAAAACTGGGTCAGGTAAGTGAGCAGGCACCTGTGGTGCAGCATTGCACGTGCTTGGTTTTTGAGTCGACTCAAAAATCGACTTATCACGCACGTGCTTGGAGGTTCCATCCAGAAGCACGTGTTGCTGCGAGAGCTCACAAACCCACACGATGTCGCTGGTGCAGTCGCTAATAGAGATTTGACACGTGTACAATGCATGTGGGGTGAGTACACCTGTATGATGCATGTGGGGTGAGTACCCCTGTATGATGCATGTGGGGTGAGTACACCTGTATGATGCATGTGGGGTGAGTACCCCTGTAGAATGCATGTGGGGTGAGTACACCTGTCCTGTACAATGCATGTGGGGTGAGTACACCTGTCCTGTACAATGCATGTGGGGTGAGTACACCTGTCCTGTACAATGCATGTGGGTGAGTGAACAAGTACGGTGGGCCCACACCAGTGCTCCACCCCCCACACCAGTGCTCCACCCAAGCCTCTCGACCCTCGCTGCAATCCCAACCTCCTAACGTTCCCCACCCTCTCCCCGAACCCTCAACCAGTGCTCCACGCACCACGCACCCCAGCCCCTGCCACTCTCCCCTCTCTCACGTTGCATGGTGGCGAGTCGCATGTGAGGCCCATGGCCAGCTGCGTGCCTGACTCCTGCAGGTGAGGGAGGGAAGGGGGAAGGGGGAAGGGGTAAGGCGGAAGGGGGAAGGGGTAAGGCGGAAGGGGGAAGGGGGAAGGGGTAAGGCGGAAGGGGGAAGGGGGAAGGGGTAAGGCGGAAGGGGGAAGTGGGAAGGGGTAAGGCGGAAGGGGGAAGGGGGAAGGGGAAGGAGAGGAGAGGGGTGCAGGATGGTGGGGTTTGATGATGCAAGGAGGTGAATCGCATGTGAGGGCCACGGCTAGCTGAACGCTGTATTCCCGAGTGAGGAGGGGTTGGGAGAGCAGGGTAGAGCAGGAGGGAGTATACTACACAACACGGGGTGGCAGGCGACGCATGTAAGCAGCAGCAATCACGGGTACTAAAAACAGCAGCAATACAAGTTACTCAACGCACCTCAGCAGTTATTCAGTGATAGCCGTGAACCAAGGCGTGGGCTTCTTAGTCGATCCTGCAACATAGAAGGCATACGTTCTACGTTCCTAGTGTAACTATGTACCATATAATCCTTCCAAACAGTAACAGGTTGAGCACACAGACTCCCCTCATGGCGCGACTATTATTCGTTGTATCGTTCGCCGTCCTACTGGCGGCTAGCTGAACGCTGTATTCCCGAGTGAGGAGGGGTTGGGGGAGCAGGGTAGAGCAGGAGGGAGTATACTACACAACACGGGGTGGCAGGCGACGCATGTAAGCAGCAGCAATCACGGGTGGCATGCAATGCACATAGGAGCACTCACAGGGTGTGAGTAGCTCTCATGGCATGGTGAGTAGCTCCCACAGGGAGGCATGCAAACCACACAGTGCGTCAGAAGTGCAGTGAGCAGCACTCACGGGGTGGTACTTGAGGAGTAGCACTCACGGGGTGGTACTTGAGGAGTAGCACTCACGGGGTGGCGAGCAGCACTCACGGGGTGGCGAGCAGCACTCACGGGGTGGTACTTGAGGAGGTTGGCGATGATGGTGCCTCGAATGGCCTCTATCATCTCCGCACTCTCCACCTTGCCTCCCCTGTGAATGGTGCGTGGTGCGTGGGGTGGCAGAGCAAAGGATGGGATGCGATGGGATGGGATGGGATGGGATGGGATGGGAAGGGTAGGGCAGAGGATGAGATTTTCTATTCGAAGTCAAATCGTGTCGCACACCCATGGAGGGTACGTGGGGTGGCATGGCAGGGTAGAGGATGGGGGATGGTTCAATAAGTGTGACATATGACATGTGCATGTTGGCATTCTCTCTTTTCGCCGCTGATTTTCTTTTGCAGGATGAGGCAAGGGAGGGAGGGGGGGCCTCTTGGAGAATCGCAGGGCAGGGATCGAGCAGAGAGGGAGGGATTTGAGACATCTCAAAAGAGCGTTACTTAATGCGGCAACATCTGCTGTGCACCTCCCCCTTCCAAGCCTCTCCTCACAGTCCTGGATGATGGTGACATCACTGCATGCATCACTGCATGCAACACTGCTTGCAACACTGCTTGCTATCATCACCCGCCCATCTATTCACCACCATCCCTCGTCCTTTCCTTCCCAGACCTTCCGCCACACTCCCCTCTTTGGCCATCCTCCTCCCAACCCCCTCCTCACTCACTCTTCCGTCCTTCCCCACCCCCCTCTCCCTTCCCTCCCCCCCAAACGGCACCCACTCCTGTGTGATGGTGAAGGTGTTGCGAGCAACGGTGCCTGCGGTGGTCACGCGTCCCTTCACCACGTTCAGCCCCAGGCTGCGCAGCGCCGCCATCTGGTAGGGCAATGAGGGAGTGGGGAGGGGAGGCAGGGCAGGGAGAGTGGTGAGCAGAGAGAGGTGAGGCGAGCTCTGAGCGGACTTGGGAGTCACGCGTTCCTTCACCACGTTCAGCCCCAGACTGCGCAGCACCGCCATCTACCAGCAAGGGGGGTGGTGAGAACAGGGTGGGGATGCGAGGAGGAGAGGGGTTGGGAAGCCAAGGCAGGAAGGGCAGTGAGCTTTCAGGTGCTGGCAGTGGTCACGTGCCCCTTCACCACGATCAGCACCAGACTGTGAAAAGCTGCCATCTGGTAGCGAGGGGGGTGGGAGTAGTGTGCAGTGGTCGCTTCCGAGTGGTTGTCTATCACCACCACCGGCACCCTCTTCCTCTCCACCACACCCCACCCCACCACACCACACCGCATTCCTCACTCCCCAACAGCAGCACTCACCGTGTCCATGAGAGCCCCCAGCCGGTCACCAAACTCAAGCTGCACCACCGTGGCATTGGCCTCCGAGTGGTTGTCTATCACCACCACCGGCACCGGCACCTCCTCTGTCTCTGCCTCCGCTGTGGCTGCTGCTGCTGCCACTTGTGCGCGGCCGGCCTGCTGGGATAAGAAGCGGGAAGAGGGCACAGCGGTGGAGCGAATAGGGAGACAGAATGGAAGATCCGTTAATAGTCAACATGCTGGAGGCCCCTTTTGAGCCGATTCAGAAGGTGCCTCCGAGTGGTTGTCGATCATCACCACTGGCACCGGCACCTCCTCTGTCTCAGCCTGCACTGTGGCTGCTGCTGCTGACACCTGGGTGTGGCTGGCCTGGAGGGGTAAGAAGCAGGGAGATGGAAGAGCAATGGGGCGAATAAGGAGGAAGGAGGAATCGGAGTTCCGTTTATATATATATTTTTTAAGTTGGAATGGACACGAGTGGTTGTCTATCACCAACACTGGCAGCCTCTCCCTTCCACCTCCGCCGTGGTTGCTGCTGCTGCTGCTGACACAGGTGCACGGCTGGGATGGTGGCAGCGGAAGCGGGGATATGGCAGAGAGTTGCGACTTTCGGAGTGGAAAGATAGAAGTGGGACATTCACCAAAGTTGCGATCTACTTACCTTGTTGTTTATCACCACAACCGGTACCAGCCCCGTCTTGTCATCAGTAGCTCGCGCCTGCTGCTGATGCTTTTGTCAGTCATGCCATGCTGTCACGCCATCCTCATCATCCCATCTCCTAACCAGCACCCCCCATGTCACCCCATCTCGTCATCAGCAGCCCGTCCGCTGCTGATGCCTTTGTCATGCCCTGCTGTTGTGACATGCGATCATGTCACGTAGTCACACCATGCTCGCCATTCTGACACGTCTGCACGCTGCCATGCCATTCATCAAGCTGCCATCACGCCCAGACCACAGGCTCCATGCCATGTCATCTCATGCCATGGAACTCACTCCAGCACTCACCCTCCACAGTGAACCTGGAGAAGCAGACACAAGGGCGGACAGGGAAGGCGGCGATGGGAGGAAAGCGCCCGCAGTAGGAGGGACGGCGCTGCGGGGGGGGGGGGGGGGGAGGAGCGAGAAGGGAGAATTGGGGAGTACGCGGGATAATGTGGATGCGGTATTATCATTGGAGCGGCATGGACAGAATGGCATGAATACTGAGCAAGGTACTTCTAGCCTGGAACATCTTCAGCCTGGAACACCTTTGGCTGAAAGAATGAACAACAGGCTTCCTTCATTCAAATTCTGCCGAAGATGTTCCCTCCGCCACCTGACGCATACGTCATCATCGGCAGGAAGAGTTTATTCTATCGACCTTGAACACGCAGGGTCATAGTCACGCAAATCAAAACCGCTTCACGCAGTAAGCTGAGGTGCGTGGAGAGTAAGAGATACAAAAAAGGCATGTGGAACAAGAGAAGTACATAAAACGAAGAAAAAAATCAGCCGTACTGTACCCGCCTTACACTGCGTGCGGTGTTCTTTCTTGAGAAATTCGTATAGCTTGTATCGATCTGGACCAAAATGGAAACAGCGTGTAAAGAGCCTGCTGTTTTTTCTCAAAAGCACGAAGAGCTGCGTCAGACTGAGGTGAACACTCTGCTGTTGCATACCTTCTTTGCCCGCGCTGGCTGTTGCGCTGCAGACGACCGGTGTCCAGCGTAAAAGAGATGGGACCGTTGCATGCGGTGGCACGCACAACAGGATTAATCGTCGCCATGTTGGACATGCCGGAAACCGAAAAGACGGTAGAAACGGCGGAGACGGCCGACACTCCAGCCATTTCGGGATTAGGTGTGTGGACAAGATGTCAAACAGCGCGACGGAGTTGCTGGCAACAAGTGATGCGCCAAAGTTTGCAGATTCCTGCCAGCGCTAGCCGCGATGAGCACTGTCGTCGGCGGGTAACAAATTCCAGTCAAGTACGGAGCGCACTAGACGGCTCGGTCAGGGACAAGATGACCACCAACAGTTTTGAAGCTATGCTTTCATGCAAGCTATGGTTTGCACCAATTTAGTAGCCGTGAAAACGGATATATGTGAGGGAACATAGGCTGGTGACACGACATTGGAAATTGGAAACTCTGACCTCTCTGCTGCTTCCACTGTTGCTGCTGCTGCTGCACCGACCTGCGCTGTAGCATTTCGGGGATCTCGAGGTGGAGAAACAGTTCCTTGCGCTTGGTGCTTGATTTGTGTCGCAAATCAAGAATCAGAAAAGAGCAGGTGACTAATGAAGGAACTCGGCGGTCTCACCACATTGACGAATGGCGGGAGCGTCCAGATGCTTTGGAGATTCCTCCACGCTGGCATTGCTGCTCGCATTGTCAGCTACGCCACATGGCGGCACTTTCTGGTGGAGAGCATGTTGACCTGGGTCCCAAGACAAATCTCTTACGTGGCACTACTTGACGCCTAAACTCGATAAAATCTTTTCATTAAATTACACTGGACCTTTCTAACGCTAAATTCTCCTAAGTCTAAAAAATGCTTATTGAACTAACTTCCCATACGATACAATGCCCTTAACTTCGTTACCACCCCCTCTACCTGCACAGCTTGTGCTGCGCCATAACACACTGCAACAGTTCTAAACTCCAAAAAACTCCTTGTGCAGCAGCTGCACCAGCTCTGTGGCTTCATCATCATCCACCACCAATGCAATGTTCACCTGCAGACAAAAAAATGAAACAGCCAGCCAAAAGTCAAGAATGACTCGGTGAAATAAAACTTGTCCAGAACTCTGCGGAAACCTCACACCCCAGAAACCCCTCTCCCCAAGCTCACCTTGGAAGCTCCCTGCGAGATCATTTGCACGTTGGTCCCGTTTCGTCTGAACACGCCGAACACCTTCTCCAGAATCACCGACGACCGCGACACGTTCCCAATCAGACTAATAATCGACCGCCGCTGCAATAACTTCACCACCGCCACCTGCTCGAGCTCCTCCACCATCTTATCCAGCTCCTGCTGAATCAGCTCTCGAGACCACAGCTTCGCCGGGTCAAGCGTCAGCGACAAGCTCACCTCACTCGTTGCCACCACATCCACCGAAATCCCCTGCGCCTCGAAAATCGCAAAAACTTTCGCGAGGAACCCAAACTGCCCGAGCATCCTCAGGCTGACCAGATCCAGCAGGGTAACCCCACGCTTCACCACAATACTGGTCAGCAGCGCCGACGACAGGTCCCTCTCTTGAGTAATCAAAGTCCCCGGGGCACTGCGATTATACGAGTTCTTCACCCGCACAGGGATATTCCCCTCCCGCGCCGGCCGCATGCTCTGCGGATGCAGCACCTGCGCTCCGAAGTACGCCAGCTCGGAAGCTTCCTCGAAGGTGAGGAAGGGCACGGGCACGGCGCCGCGGTGCAGGTTGGGGTCGCAGGTGAGCACGCCGTCCACGTCCTTCCACACCTGCACCTCCTGCAGCCCCAGCGCTCGCCCTATGATGGTCGCCGTCAGGTCGCTGCCTCCGCGGCCCAGTGTGGTCGTCGCTCCCGTCTTCTTGCCCTGAGGGAGGGAACAGGGGCGAGGGGCGAGGGGCGAGGGGAGATGGTTGAGAGGAGGAACGACATATTGTTGATCCTAGTGAAGCTGATCACATGAACCCAACCTCAGTGCAACCAAGCAGAGAGGCGCTCTTGCGTAGGCACTGCTTATCCATCTGGGTTTGCCAGCCACGTTCTTGCAACTAAGTGGTTATAGACGGTCCACTACACACCCAATGCTTGCACGTGCATGCCCACGCACACATTCAGTAATTCGATACTGGACGTCCCACCCTCTTTCTACTCCACTCACCCGACCCAGAAAGCCTGTGACCACCGGAATGAACGCCCTGCTGCTGCTCTCGTCCGCACTGCCAGCAGCACTTTCCCGGTGAGCATGGTAGGCGGAGAGGAGGGAGTCCGCCACGGCGGGGTAGGTCTCGTCCAGCACGTCCGCGTTGGTGAACTCGTCCGTTGTGATCACGCCCATGTGGAATGCGTCGAACTGGGGCATGGGGTGCAGGGACGGGGGGTTGTTGGGGGAGGGATGAGGGGAGTGGAGGGAGGGTGGATAAGACAGCACAGGCGGGGTAGGTCTCGTCCAGCACGTCCGCGTTGGTGAACTCGTCCGTGGTTATCACGCCCATCTGAAACGCGTCGAACTGGAGAGTGCGGAAGGGGGTGGCAAGGGGTGGTGGTGTGTTTGAAGCTAGTACGGGAGGGCATAGGGGGCGAGAGAGAGCAGTGGGACAAGCCTCGTCCGCACGTGCGTGGTGATGACGCCCATATGAAATGCGTCGAAGGGGGGAATGGGGGGGAGAAAGGGGGGAGAAGGTGGGAGGGAGGGGGAGAGGGGAGTGGAGGGATGGTGGATTTTTGACGGCACAGGCGGGGTCAATAACAGCGGGGCACGTCTGCGTTGATGAACTCGCCCGTGCTGATCACTCATTTGACACGCGTCAATCTGGTGTGGGGGGAAAAGGGGAGTAAAAGGGACGGGGGTGGGTGGAGGGATGGGGGCGAGGGAGGGAGAAAGGGAAGGCACATGGGGAGGCGTCAAACGAAGGAGGGAGTGAGTGAGGGAGGGAGGGAGGGAGGGAGGGAGGGAGGGAGGGAGGGAGGGAGGGAGGGAGGGAGGGAGGGAGGGAGGGAGAGGGAGGGAGGGAGGGAGGGAGGGAGGGATGGAGGGAGGGAGGGAGGGAGGGAGGGAGGGATGGAGGGAGGGAGGAAGGGAGGGAGGGAGGGAGGGAGGGAGGGAGGGAGGGAGGGAGGGAGGGAGGGAGGGAGGGAGGGAGGGAGGGAGGGAGGGAGGGAGGGAGGGAGGGAGGGAGGGAGGGAGGGAGGGAGGGAGGGAGGGTGGGATGGAGGGAGGGAGGGAGGGAGGGAGGGAGGGCTTGGTCCGCACCATACCTTCTTGAACAACACCGTACCTGCTTGGACGGCACCGTACCTGCTTGGACGGCACCGTACCTGCTTGGACGGCACACCCAAGGATTTGAGGTAGGCGGCGAAGATGCGCGTGGAGCAGCGCTCGCCGAACGACACGAGGTAATCCGAGGAGCGCGGAGTCAGCTCGCGCATGAGCGCTATCCCCGTTACTAGCTGCTGCAGCTCGTGCATCAGTTCTGGTCAGAGGGGCAAGGGAGAGGATTGAAGCAAGGGGAAGAGGTGAGTGAGGAACCAGATTAGATTTGGAAATCAAGAGCAGACGAGAGGAGCTGAGTGGACGGTTGACATAAGCAGCGCAAGAGGATTCAGAAAGCAGCTTGCGCACAACACAGAGCGCAGCGGAAGAGTTCAACACAGTCCGAAGGGTTTTACAGGGTTTAACCCTCAAGGGTCACTGCGCTGCACTCGCCCATGAATTCAGGGGCTAGCTCGCACGCGCACATGAAAAGAATCGCTTGGGCACCCAAATCTCCCTCATAACTCACCCAATCGCCTCACCCACACCGCTCACCATGCACCTCAGCGCAATCGACGCCGAGCTCCTCCATGGTGGACACGTGGAGCTCTCTAATTACTCGCAGCTCGTCGATCGCCGCGCACTTGGCGGACCCGCACGTCAGCGCCCTCTCGCCCACCTGCCAGTAGGATGCAATGTGGATAGCGAGAATTGTGAATTCGCCGTCGCTGTCAGCTAGACTCAGTGGAGAAGAAACAAGGTATGACGAGTCGAAAGAGAAAGGTACGTTTGTTGTTATGTCGGTCCTTGGAGGAACGATGATCGACGAAGTGACTGGCCTGCAAACGTACAATTCTCCTAGATCGGGCACAGGGGCAACAATACAAAGACCGGCTACGAAGACCACTCCGTTAGACGGCCGTCAGTCTCCTTATGCCGGAAACCGGCTCTCAAAAGTCCGACTAGACGTCCTCGTAGCACGTTTTCGGATTCTGAAATCGCATGAAGCGGCCAGCATTCGCGCTATTGGCCGAGACACGGTCAGCAGAGCATGCCGCACCTTGATCAGGTTGTTTGTCGTTTTCCCCATGGCGGACATGACGATGATCGGATTCTCCTCTGGGAATGACAGTATCAGATCTGCCACCTCCCTCATGCGCGCCGCGTTCGCCACCGACGAGCCGCCGAATTTCATAACTACAGTGTACGGCACTTCTGGCGGCAGCGCATCTGGCATCTCGGCGAGCGGCGCGTCGAGTGATTGCAGCGCCGACGCGGCTCGGACGGATGACAACGTAGCGGCGTCTGATTGGTCCTGATCGAGGCGTCGCGAGGAAAGAGCGGGAATGGGGGACTGTGCCCGAGCGGCGGCGTTCTTCAGGGATAACGATTGGCTGGATTTGGCAGGAACCGGCTGGGAGATGCTAGGCAGGCCGTGAGATCTGGACCGTACGTTCCGATCTAGGCACTCTGCTCGTACTCTCGGAGCGCAAGTGGCAATATTGATACCAGGAGCCATGGCGAACGTGGGAATTCGCGCAAAAGTGTTGTTGATACCTCCAAGGCTTTTGTTTCGCACGGAGTGACAGTTATTGACTGAGCACGGGATGTGATCGCGACTCGACCAGCTGCTACTACAAACAGACTGATTGGGACGAGAAACGGCGACTTGCGCGCTGGCGGCTAGAATAGAACTAATCTGGTACCTACTCGTTACTACCTGAACACTGGCTGTCGGCTGATACAAATAAGCCATCCTTTACTTTCCGAAAGTCTATGAAGGCCTGACCAGCAAACGCCACGACGAGCACCACGAGCACACTCAAGCCAGCGTAACTTCCTCGCAATGCCGCAACTAGCTTCCCGCGCGGTCAGTTCCACCTGCGCACAGCCACAGACAATGGCGCGTTGGAAAGGGGCCGGTTTTAGGCCCCAACCTACTCGAGCAGGCTTCGTTGTGTTGGAGGCGCTGTGCCGTGTTGGACCCTGGAAGCAGGGTTTATGGAGCTCACCTACCCGCAAATGCATAGATCTGCGCTGACTTGGACTTGAAAAGGAAACGCCTGGACGAATGTGACTGCTCCAATCTTCGCTGTGCTGTGGTGCGTGTGAAGTGAAGCGAACAAGCCTGTTCGGTGACCGTTTGAACAGTGCTCGAGGAGGGGCTACGGGGTTGATGGATTGGCGGGAAAACGGCGAAAAGTGGAAGCGCGTTGTCTGTGAGATGGGAATCTGCGCCGCCCTGGGAGGAAGGAGATCGGACCAAACCTGGGGCGTGTCCTGGTAAGCGCAAAGACGGTTCGGTTCGTCTTGCGTTTACAATTTCCAGCTGTTGTGCTTGGAATATAATTTCACTGGTTGAACAAAGCTGCAGATCGAAGGATACACGAAAACAAAGTGGGAATTTGAGCCTCACTTACTGAAATATCGACGCAGCTCGAAATTGGAAATGGTACCTCGGGAATTCATCCCGTGACTGACAGTACGCAGGCCAGTCTGGTTTCGCAAAAGCACAACGGGGCAGTGGCGGATGTTGGGGTAACCGCACAATGAGACGTCAACAGTAGCACCAAACCTGGGGGCTCCGCACGGTGAACAGGTTGGGTGGTGGTGGAACCGGCCAAGATGCTGCACCGGGGGAGGCAAATAATCAATATTTGCGCATATGAGAATAGCTGTTTTATGGCTCATAATAAAAACATTGGATTTGACCCCCAGTTTGAAAGAATCCGATAATGCGAACGTTATAGCGAATGACCCCAGCTGCATGGGGACAAGTGAAATCGAGGCCTGGCAGAGGTATGGGTGCACGAAATAGACGATGATAGGGAGCAGTCTAGGATATCAGGTCAGAACGTCTTGGCAAGGCGCGTCGCACCGAGTTTCAAAGCATCCACGCACTAAAAATCCCTGTGGGATGCATCGCATTTTTGAGAAGTTAGCAATGTTTTGGTTAAATGCAGGACGTGCAGCTACGCCTTGGGTGACGTCACCAATAATGAATATTCGCCTGGCGACCTAAGCCCTGGCAGCAGCGACGTCACCCAGCTCTGCGCGCATGCCACCCTGTGAGTGCACTGCTTACTTGCCTACAATCAGTATGTTAGTTTGCATGCCACGCGGTGGGTGGATTGGATTGCCTGCTCCTGCTGCTGCTCCTTGGATATTGTGTTCCTACGCACGATGTCACTCTGAACAAAACCGGCTGAATTCAATGCCCCCCGGCCACCCATGCAATCATCAAGCAACAAGCACCAAGCGATCACTTTCATCCCCCTTTCCCCCTCCCCTTTTTCCCCTTCCCTTTCCACTCACCATTCCTCCTCCCCCTTCCCCTTTCCCTTTCCTCCTCCCCCTTCTCCCTTCCCGTTGCCTGCTTCCCTATCATGGGCTTCACATGCGCTTCACATGCGCTTCACATGCGCCTCACATGCGCCTCACATGCGACTCGCTTCCTTGCACCAAAACCCACCAATCAGCACCCCTCTCTCCGTCCCTTCGCCTTCACCCTTCCCGCTACCCTTTCCCCTCCCAGGATTCAGGCACACAGCTAGCCATGGGCCTCACATGCGACTCGCCGCCCTGCACTGCGAGTGAGGGGAGGACGTGGGGAAAAACTGGGGAGGGCGGTGATGGGGAGTGGTGGGAGGTTGGGGAACGGTGGGAGGGTAGCCAATGGTGGGCAGAGTCAGGCATGTAGCTGGCCATGGGCCTCACATGCGACTCGCCACTGTGCAAGGTGAGTGAGGGGAGAGTGGCAGGGATAGGTGCTGGGTGCTGGGTGCTTGGTGCTGGGTGCTGGGTGCTTGGTGCTGGGTGGTGGGTGCTTGGTCTGGGTGGTGGGTGGTGGCTGGTGCCTTGTGTGTGCACCACTGGGGGGTCATGGTGTACTTGTGTGTATGATGCGCCATGCTCCTTCTTCAACCTCCTCAATGCTCTCGCGTCTGTCTTCTCCTCAATCTCCATCCCATCCCATTCACCACAGCCTGGTATTAAAACGCGCATGGCACTCATGCCCCTCCCGGACAGCAGCAGCAACGAGCTGAGGGTGGAGGCGGCAGACCGGCGATTGATGCTAGCATGATTGCACCCTCTCCCTTCCTGGGTGCTCCCACTCCCCACGGCCCGGCATTTCAATCAACACGCCCCTCCCGGACAGCACGGCAGCGAGCTGAGCGTGTGGAGGTGGCGGACCGGCCGGGGCTGCTGATGGTGATTGTTGATGTGCTGACAGGGATGTTCGTTAGTGTGACGTCAGCAGAGATCGACACCGAGGTGGGTGTGACGTCAGCAGAGATCGTCACCGAGGTGCGTGCATGTGACGCTGGCTCAGATCAGATGCGTTCTGACTCCTGAGGTGAGTGTGCAGTGCTGTCGGTGTTTGTGCATGCTCGCTCATTGTGCTGCAATGTGTGCTGGCAAAGGTTCTGTGCTCTGTGAGTGCAGCATGTGTTTACCATGCGAGATGGTGATTCACAGTAATCACCATCTCCCATCTCCCATCACCCATCTCCCATCGCCATCTTCCATCTCTCATCACCCATCTCTCAACCCCTATACCCCATTCACGTGCAGGGAATGGTGGCTAAGGATGTGTTCACCGGCTTGTACCACGCTATAGATTTCATCCATTAATCACCCATTTCCCATCTTGCATTCGTGTGCAGGGCGTGGTGGCGAAGGATGTGTTCACAGTGTCGTACCGTGGGGGCCCACTGGATGATGAGATGACCACGGTGAGATGAAACGAGCACGGTGAGATGAAACGAGTATGGTGAGATGAAACGAAAGTACTGTGTGAGGTGGAGCAGATAGAAGAAGCAAGATGAGGAGGTGGAGCAGGAATGGTCACTCGTGATGAATGGGCAGCAGTCGTGCTCCTTTCGTCTCACCATCGTATACACTTTCTCTCTCTTCCGTCAAACCCCTCCTCCCTCCTCCCCCAACCCCCTCCTCCCCCTACTTCTCCTCCCTTTCCCTGACCTTCTGACTTCCACCCCACTATTATCACCCTTATTCAGAACATTTACAAGTAACACTCAGTTCTGTCCTTCATTTCTGTTATTTCGCCCTCCCAGTCTTTCCCCTCACCCACCCATTCCGTTCCCCTCCCAATTATTCCACTGCTGTCCAACATGCTTTATCTTCTCTGCCCCCTTCTCTGCCCTCTCTCCCACTCCCTCGCCCCTCTCCCTACCCCCTCCCAGCTCACACCCAACGCCCTCAACAACACCCTCTCGCTGCCAGATATTGAGGCAGAGGAGAGCTACTAGTGTTTTGAGGCACCTTATGAAAAGGCAGAGAGCTTCCAGCGACTGAAGACACCTTATAGTGAGGCCGAGGATTACTGGTGTTTTGAGGAACCTTATGATGAGACAGAGTGCTGCAAGGTATCAGAAGCAGCCCCAAGCGCATGACAAGGCAGGCCATGTTTCTGGTGCTGCTTGTGTTCCTCACATCTTTACAGTCTGTAGTGTGTATCCATTCATCTCTCCACTCGTCTCTATTGACTATAACCATTATTGACTAAAATCCTGGTTAAAGCAGCAGTATACATTTGAAAGCACTGTTTGTTTTGTGAACTGTGCCAAGAAGGATTCGCCTCAACGAAACAAAAAACAGACTGGCGAGAGTGCTGGCGAAAAACTGAGGCGGGACTGTTGTTAGGGAACAAGGGTTGGGTCAGTCACACACGAACTCACCTGCCTCGCTGGCACACTTAGGAGAAGAGGGTGATAGCTATTAGAAGTGATAAAAGTACCAAACGAGTGGGCTAGTGGTTGCTAGACGTGGAGCGCGACCACACACATAGTCGCGGGTGAGTAATTAGCCATGTGCAGAGCAGGCGACGGCTAAAGCGACCAGCAAAAACGCCCGCCATCTCGTTCACGTGCACTAATATTCCGCCGCAATGCACTCGGACGATGGCACAGAGGCATTCGCCTCAATCCGCCGTATTGCATACTTAGCGCCCGTCGAAACCTATCTAATGCGCCACTACGATGGGCATTCGACGAGCTCCCCGCAATGGCTTCGTGCATTCAGAAAATACACATTTGACGAGGGGAGGTATTTGCACTCCTCCGCCAGCCAGCTAGCCCATCGCCCTTAGTCAGGATTAGCCTGTGCAGAAGCAGTTGCGCGCTCTCCTCGAGCCTCGAACGCGCGCCTGCATTCCGCGCGAGCCAGCGCAGCGCGCGCCAGCAAAACGCGCGCAGCAGAGCGGCGCGCGCCTGCATAGCGAGTGCAGATGACGCTCGCGCGTCAGCAAACAGCACGCAATTGCAGGCACGCGCGCTCCAGCCCTATTTCCCCCCCTGCGCCCATATTTCCCCCTATGCCAGCCCCATTTCCCCCCCCTGCCAGCCCCATTTTTCCCCCCTGCCAGCCCCATTTTCCCCCCATGCTAGCCCCATACTTCCCCCCATGCTAGCCCCATTTTTCCCCTCCTTTCCCCCCTGCTTCCCCCCTTTCCCCCCACGGCTTCCCCTCCTTTCCCCCCTTGCTTCCTCTCCTTCCCCCCCCAGCTTCCCCCCTTTTCCCCCACGGCTTCCCCTCCTTCTCCCCCCTGCTTCCCCTCCTTTCCCCCCATGCTTCTCCTCCCTCCCCCCCCTGCATCCCCTTCTTTCCCCCCTTGCCCTCCTTTCCCCCCCTGCTTTACCTCCTTTGCCCCCCTGCTTCTCCTCCTTTCCTGCTTCCCCTCCTTTCCCCCCCTTGCTTCCCCTCCTTTCCACCCCTGCTTCCCCCCTATTCCCCCACGGCTTTCCCTCCTTCCCCCCCCTTCTTCCCCTCCTTTCCCCCCATGCTTCTCCTCCCTTTCCCCCCTGCATCCCCTCCTTTCCCCCCTTTGCTTGCCATCCTTTCCCCCCACTGCATCCCCTCCTCTCCCCCCCGGTTTCCCCTCCTTTCCCTCCCTGCATCCCCTCCTTTCACTCCTTGCATCCCCTCCTTCCTCTCCCTGTTTCCCCTCTTTCCCCTCCCTGTTTCCCCTCCTTTCCCTCCTGTTTCCCCTCCTTTCCCCCCCTGCATCGCCTCCTTCCTCTCCCTGTTTCCCCTCCTCTCCCCCCCTGCATCCCCTCCTTTCCCTCCCTGCATTCTCTGATTTCCCCCTCTGCTTCCCCTCCTTTAACTCCCTGCATTGTCTCCTTTCCATCCCTGCATCTCTCCTTCACCCCATCTCACCCAAGCAACTCCCTTTCTACTCACTTGCCATTTCCTGCCGCTATATGCATTTGATGTGTCTGCCATAACTGTCCCCATTCACCCCACCCATCCTCCACGCTCCCCATCTCTCCCATCCCATTCCTCCCTCCCCCCATCTCTTCCTCACCCCATCTCTTCCTCGCCCCATGTCTTCTTCACCCCAACTCATCCTCACCCCATCTCTCCCTCACCCCGCCTCTCCCTCACCCCATCTCTCCCTCACCCCATCTATCCCGCCTTCTATCTATACCCCCCATGCCCCCCATTTCATCCTCTTCCCAGCAATTCCTCGGCCTCTAAGCGGTAAGCGTGTCCCGTGTGCCTGTTTTCGCCGGCTTCGTCCCCAGTCAGATTGGGCTCGTACGGTGCTGGTGCAGGCAGGGGTTGATCAACGATGGCGCAGCAACAGTGCTGTCGCCTCCCTTCTCCCTTCCTAATATCCCCTCGTCACTCTCTCCCTCCTATTTTCTTCCCTGTCGCGCCCTCTTTCTCTCCCTCCTATTTTCTCCCCCATATCATCTGTCCATGTGTCAGGTGGGCAAGGAGACAGCCATCCGCACCAACACCAGCCTTTCTCCTGTTCACAGCGTGCAGCTCTATGCTCGATCCGCTCGTGCCTTCACCGTCTATTTGGGCACGCTCTGAATGCTTGTTCTGGGAACGGGTTTAGAGTCACTTGTTGCTTGTACTTACATGGACATTTCTTTGTAGACCCTTTGACCTCCTCCCCCCTTCCCGTGGTACCAGTACCAGATATTGGGATGGGAGATGCTGAGCATGTCATCACAGCCCCCACCCCACCCTCAAAGCAATAAATGCTTCGTTTTCACTGCTCATGGTTTGCACCATAGGTGTCACAACATTATTGATTGCATCATACTAATAAAATCACATAACAACAATTGTCTCAAAGGATACAAAGGGGTGGGTGGGGGGCAGTACAGAAACTGTAATCAACACGGCATAGCACATTACCGCATTGGGTTGGGAAGTGTCGACAAGGGTTGGCAATAGGCAAGAAAAGGAACGTTAGCAGTGGAAAGGCAGAATGGTTGGGGAAGGAAGAGAGGGTAGAGGGAAGGGAGAGAGGTGCATTGAGGAGCAGGAAACTGCACAGCGGGCGAAGGACAAGGCAGGTGAGTTGCAAGTGGTGAGGGGTGGGGTGGAGAGTGAATGTTATGGGAAGATGGAAAAGAGGCTGTGGTGGTGGGAAGCTCCCGTGGGGATGCATGAAGGGGAGATGAGGAGGTGGGACAAAGAGATCGGGTGGCAAGACAGAGAGGTGCTGGTACCCTGGCACAGAGAGGTGCAGGCAAATTGGCACAGATAGGGCTTTTCTTAGACGCATAGAGGAAAGGGCAGGAAGACAGGCGCAGGGAGGGAGGGGCAGGAAGAGAGGCGCAGAGAGATGAGGGCAGGAATAGCGGCACAGAGAGTGGATGGCAGTGAGAGAGGCGCAGGGAGGGAGGGGCAGGAAGAGAAGCGCCGAGAGGGAGGGGCAGGAAGAGAAGCGCCGAGAGGGAGGGGCAGGAAGAGAAGCGCCGAGAGGGAGGGGCAGGAAGAGAGGCGCAGAGAGATAAGGGCATGGAAAGATTCGCAGGCTATGCTGGAGGGTAGGGTAGATGCAGATAGCAGAACGACTCACACTGCGGCGGGAAGCCTAACTATGCTAGACAGTTTAGGATAGTGCATGGGAAGGAAAGGGGCTAGCAGGTGGGAGTTGAGCTAGTTCGAGGGGGGTAGGCTAGCAGGACAAGAAGGTGTGGATGAGCATGAACGTGGAGAAGCAGAGGAGCAGTGGACGCAGCAGGGCCGAGTGTGAGAAGTGCTTTCTTAGAACTCGTACCTTCCAATTAAGAATAAGTCTACTTACCAGGTGTGGCGGGAGGACGGCAGTAGTGTGAACATGAGAGCAGAAAAACAGAGCAGCAGCGACCCCAGCAGCGCAAGGTGGATCCCCCGCCACTCCACAGCGCCTCTGCTGCAGAACGCCACACGCGTGTTGAAATTGACGTGCTCCGCACTCGTGCGCACGAACTGACCCACCTTCCCACAGACTCAGATCACTGCTGCCCCAGTCAGAGACCTGGCTGGTTAGAGAAAGTGGGCGGGACGGGGAAGGGTGAGGAAGAGCGAAAAAGGGAGGGGCGGAGGGAATGGAGGGGAGGGGCGGAGGGAATGGAGGGAAGGGAGGGAAGGGAGGAAATGGTGAGAAGGGAGGGAAGGGAGGGAAGTGAGGGAAGGGAGGGAAGTGAGGGTAGGGAGGAAAGGGAGGGAAGGGATAGAAGGGGGGGAATAGAGAGAAGAGAGAGGGAAGGGAGGGAAGAGAGAGAAGGGAGGGGAGGGAGAGACGGTAGGGAAGGGAGAGAAGGGTGGGAAGGGAGAGAAGGGAGGGGAGGGAGAGAAGGGAGAGAAGGGAGGGAAGGGAGGGTAGGGAGGGTAGGGAGGGAAGGGAGAGAAGGGGGGAAATGGAGAGAAGGGAGAGGGAAGGGAGAGAGAGAAGGGAGGGAGAAGTGAGGGCGTGCAAGGGGGAAAGTGAGGGCGTGCAAGGGGGAAATGAGGGCAGGGCAGAGGGCGAAAATGAGGGCGTGCAAGGGGGAAAATGAGGGCGTGCAAGGGGGAAAATGAGGGCGTGCAAGGGGGAAAATGAGGGCGTGCAAGGGGGAAAATGAGGGCGTGCAAGGGGGAAAGTGAGGGCGTGCAAGGGGGAAATGAGGGGAGGCGAGAGGAGGCCGCGCGGGGAGGAGAGAGAAGGCTGCGCGGGGAGACGAGAGGAGGTCGCGCGGGGAGGCGAAAGGAGCGAGCGGGGAGGCGAGAGGACCACGCGCGGAGAGGCGAGAGGAGCACGCGCGGGGAGGCGATAGGAGGCCGCGCGGGGAGGCGATAGGAGCGCCCGAGGGGAGTCGAGAGGAGGCCGCGCGGGGAGGCGAGAGGAGGCAGCGCGGGGAGGCGATAGGAGCGCGCGGGGAGGCGATAGGAGCGCGCGGGGAGGCGAGAGGAGCACGCGCGGGACAGCGACAGGCGAACGAGAACCGGGAGGCGATAGGAGCACACGCGGGTAAGGCAAGAGACTGCGGAAAGGGGACATCGAGCGCCCAGGAAGGGGAGATCAGAAAGCGGGAAGGGGAGCGCGGGCGGCGAGCAGTGGAGATGGGGTGGCGGGAAGCGGAGGTCAGGCGGCGGGATGGTGAGAAGCGAGTGGGGCCTTGATTCCCCCTTCTCACCGCGAAATAAGCTAGAGATGCGAAGACGCGTACACCCTCTCGCATATGTCCGACGACTCAGAGAGGCCGCGAGCGGAACGCGACGAGTATGGCATTGTTCCGTCGCAAGGCGAGACCGCGCGAAGAGGGAATTCGAGAACGAAACTCCGTCCGTTCGAGTGCGCGCGAAGTAGCCTTACGACTTGTCTATAAATAGGAAGAGCGCGCCTCTAAAATCGGGTACGTGACGAGGCGTGCTCACGATGTGAGTAGTCTTTCCTAGGCAGCTGTGAGGGCAACACCCGAATTACTCAACGGAAGTCAACGCGGGAAAATAGGTTTAGGAAAGCAGAGTGTTGAGGTTCGAAAACCTCTCCTAAACCTCTCTTCCCTGAAACCAGAAGGGGCGAGACACAAACTGGGCCCAGTTTGTGAAGGCGTTTCGGTAATTCGGGGGCTGGGCTTTAAGCAAATCCTTAGGATTTGAACATGGCGAGGAGCACTTGTGAGGGGGGTTGGGACGAGCTTGTGGGCTTGTTATTTGGTAACCATTTTCAAGTTCCTTAGGATTTTGAAAACCCAACTTTCAAAAGTATACTGTTGCTTTAAAGGACAAACAGGTACCAAACTTCCACCCTGTCTTGCTCAGCAGGCAAAGCACAGTGCAGTGAAATGGGACGATGTATCCAATGATTTGGAGAATGACATGCAGAAGGGTAACATTCGTTCAAAGCTTTGAATATGTTTTAGGATAAGTTATGGAGTCCCTGATCCACCCATGCATGTCCTAAACTAAACGTAACACACTCCTGGATATTGTATACAAATATGCAAAGCAATGCATATTTTATGTAGTAACAACTTAATTTAGTCTTGGTACGACTTGAGTCCAAGCCTTATGTAAAGATCGTCAGGCACCGGCTCTGGGCCAAGCATCTTGCAGCCCTGAAGATCAAGCACTCGCAGCATCCTCAAGTCACACAGCTGTTGCGGCAGGGACTGAAGCAGCTCACAGCCACTCAGGTCCAGCTCTCTGAGTCGTGCCAAATGGTGGAAGTTGGGAGGGAGGAAGTGAAGAGCCGTCTTGCTGACATCCAATTTGTGCAGGTAAGTAAGCCTGCTGAATGGACAGGGCAGGGTTGCCAGGTAGGAGCAATTACGCAGGCTAAGGTCACCTAACCTTGACAAGGAGGAAATGGTCGCAGGAAGATGTGTCAGGCGTGGAGCTTCAATATGAAGGGAGGTGAGTTGCACCAGCTGGCTTATAGTTTCTGGAATCTCCGTCAGAGATTCTGCTCCTTCCACGTGCAGCTGTCGCAGCTGAGGCAGAGCAGAGCCGATGTCATGAGGCAGGTGATGCAACGACACGGCGTTTGAGATGTGTAGATTACGAAGGCATGAAAGGAACCCAAGCAGGAGTGGAAGCTCTGTTTGTTCAGCGCCCAGGCGTAACTCCAGGTGCTCTAACTGAGAGAGGCAACGGCTGGTCGCTGCTGCGTCCGTGATAGTAACTTGAATCAACCTCAGCTTCTTGAGATTCACCGTCGTTGACAGGTCTGGAAGAATGATGCTGCTGGTGTCGTTTCCCAAGCTCAAGGTTTCCAACGTCCTTGGCAAAGATTCTAAAGTCTCTTGCAAAAGAAAACATCCCGTCAGATCCAGCTCCCGCAGGCATGAGAGGTTTTCCAAGACTCGAGGAGCAGATGCGAGCTTGATGCACATGGGGGCCTTGAAAGTCATCAAGCGGCTCAGTTGAGTGATGGATGCTGGCAGTTCTGTCAGCTCATTGCAGCAGCTCAAGGTCAAGTCCCGGAGATAACCTAGATGGCCTATACCCTCTGGAAGGTTAACAATGGGACACTTGCTGATAACAAGCTGTGTTATAGAAGAGAGATTGCTGAATGACGCCGGCAGCTGCTGTAGTTCTTCACAACGGCTCAGCACCAAATCGCGGAGATTCGTCAGCTCGCCTATCTCCTCCGGAAAAGCCGTCAGCCTTGATCCCGCAATGCTGAACGATTCAAGCGCGGCCAAGCAGGAAATCGCTGCAGGGAGGGTGTCAATGCCCACATAGTCCATGGATAGCTTCTGAAGCCCTGTGAGTAACCAAACAGAATTGGGGAGTCTCCTCAGCGACAAGCTTCTCAACACCAAGGACTTCAGCCCTGGAAAACTTCCAAGACTCTCGGGCAGGCTGGATATATTGCAGTTGCGAATGGTTAGAATCTCCAATGTGCTGAGGCTTGTGATAGAATCTGGTACCAGTATCTCAGTAAAATAACGGCTACCGAAAAGGCAGAGTTCGCGAAGTACCGGGAACCGCACTCCAATCTCCTCAGGCGGGATGCTCGGAATACTACTTAAGAGCAGACGTTGAAGACGGAAACACGGTGATTCTGGCGGAAACATTGAAGGGAAGTCTGTTGACCCATGCACAAATCCAAGCGAACGAAGATTTGTCAGTTGACCAAATGAGAAATCCCCCTCGAAAATGTGGAAGAATGTCGCTCCTGGAAAAAACAGGCTGGTCAGATTCGGAAGGCGAGTTAGCGGCGACATTTGATATAACCGCATGTCCAGCTTTTGAATAGACAACCTCGTGATAGAAGACAGATTCGCGAAGTTGGGATCCACCAAAGGCGAAACCTCTCCCAGTGACAGCGTGTGCAGGCGCGCCAACAGGAAGAACGAAGGCGGAACCTTTGTGGTCCAATGGAGGCACTGGAGTGACAGCTGCTCCAAGCGGCGACAATGGCGGAAGAGAATGTCCAGCCCACCTCTCGTCACGGGGTGACCTGATTCGTCATAGTAGTCCATGTCCTCCTCTTCGTCACGGTCAAGGTCGTCGTATGGAGCAATGCCTGTGCCGACATGAAGAGCGGTTAGGTTTGGTGACGAAGAGCCGAGAAATGCCAGAAAATCGTCGTCTATCGTTTCCATGCTTCCGTTGCTCAAGTGCAGGCGAGTGAGGTTCGGGAAGGACACGTGAACGCGTTTGAGATACTCGCGAGACACCAGACGATTCCGTGAAACGAGAAGCGTAGTGACGGATTCGTGTGCGAGCTCCCGCCAGCGACGGCAGACTGAGGCAACGAGGAGAGCGTGAGCGACATCGGCAGAGGCAGGGGGTGTCCAAAAATGCGGGTCAGGCTCTGAACCTTCGTTTTCCTCCCTACTAGCGTAATCCGAGAGTGACAATGACGAGGTCGGTCTGAAAACGTCGGAATACCAGAAGATCCTGATAAGAACATGGTCAGGAAGACATTGGATATTTGGAGACATTCTCATGTCCTCAAAATGACGAGCTAAAGCTTTGGCTGCCTCCAGAAAGGATCCTGATCAGTAGAACAAGATGAGAAAGAGCTAGATGAATGAAACCCTCCTTGGCTCCTGGTTGTGTCAAGCACGCAAGCAGTAGGATGGATCTGCACTGCACGAACCTCAAAACCCCAAGTTATCCTACTGTAATGGTAGCGAGCAAGTGGGAAAGCCACCTATCAGACAAGCCACCAGAAGTGGAGCAAACCAGCAAATCACACTCACTTGTTTGTGGCAAGATTCGGAGGAGGCTGCTGATTGGCGCTGCATCTGGTCATTCCCGCCAATTTGACACCAACTTCGATGTCAGCATTGATTTGCTGATGTGGCTGGAATTGTTTCCTGTCTTTTCTGACATATCTTGTACCCCTTTCAGCACATTGCCACTTCTGTAGGAATTCGTGAAACGAGGGGAATGATTGGAAGAGTGAAGCGTATTGGTTTACTTCTGTAATACACGTTTTCATGCCTCCTTAACATATTAGAAGCACAATAATAGAGGCATAAAGCATGTCTTTGATGGCCGTAAGTCAACAACACCCTTCTCCGTTTTTTTTTTTCTCTCTGCCATGTCACCAAACTCGGCCGTATCCACCTCAAACACATGAGCCATGTCATGCCAAACTCTCTCACTATGGTAGGAAGGAAAGGCAAGAGAAGAATTGAAGCATGCATGTCATAGTAATGGTGGGAAATGAAATTTGATTTCCCAATATGATCGAGGTGGAATAGATTTCTTGCGTCACCTGCTACTAATGCTGCTGAACCAGCATATGCCTGCATGGGACTAATGGGAAAGACATGCTAAACATATGAGGAAGGGGGAGAGATGAACAAAAATATGTTACCACCAGCTTGGCGCAAAAGAAAAAATGTTTAAAAGGAGTCAAGCACCCACCATCTTCGATTTGTGGTTGTGTGGTGCTTTGATATCAGCCATTGACCACTATTTTGGCACCACTGGCTCAGGCTCCTTCGCTGCACAGGAGGGAGAGTGAGAGGCAAGGGTAGAATGAGCCAGCGCAGTCCCCTCTATGCCATAGCCTCAGAAATCTACAGTACGGGTTTCCACGGTACATTAACATTGACACATCAAGCACTGATCACTAGAAGAGGTGCTGCTGGTGTTGCTGTCAGAGAACCAGCTGAAGAGATTGCTGCTGGACAAGGAGGAGACCGGTGTTGGGATGGCAGGACGATGGGGAGAGAGAGTGAGCTAGCAGGAAAGAGAGAGGAAACTCCAGGTGAGATATCAGTGCTGGATGAGAAGGAAGTTGGTAGTGGGATGGGGGGATGAGAGTGAGAGAGAGAGAGGAGGGGAGGGTGAGAGAGCATGGAAGACGGAGAGTGAGATGGGGGGGAGTATAGAGGAGAGGAAACCAGATAAAGGGACCGCTGCTGGTAGATTAGGGGTCTGGTGATGGGATGGTTCGTGAGGAAGAGATCATGGGGTTGGGCCATGAGAGTAAGGAGGGGGAAAAGAAGAGAATTAGGTGGGAGATGAGAGGAAAATCCCAACTGAATAAATGGCTGCTGATAGTAAAGGAGTCAGGTATTGGGATGCCAGGATGGGGGGCAATAGAGAGGGAATGAGAAAGACGGGGAGAGGAAGAGAAACAAAGACCAACCGTAGAGGTTGTTCTTGGGAATATTAGGAGCTAGTGATGGGATGTAGGGGGGTGTGTGAGTGGTGAGAGGAGAAAGCAGCAATGGAAAGTTGTGCATTTGAGACTTCTCAGTTCACACAAATCTTCTGAACGACAGAAATATGTGAACAGATCGATGAAAAAGAGGAACACGAAGAGGGAAGGGAGGATCAAATTCGTTGGATAAAATGCATAGATTTTTGTGGCATTCATAAAATTTTGTGGCATTCAGCCCTACCCGTGCCATCCATCCATGCTAGCTGGTGTAATCCATGTCAACTCATCCCATTGATCCTATCTCACGCCAACCATCATCTCTCCTGGCTCCCATATTATCTCGTGCTCCTAGGCCTAGATCATGCCCTCCATGCTAAATCATGCCATTCATCCTATCTCATGCCATGCAGAGTCAGAGTGTTCGTCCTCATGCATCATCGCTCCAAGTTTGCAGAAGACTCTAAACCAATAATAATAATCAGCAAAGCCATTTGCACAAAGTGTTGGATCTCACCACGAATCGAATGTCTGAACCCATGCTGTGGCTTCGCCCAACCAGATTCAATGTCGTAAGAATTCAGGCCACAGGTCCTTGAAGTCCATGGGCGTGTTGAGATAAAAAGACACTCTCTTCAGGCGTCTGGGAAGCGGAATTAGGCTGGTGGGGTTGGGGGGAGAGGGGGGAGGAGAAAGGTTCAGAACAGAGCAAGTTCATGCCATGAGATCTTATTCCATGCTATTTCTTCTCATCGCATTCCATCCCATTCCATCCCATTCCACCCCATCCCATGCCATCTTACCGTATGCCAACCCACCCCACCCCACCCCACCCCACCCCACCGCATCTCACCTGGGGAGGCTGTTGCCGGGAGCAACTGTGATAGGACTGAAATCCGTGGTAGGGTGAAGGCAGGGCGACTCGTACAAGGAGCGGAAGGGCTTACAGTGGGGAGGACAACCATCCCACTGAATCCCACTGCAACGCACCCCACTGCATCCAACCTGGGGAGGCTGGTGCCGAGAACGGTTGTGACGGGGCTGACGTCTCCTTGAGTCGACTCAAAAGCGGAACGGTTGTGACGGGGCTGATGTCAGGGGTGGGATCCAGGTTGAGCCACTCGTACATGACTCTGAGGCGCCAGAAAAGTCGCCCACCCATCCCATCCCACCCCATCTAACCACATCTCACATCTTCCGACCACACTTCACAGCATCTCACTCACCTGGGGAAGATGGTGCAGGGAACGGTTGCCACAGGGAAGTGAGGCTCCTCAGTGGCCCACCATGAAAGGTAACAGGTTACAGTGAGAAGATCGTATAAAGCACACTGTGAGGGCGTACATATCAGTCAGGGGGTTGAGTCATCTTGAGCACACTGTGAAAGGCAAAAACTTACAAGTGAGGGTCCTCAAGCGCACATTGCACACCACGAAAGGTAGCAACTTACAGTGAGAAGCTCGTATACAGCACGAGGCGATGGTTTGACTTGGCCGAAGCTGCAAGGGTGAGGATGGCATGGGGATGGGTGGGATGAGATGGGGTGGGACGGATGGGGGCGCATGTGGATAATGAGGAGCAACCATCTGAACTGCCCGTCCTGCTCACCACGTCTCACCTCGTTTCACCTCAAATCACCGCATCACACTTTACCAGTCTTATACCCAGAGACCAATTATCGTCATGCTTCTGTGCTCCCTTTTCCCGTTTACTACAGAACAACCTCAAATAACCTTCCCGTTTACTTGACCTGGCCCAGCACCTGACCCAACACCTGACCCAACACCTGGCCCAGCACCTGGTCCTCCATGGAAACCCACCTTTCCATAAGACTGACTACAGATGGCTGCGGCACTAGAAGCAGTACCTTCGAGCACCTGACAGCACCTGACATCATCTAACAGCACATGACAGCACCTGAGCCCACCTTTCCAGAAGCTGAAGCTAGGATGAGGAAGATAGAGATTGAATCAGCACCTCACTGCACCGTAGTGCACCTGATAGCACCTGGACCCACCTTTTCATAAGCTCTCTCAGAGATTCTTGCAGCCAGAAGCTGGGATGTGCGAGACAACGAAACTTAGATCCCCTCATGTCTTGGAAGCTGGGACGCCCTCGCCCACCACCAGCGGTGATACCAGCGCCTGGAGCAGCGAAGGGCATGCAATGGGAGGGTTGTTCGAGCGGTGTGACTTGTTAGCAGCAATGGAAGTGAGAGATTGAAGAGCGGGAGGGCCAGTGGAGCGGGGTGAGCACGGAGAGGGGTATGGGTTCAGCAAGAATGTAACTTTGGCACATGTAAATTGGCGTATCAACGCTTTTCCCTTCCCATTTCTTTCCACCTCCCTTCCCCTTTCCACGCAGCCCCTTCCTTCCACAACCCTTCCACCCACAACCCTTCCACCCACCCCCCTCCCACCTACCCGCCACATGTCCATGCTTCTCCTAACGTCCTCATGCAGCCGCTCCGGCTCCCTCCCCTTCAGCTACCTCCTCCGCCCTTCCCCTCGCCTCTTCACCTGGTGGGGAGGGTTACCTGGTGGGAAGGGTTACCTGGTGGGGGGGGGGGGGGTACCTGGGGGGGAGGGTTACCCTTTTTACTCGAATCATGGAGATGGTTACCTGGAAGCAAGAGCCGCATACTTGGTGGGCAGGATGAGTCACTTGCTGTGTGGAAGCAGGGCGAGCAGTCGACCTGTTTCGGCCACTGCTGGTAGCACCCTGCCCTTTGATGATGTGATGCCACCTGGTGGGATGTTGAGGGGAGGCATTATGGCATGGAAGGGTGGAGGCATGGATGGAGGCATGGATGGAGGCATGGAGGGAGGCATGGATGGAGGCATGGATGGAGGCATGGATGGAGGCATGGATGGAGGCATGGATGGAGGCATGGATGGAGGCATGGATGGAGGCATGGATGGAGGCATAGATGGAGGCATGGATGGAGGCATGGATGGAGGCATAGATGGAGGCATGGATGGAGGCATGGATGGAGGCATAGATGGAGGCATGGATGGAGGCATTGATGGAGGCATAGATGGAGGCATGGATGGAGGCATGGATGGAGGCATGGATGGAGGCATGGATGGAGGCATGGATGGAGGCATGGATGGAGGCATGGATGGAGGCATGGATGGAGGCATGGATGGAGGCATGGATGGAGGCATAGATGGAGGCATGGATGGAGGCATAGATGGAGGCATGGATGGAGGCATTGATGGAGGCATAGATGGAGGCATGGATGGAGGCATGGATGGAGGCATGGATGGAGGCATGGATGGAGGCATGGATGGAGGTATGGATGGAGGTATGAATGGAGGTATGGATGGAGGAAGGGAAGTGATCATTGCAATGAAATTATAAGCCCCCCTGGCTGCAAAGGAAGCCAATGCACTTCAGCCACTCGGGTCTCTCTGCTTGCTCAGAAGTTCGTTTCTCGCTCTTCCCTCTGCCAGCACTCTGAATCACTCCTTTGGCAGATGAATTTCACCTGGTGGCGCAGGAGATGGTGTGTCAGACAACATTCCTATGCCACCTAATCTCCAGGTTGCAACTTCTCTCCACACAAGACAAGGAAAGGTGCAATGTGGATTGGTCCACTCCCCATCCCAGCCCTACCACCCTCAGCCGTGCGAGCTCTCAAAACCTGACCACACTAATGCCACTCCCTCCTAAAATAAGGCCATTGTTGACAAGTCCGCCTACCAGCAGGGTGGGCATGGGGATGGATCGCAGTACGGCATCCGACAGACCTGACTGGTCGTTGAGCAGCAGTGACAGCCCTGACTGGTTCTTAAGTTGACCTTGGTCCAAGCAGTTCAAGGAAGATGAAAGCAAGCTCCTGGCACAGTATAACAACAATACAATAACCAAGTTGACTTTTGAGTCAACTCTTGGCACACTATAACAATGATACAATAACCATGACAATAATAGCAAGAATAGAATGGGATAGGAGTGAAGTCTATGCAACAATTAGTGCTGCTTAATCCTGGATGCTTGGAACGACAAACGGTTTTTGCCGATAACGACAGACCTCAACGACAGAGCTAAACGTTGGATATCTACGATGCATGGGATGAGCAGTGCTGTGATGAGCAGCGCTGGGATGAGCAGCTCTGTGCGTGGGATGGCTAGATGAACCCGGCGATCGGGAGGAGCTTGGACGAAGCAGCACTGCTGGCGGTGCTCCGTTGGAAGTGCTGCTGCGGCCATGCTCCTAGCGAACACTGGTCAGGGTGTGACATTGTGAACCTTCCACTGTTCTGGGAGAAGACTAATACGGTCCGCCCATCCCTCCGCCCATCCCTCCGCCCATCCCTCCGCCCATCCCTCCGCCCATTTCTCCGCCCATCCCTCCGCCCATCCCTCTGCCCATCCCTCCGCCCATCCCTCCGCCCATCCCTCCCCCCATCCCTCCGCCCATCCCTCCGCCCATTCCTCCCCCCATCCCTCCGCCCATCCCTCCGCCCATCCCAGGTCCACCCTGGCCGGGTGCTGCCTGCGACCCTGGAGCAAACCACCCTGACCCGCCCATTCCTCCGCCGCCCATGCCTTCGCCGCCCATTCCGCCGCCTCCCATTCCGCCACCGCCCATTCCGCCTCCGCCCATTCCGCCGCCACCCATGCCGCCGCCGCCCATGTTTCCCCCAGGACCCATGGCTCCTTGTGATCCGGGAGCAGACGACCCAGGTCCGCCCATGCCGCCGCCCATTCCGCCGCCGCCCATTCCGCCGCCACCCATTCCGCCACCGCCCATTCCGCCGCCGCCCATTCCGCCGCCGCCCATTCCGCTGCCGCCCATTCCGCCGCCGCCCATTCCACCGCCACCCATGCTGCCGCCGCCCATTCCGCCGCCACTCATTCCGCCGCCGCTCATTCCGCCGCCACCCATGCCGCCTCCGCCCATTCCGCCGCTACCCATTCCGCCGCCGCCCATTCCGCCGCCACCCATGTTTCCCCCAGGACCCATGGCTGATTGCGAACCTGGAGCAGAGGAACCAGGTCCGTCCATGCCCCCTCCCATTCCGCCACCACCCATTCCGTCGCCGCCCATTCCGCCGCCGCCCATTCCGCCGCCGCCCATTCCGCCGCCACCCATGCCTCCTCCGCCCATTCCGCCGCCACCCATTCCGCCGCCGCCCATTCCGCCGCCTCGCATTCCGCCGCCACCAATGCCGCCGCCTCCCATTCCACCACCGCCCATCCCGCCGCCGCCCATTCCGCCCCCGCCCATTCCGCCGCCGCCCATTCCGCCGCCACCAGTGCCGCCGCCGCCCTTTGCCGCCGCCCATTCCGCCTCCGCCCATTCCGCCGCCGCCCATTCCGCCGCCGCCCATTCCGCCTCCGCCCATTCCACCGCCACCCATTCCACCGCTACTCATTCCGCCGCCACCCATGCTGCTTCCGCCCATTCCGCCGCCACCCATTCCACCGCCACCCGTTCCGCCGCCGCCCATGCCGCCGCCGCTCATTCCGCCGCCATCCATTCCGCCGCCGCCCATACCGCTTACACTGATTCCGCCGCTCTGCTGCTGCTGCTGCTGCTGGCCGGTCGAGCTTCCGCCTCGCGCCCATCCGCGCATCACCCCCCGCAGCTTGTCCGCGTGGAGCCCTGCGGAGAAGCGATAAGCCAACGCCGCGTGGAGAGACGAAACAAGAACAAGTGAGAGGAGGAGAAGGGCCGCGCTCAGGTCACGGCGACGACGCTGGCTCGACGAAAATGAGACTCTCTGCGCCATTGTGCTTGTGCACTGCCTAGGATGCAGCTAATATCTCCACGGAAAAACAAATCTAGCTGTCCAGGAGCAATCTAGCTTCCTAGGAGCTTGGTAGTGAAGACACGGAAGCAGCTACAGAATCGGAAAGCTTCAAGTCCAAAATGAGGCTCAGTGAATGTGATGAAGAGTGAATGAATGAGTTGCCAAATGCCACGTGCATTTTTGTACCCTCATCGCGCCGCCAACGTTGGGCATTTTATTTGCGCGGCGCGATGACTCAAACTGAAAGCAATGGACAGAGGCCGTCGGCGAGTCAAACGCCCTTGAAATTCCAGTCGATGACTCTAAAAAATGTTGACCACTGTAGCTTATTCCACCCCCCTCAACGAAATTGGAAGAAACTCGAATCCCGTTTGTCAATCTTGTCAGAACATATCTATAGCTTATACTGCTGTGTAGGCTGTAGTGGGGTATCCCATAGGGGGTACAACCCAGTTAGGGTTTCATATTTGTACTGCTTTCATTCATAGTTCACTCATTCCTGTTTTCCTACTTTCACATGGTATAGAGCGGGTCCTACCTTAGGACCGTTGTCTGGGCCCACCGACGCGCGCCCCGAGGCGCGCCCTTTTTTTAGCGACCCCTCGGGTCGCCTTTTCACTCGCGGCCCCGCCGCCTCCTCTGACGCGGCTTTGCCGCCTCCCCTGACGTGGCCCCGCCGCCTCCTTTAACGCGGCCCCGCCGCCTCCCTTGACGCGGCCCCGCCGCCTCCCTTGACGCGGCCTCGCCGCTTCCCCTGACGCGGCCCCGCCGCCTCCCCTGACGCGGCCCTGCCGCCTCCCTTGACGCGGCCCCGCCGCCTCCCTTGACGCGGCCCCGCCGCCTCCCCTGACGCGGCCCCGCCGCCTCCCCTGCCGAGGCCCCGCCGCCTCCCCTGACGCGACTCCGCCGCCTCCCCTGACGCGGCCCCGCCGCCTCCATTGACGCGGCCCCGCCGCCTCCCCTGACGCGGCCAAGCCGCCTCCTCTGACGCGGCTCCGCCTCTACTGCCGACGGCCCCGCCGCTGCACTCTACGGCCCGCCGCTGCACCCTGCCGGCCCGTCGCTGCTCCTGCCGGCCCGCCGCTGCACCCTGCCGGCCCGCCGCTGCTCCTGCCGGCTCGCCGCTGCACCTACCGGCCCGCCGCTGCACCCATCGGCCCGCCGCCTCTTACGGCCCGCCACTTGCACCTGCCGGCCCGCCGCTGCACCTGCCGGCCCGACGCTGCACCTGCCGGCCCGACGCTGCATCTCCCGGCCGAGCCGCCCCAACAGCCGAGCCGCCAGGGACCCGAGCCGCCCTGCCGCCGAGCCGCCCGGGAGCCGAGCCGCCCTGCACCCGAGCCGCCCAGCCGCCGAGCCGCCCGGGAGCCGAGCCGCCCTGCACCCTAGCTGCCCAGCCGCCGAGCCGCCCGGGAGCCGAGCCGCCCTGCGCCCGAGCCGCCCAGCCGCCGAGCCGCCCGGGAGCCGAGCAGCTGTGCACCCGAGCCGCCCGGTCGCTGAGCCGCCTTTCTGCTGACTGCACGACCTGCCCTGCCTGGTGAGCACTGTCCCACTGACACTGCGAGCTCTTTCCCTACTGCTTGCACTGCGTCGCTGTCGTCACCATGGCTACCCCTAGTGTCCTAGCTTTTGACGCTGAGGGTCGCGCCATTGATTTTGAGGTCTGGTTAGACGACCTGCAGCTGTTCTTACAGTGCGACAGGGCTGACGACCTTTCTCTCTTTGACCTCACCTCTGGCGCCTCTCCTGCCCCTGCTGCTGATGCTGATCCCGCTGTCCGCTCTAAGTGGGCCACCCGCGATGCTGCTGCACGTCTTGCTGTGCGTCGCCACCTCCCTACCCCTGAGCGTGCGCACTTTAGTCAGTACAAGAGTGCTCAGACCTTGTACGACGCTGTAGTTGCGCGCTACTCCTCCCCTGCCACTGCTGCACTGAGCCGTCTCATGCTTCCCTACCTCTTTCCTGACCTCTCTGCCTTTCCCACTGTCGCTGACCTCATTACGCACCTCCGCACTAGTGACACTCGCTACCGCGCCGCCCTTCCTGCTGAGTTCTGCGCTAAGAACCCCCCCCCCATGTACATCGCTCTCTACTACGTAGTCGCACGCCTCCCTGACTCCCTTCGCGTCGTCAGGGACCACTTTCTCGCAGTCTGTCCCACCACTCTCACCGTCGACCTCCTCGAGAAGGCCCTCCTTGCAGCGGAGAAGAGCATAGTCGCTGTAGGTGCTTCTCGTGGTGACCCTCGCACCCCCATCTTTGAGGGGTGCTCTCCTTCCCCCTTGCTGCCCTCTGTTGCCTCTGCTGCTGCTGCCGACCTGCTTGGTCTTGAGTCGGTCGGCGCGGCGTCTGCCCCTAGTGGGAGACGTCGCTCCAGCAAGGGCAAGGGGGGCAAGGGCGCGGGTGGAGCTGGAGGGGGCGGTGGCGGTGGCGGCGGTGGCGGCGGAGGGAGTGGGGGTGGCGGCGGGGCTAGTGGCGGGGGTGGTGGTGGTGGTGGCGGCAGCGGCGGCGGAGACGGTGGTGGTGGTGCCAGCGGTGGTGGTGGAGGCAGCGGCGGAGGTGGAGGCGGCGGAGGTGGAGGCAGTGGAGGCGGCAGCGGAGGAGGCAGTAGTGGTGGAGGAGGTGGAGCTGGTCGGGGTGGTACCCAGCAGCGTAGCGGCGGTGGTGGTGGCCAGCGCTCGCACCGGCAGCAGCAGCAGCGCTCGCGGGACATCCCTTCGCCTCAGCAGCTTCGTGAGTGGTACGCTGGGCGTCAGAGGGGTGGGGGTACTGGTCCCTGCACCTACGTTCTTCGTTCCGGCGACCGCGCGGGTGAGCAGTGTGGGGGTGCCCACGCCACCCAGCGCTGCTTTGGCCGCCTGACGGACGCTTGGCGTCAGCAGTTCCCTGGGGCTAGTGAGATCCCTCGCTGGGATGAGCTTCTCAGGGCTGGTGTAGCGATCTTTGATCTTGATTTTGATGCTATCCTTACTGCTATGTATGTTGTGGATTATAGTGAGGAGAATGAGGGTTACCGGTGTTTTCAGCCCGACCCGGGCATTGGTACTGCTGCACTAGGTGCTTGTGAGGCTGCTGCTCTAGGTGCCAGTGCGTCTGCGCTCTCAGGTACTGGTGAGACTGCGCTCTCAGGTACTGAGTCGTCCTCGTCCTCCCTCACTTTCACACTTGACTCCGGAGCTTCGCGCTCCTTCTTTCGAGACCGCACTACCCTTTCGCCGCTCGCCAGGCCGGTTGCGGTCTCCCTTGCTGACCCCTCTGGGGGTCCTGTCCTGTCTCACTTCTCCACTGTCCTCCCGTGTCCGGCTGCCCCTTCGGGCACCCTGTCGGGTCTGTACCTTCCCTCGTTCTCTACGAACTTGGTGAGTGGAGCGGACCTGCAGGATGGGGGTGTTCACCAGTTCACTCCTGCGCGTCAGAGGGTGACCCACTGCACGGAGGCTCGCACAGGCCGACACCTGGCCACGTTCTCACGTCGGCCGGGGTCGAGTCTCTACACCCTGACCGTTGAGTCTCCTCCTGTCCCTGCGTCTGGTCAGGTGGCTGCGTCGAGTCAGGTACTTGCTGCTGCGTCCCGGTCAGGTCCTGAGTCTGCCCCCTGTTCTTGTCGCCTCCTGTCTCACGAGACTCTCCTGTGGCACCACCGTCTTGGCCACCCCTCCTTGCCCCGTCTTCGGAGCATGGCTTCCCGTGTCCTTGTCTCTGGTCTTCCCCAGTCTCTCCCTCCTCTCCCCTCCGGGCCAGGACCTTCCTGTGTCCCCTGTGTCGAGGGTCGCCTCCGGGCTACTCCTCACTCCTCCCACTTCCCCCCGACAGAGTCTCCCCTGCAGACGCTTCACATGGATGTGTGGGGCCCAGCCCCCGTCCGTGGGCAGGGGTACGAGCGCTACTTCCTGTTGGTGGTTGACGACTACTCGCGTTACACCACAGTCCTCCCCTTGCGCAGCAAGGGTGCAGTCACTGAGGTGCTGATCGACTGGATCCGCGAGGCTCGTCTCCAGCTCAGGAAGAGCTTCGGCTCGGACTTTCCTGTTCTGCGTCTGCACTCTGACAGAGGCGGAGAGTTCTCTTCTCGCCTTCTGCGAGACTACTGTCGTGCACGGGGGATCCGCCAGACCTTCACGCTTCCGGACTCACCACAGCAAAATGGGATTGCTGAGCGCCGCATTGGCATGGTCATGGATGTCGCTCGTACGTCCATGATGCATGCGGCTGCCCCCCATTTTCTGTGGCCGTTTGCGGTGAGGTACGCGGCGCATCAGCTCAACCTTCACCCCCGGGTCTCTCGGCCAGCGATGTCCCCAGCCTTGCTGTGGACGGGGAAGGTTGGCGATGCGTCTGTGTTCCGTGTCTGGGGATCTCGGGCGTTTGTCCGCGACTTGTCTGCGGACAAGCTGTCCCCTCGTGCTGCTCCCTGTGTCTTCCTTGGCTTCCCCACTGACGCCCCAGGGTGGCAGTTTTACCACCCCTCCTCTCGTCGTGTTCTGTCCTCCCAGGACGTCACGTTCGACGAGTCAGTCCCCTTCTACCGTCTCTTCCCCTACCGCACTCCTTCCCTCCCCCCTCCCCCGGACTTCCTTGTGCCGGTTCCCCCCCCGGTAGACCCCCTCCCCCCTCAGGTTCCTGCCCCCTCAGGTGTGTCCCAGGTAGACGCCGTTGACCCGGTCGAGGTTACTGGTGACTCTGGTGCTGCTGCGGGTGCTGAGCCTGGGGGTGCTGACTCTGGGGGTGCTGTGCGCGGGGGTGCTGAGCCTGGGGGTGCTACTGCTGGGGGTGCTGGGCCTGAGGGTGCTACTGCGGAGGGTGCGGAGCCTGGGGGTGCTGAGCCGGGGGGTGCTGTGCCTGGAGGTGCTGGGTCTGGGGGTGCTGGGTCGGGAGCTGCTGAGCCTGGGGGTGCTGCGTCTGGAGCTGCTGAGCCTGGGGTTTCTCCTGCTGCTGCGTCTCGCCGGGAGCCCCTCTCTCCACAGGAGCTGCGCGAGTGGTTCGCTCGCCGCTGGAGGCGTGCTGCTGAGTCTGGAGGTGCTGCTGGAGCTGGAGCTGGAGCTTCTTCGACCGTCGAGGGTGCGGGTGCAGCCGTTCCCGGAGCTGCTGGCCCTGCGGGTCCTCCTGGAGCTGGAGCTGCTGAGGGCGTTCGTGCTGAGCCTGCTGCTGTTGGTCCTGCCGCTGGAGGTGTGGGTGGCGCTGGTGCTGTCGCTGAGGGTGCTGGTGCTGTCCCTGCTGAGTCTGGAGCTGCCGCGCGGCCTCGGCCGTACTTCGTTCCGCTCCTTCAGCAGGTTCTTGGTCTTTCTCCTCCAGTAGAGGGTCCACCGCCTGTCCAGTCGCAGCCCCTACTGGAGCCTTCCTCTCCGCTGCCTGCTCCCTCTCCTTACACTGGTCCTACTGGAGGTCTTGCTGAGCGTCGTGAGCCTGCGTCTCGTCCCGCGTCGCCTGTTCGTGCTGCTCGCGCTAGTGGTCGCAGTTCGCGTCAGCGTCCTCCTCCTGTCCCTGGCACGCACCGGATGTCTTTACGTCCGTCCACTGCTCCTCTGCGTGCCCCTTTGCCTTCTCCTCCTGAGTCCTCTCTTCCTGCGCTTGCGGACCCTGAGTCGGACTCTCTTCGTGCTGCCAGTCCCACTGTCACGCGTCTGCTTGCTACTGTCGTCACTGACCCCTCTTTTGAGTCCACTGCTGCGTCTGCTCTAGTCGCTGAGCTCGTCGACTTTGCTGCTCGCTGTCGTCTCGACTACGCTGCTAGTCTTGTTGCTGAGTCTGCGTCTGTCTGTCCTCCGTCCGTCGGGGGTGAGTGTGCTCTTGGCACGGACGTCCTAGAGGACAGGCAGGAGGAGTTACAGTGTCTAGCGGCTGCTTCACCTCATCTCGCGTCTGTACTGCTTGCCCCTGAGGGAGACCCGGATGCACTAGACATCCCGACTCCGCGTTCTTACGCGGAGGCCGTAGAGGGTCCCTACTCCTCTCAGTGGCAGGCAGCTATGGATGCAGAGATGGCTTCCTGGAAGTCCACAGGCACCTACGTTGACGCAGTCCCCCCTCCTGGGGCGAACATCGTCAGTGGCATGTGGATCTTCAGGGTGAAGCGGCCGCCGGGCTCTCCACCTGTCTTCAAGGCACGGTACGTTGCTCGTGGCTTCAGTCAGCGGCAGGGAGTTGACTACTTTCAGACCTTCTCTCCCACCCCGAAGATGACTACTCTTCGGGTGCTGCTGCACATAGCCGCTCAGCGCGACTACGAGCTTCACTCTCTCGACTTCAGCACTGCGTTCTTGCAGGGTAGCCTGCACGAGGAGATCTGGCTTCGCCGTCCACCTGGCTTCACTGGGACTTTCCCTCCTGGCACCCAGTGGAGCCTCCGACGGCCAGTCTACGGTCTCCGCCAGGCACCGCGTGAGTGGCACGACACACTGAGGACTACACTTGCGGCTCTTGGGTTTGCTCCTTCTACTGCTGACCCGTCGCTGTTTCTTCGCACCGACACTTCCCTGCCGCCGTTCTACATCCTCGTGTACGTCGACGACCTGGTCTTTGCCACAGCGGACACTGCTGGACTCGCCTACGTGAAGTCCGAGCTGTTGAAGAGACACACGTGCACAGACCTGGGTGAACTGCGCAGCTACCTTGGCTTGCAGATCACTCGGGACAGAGCACGCCGCACCATTACCTTGACTCAGTCACACATGGTGCAGCAGGTCCTTCAGCGCTTCGGCTTCACGTACTCCTCGCCTCAGGCCACTCCTCTGCCTACTCGCCACTCACTCTCAGCTCTGCCTTCGGATGAGTCCGTAGAGTCGAGTGGTCCGTATGCGGAGCTTGTTGGCTGCCTCATGTACCTGATGACCTGCACACGACCTGACCTTGCATACCCTCTGAGCATTCTTGCACGCTATGTTGCTCCTGGGAGACACAGACCGGAGCACATGGCTGCAGCGAAGAGGGTATTGCGCTACCTGTGCAGTACGTCAGGCATGGGGCTAGTGCTTGGAGGGCGGAGTCCAGTGGTCCTTACCGGCCACGCGGACGCGTCTTGGGCTGACGACCAGGCTACGCAGCGGTCGTCACAGGGTTACACCTTCAGCCTTGGTTCCGGCTCTGTCTCGTGGCGGTCTACTCGCTCGTCTTCGGTTCTCGGCTCCAGTTGTGAGGCTGAGATCTACGCCGGGGCCATGGCTGCACAGGAGCTTCGCTGGCTCACCTACCTGCTGACTGACCTTGGAGAGCCGCCTCGTTCTCCTCCAGTGCTGTACGTAGACAACAAGGCTATGCTGGCCTTGTGTCGAGAGCAGCGCTTGGAGCACAGAACGAAGCACATTGCTCTCCGCTACTTCCTTGCTCGTGAGCTGCAGCAGCGTGGTCAGTTGCGACTTGCGTACGTGGCCTCTGAGGCCAACACTGCTGATGTGTTCACCAAGGCACTTGCGCCTTGTGACCATCAGCGCTTCTGCACCCAGCTGGGTCTTGTGCCTGTCTTGCCTCACTTGCTCTCCTCTTGACTTCACTTGTACTGTGACATATATATATATACCTGCTCTTGCTTGTCTAGCTTTATATATATGTCTGTACTCTTGCTTGTGAACTGGCCTTTGGCCTCACTCTTGTGCTCGGACTGTGTGGTGACTTTGTGATCCACCCTGAGCTTTGCTTTGTCTTGCTTGACTGGTCTTGTGACCCCTTGTTCTCCCCCACTTTGCCTATGGGGGTGTGTCAGAACATATCTATAGCTTATACTGCTGTGTAGGCTGTAGTGGGGTATCCCATAGGGGGTACAACCCAGTTAGGGTTTCATATTTGTACTGCTTTCATTCATAGTTCACTCATTCCTGTTTTCCTACTTTCACAAATCTGACCCGATATGAGATTTCGCCGTTGTGCGTAGCACAAGCATCAATTTCAGACTCTGGTTATCTCGAATGCCTGAAAGAACCTTACCGTGTGTTTTCTTATTCCCACCCGTGATAACATCTGCCTTTGCCAACCAAGCATGATTGCACCCTGATTCTCGCTCACTGCACAACCCCACCAGGCGATTGCCTTGGCTGGCTATCTCAGCTTCCTCAGAGCTGCCTTCTAATTTCAAGTTGTAACTCATCCTTGTTGATTCATCTCCAAAATGTTGAACTCCTCTCCGCCTCCCGCAGCCTTGGGACTTCAGCCTCCTCAACCTCTGCTTTGCTGCCGCGTCAGCCTGTATGCCAGGACCATTGTCTTCTGGCTTCTGTTTCTCCAGGTTTGGCCTGTGGTAGGTGAGTATGGCTTCTTCCTTTGCTTGTGGTTTATGCATGAGTTTCTCTCGGTTTTTGTTCCGGTTTTCTTGGTTTTCTTGCAGGTTAGGTCCTCTTCTCCCTCTGTGTTTCGGCTGTTTCTGGATCGGTTCTGCTGGCTTTTCCTGCAAGTATTGCTGGGTTTTTCTCTCATCTCTCTCCTTGGTGGTTTCCACAGGCTTTCCCCGTGGCACATTATCCTTGTAGTGCAATCACTGCAGGTGCCTCCTAGTCTGTCTGCTCTCCTCTTCCTCCTCTCTGCCCGGTTCTGCTGGAGGTTTTACGCTCTCTGGAAAACCCTGCTTGCGCAACATGTCGCGCTCCACGTCTACTCCCAGCCATGCACTCGTGCTTGGGTGACACGTTTTGCCGTGTCTGCGCTTCCTCCTGCGTGCTCTCTCTATGCTCGCCTCGCGGCTCCCCTTCTCCTCGCTGGATCCTTGTTGGTTACTGTGTGCCTAGGCCATCGCCAAAGCCACGTCCTTTTCACTCGTGAAATTGGTACATTTTATGATCCCTCTGAGTCGCGATGCGTCGAGCCATCCCTCTCACCCCTTCCGCGTCGGACCGCGCTTCCATGCTACAAATCGACGTACCAGGACATTCCATCCTTACCACCCGGCGCTATGGAGCCCCAGCACAACCCAGACGAACTCATGGGAGAGGAGGAGCTCGGTGCCTCCTTCTCGGTCGATTCCTTTTTTGCCGAGGAGGCTGTCACCCCCGCTGTCTCTGCTCCGCCTCCCGCGAAACGCGTCTGCGCTGCTGGTTCTTCCAGTTCTGTGCCTGTGGCTCCCCGGGCGGCCACGGTGGTGCCGCCAGTCCCTCCGGTCATGGCTCCCGCAGCTGGTCCTTCCTCGGCTGCGCCTGCTCCTTCAACGTCGACCCAGGATGCCAATCCTGTGGTCGCCCTCGCCATCACCGGCCGGTATCAGCGCCTACGGCGCAACCGCGAGACTGTGGGAGTCGTCGTCGTGGCCTTGGCTCGCGACACCGATGCACTTGTCGTGCTCCTGTTCCCTGAGGCGCTCGGAGCACACCGCAGCCGCATCCTTACCCGCGTCCGCAGCATCCTCCGCGGTCGTGATTTCTCTGGTGGCCGCGTCCCTGTCTTCGAGGCCTCCGCAGGCGAGCTGCTGCGCCTTCCCCGTCGCTCGTACTGCCGTCACATGCTTCAGTGGTCGTCGGCTGATGATGCAAACCGCTTCAAGCAACTCCTTCCGATCACCTACCGCTCTTCCAAGGGGCCGACCGTGGAGATTAAGGTTTACCAGGATCCCGCTCCCGACTTCTCCGCGGCAAAGGCTCGTGGTGAAACTGTTCTGGTGTTGCGCAACGTCCATGTGGGCTTTGCGGTCCATACGATTCGCTCTCTGCTCGTGTCAAGTGCCTCTCAGGGTGCTAGGTGGCTCGGTGACCTTATATTCTTTCATAAGTTGTTTGACCCCTATGAGGAGTCCTTTCTCCCACAGATGCTGGGCATAGCCGTCGCGCCTCCCAACGACCCGCTGTTCGAGGCTATTCCGGCCGTGATCTGGGTGCCTAACGTCCAAGAACCCATCTTGGTGAATATCTCGGCACACTCGTGCGGGGTGTGCTCAAGCAATCACCGGACCCGCGATCACAGCAACTTCGCGGCGGTGCGAAGGAACCGCATCACGAATCCTTTTACCATCACTCTTGGGCAACTCCAAAACGTTAATGGTACTCCCCCCCTTCTCCTTTTTGATTCTAGTGCCTCTACTCGCTTTGCTTTTGGGTCGGTCTGCCGCTACGTCTTCGGTTTGCCTCCTTGTGTCGGTTATAATCCTTACTTTCCGTTTCCTGTCTGGTGCTCGGCTTGCCTGTCTTTCGTTCTACGACGTGCACGTTTCACCCTTAGCCTGGCCCCTCTGGTCTTGAGATTTGCTCATCTCGGTTTCTACCCCCTGACATCTTCCAGCCAGGATCATCGGCCACCATCCTTCAGTGGCCTCCTTCAAGGCAGACCCCGGCACCTTCTTCATCGGAACCGACCTCGAGGTGGAGGTCTGGACCTGCGCTCTGTGTTCCTTCTGCTGTGGCTGGGCACTGGACAGTGCCATGGAGCATATTGCCAACCCCTCCCACGTGTCTGCCACCCAGCAGATATCCGGCAGCCCCACTCCCCTGGAAGAGTACGGGGATGTGAAGGCCCACATCTTCAATCAGAATGGCCCTATCGCTGCCTTTCTTGCGTAGGCGCGGAAGACTACAGCTGTCGTGCCCTATCGGCGCGCTGCTTGTACTCAATGTTGTATAATCAAGCCGGACGGATTTTGTGCAACTCTTGGTCTTTTGTTCCCTCCCTGGATGGTCCTTCTAAAGTTGCTTCCTTACCCTGCCCCTGTGGATGTGTGCTTCTTGAAGCACAAGGGGCCTTCTTATATGGTGAATAATGGATTCACACCTCAGGATACAATGTTTGAACGTCAATGGGCTCAACTCTCCCCAGAAGTTAGATGTTCTTCGCTCCTGGTTCTCTAGGAACCGCTCTGATATTCTTATCCTAACCGACACTTGCCTTACCACTAATTTCTCCCAACTCCTGTTTGAACTCAAGCCAAAGGCATACGCCCAGGTTCCTCCACGCCTCTCATCTTCTTCCCAGGCCAAACCTGGAGGCATTGCAGTTCTAGTTTTCCATCCTAGCGTCTCCATTACTAGCAGGGCATCTTCTGGTGATGGCCGCTGCCTTTACCTTCACTGCAATTTTCTGCACGAACAATTTCGGCTGATTGCGGTATACGCACCCAATTATTACTTGGATAGACGAAACTGGTGGATCGATACAGTTACACACTTCTTGGAGGAACCTTCCGTCAGTTCCGCTACCATTCTTACCGGAGATTTTAACACTGTTGTACTCCCTGTTGACAGGAGTCGTAACTTGACATCTGTCGAGTGTTCCGAGGCTGTCTTCCTAGGCGATTCTCTGACAGAGCACTGTCTCATTGATTGTTATAGGCACAAATTTCCGGACGAGCCCATGTTCTCCTTTACTTCCCGTCGGCCTCCCTCCGTTCCTAACTCCGCGCCTTCCTCGTCCCGATTGGACAGAACGTACATTTCTGCCCAGTGGGCCGATCGGATTCATCATGCTTCCTATACTCCTGTTTCCCATCCTCTCTCAGACCACAACCGGGGCCCGCTGGTGGTGATTCGATTTCATAACCCCAATATGGCCCCTAAGCCGTGGCGGTTTCCGCAGCATTTGATTCTCAAGCCTTTCGTGTGCTCTACCTTAGAACGCTCCGCCTCCTTGCTCCAGGGCGAGTTCTCCGTACAAGAGTGGGATCACTGGAAGTCCAACCTCTGCCGCCAACTCAGATGGTACAGCAAGGAGGAGACAACACGTGTTAGGAAAACACTGTCTTACCTTAATAATGAGGTATGCGCTCTCCAGCTACACCTCCTGAGAAACCCTGCTGACCAGCTCGGTGCTGCTCGCCTCGCCCTTCTCTCTTCCAGCCTGGAAACTTACGAACTCTCCCGTGCCGCCGAAATCGCGCTTAAAGCTCAACTCAAAGTCGAGGGTGCAAGGGAGATGGGAGTTTCCTCCCTTTTGGTCGGCCTTCAAGGTCGTATCAAAGATTCCCTCATTCCTCATCTTAAGCTGCCCTCTGGCGTGGTGATTTCTGACCTGCCCGGCATGTCCCAACACTGTTCTGAGTTCTTCGCTAATCTATATAATGGCCTCACTCCTATCTCCAAGGACCCCTCCTTTTGGGGTCATGTCCGGCCTTCTATACTGCCCCCCGGCTGCTCTGCCCGCCTGGACCAGCCTTTCTCCCAGGCTGAAATCGAACGTGCGCTCGGGCGTCTCTCCAGAGGAAAAACGCCAGGTCCGGACGGGCTTCCCGGTGAGCTTTTTCGCTCCCACAAGAAGTTATTCACCCCCTTGTTCCATTCTCTTTGTTGTTCCATCCGCTCGCAAGGTCAGATTCCGAACTCTATGAAGACAGGCAGAACCGTGCTCATCCCCAAGTGTGGAAGCTCCGATGTGGTATCTAACCTCCGGCCGATTACCCTTATGAACGCGGACTATAAAATTATCGCCCTCCTCCTTGCCTCCCGCTTGCAGGCCGTGTTGCCTAAAATCATCAACCCAGCTCAAGCTGCATTCATTACGGGACGTCGCATTGGGGATACAATTAATGACACTCTTGATCTCATGGAATGGGCTCTCTCACAGGGCAACCCGCTTCTTGTTCTCACGGTTGATATTCGGAAAGCCTACGACATGGTAGATAGGCCCTTCCTTTATCAATGCCTGCAGCACTTGGGGATCTCCCCTGGTTTCATCCAATGGGTCGCCTTGCTTCACTCTGACACTTCGACCAGAATCTCGGTTAATAACTTCTCTGGTCCTCTGTTTCCCGTTCGCTCAGGTGTTCGCCAAGGTTGCCCCCTTGCTCCTCTCCTCTTCGTCTGTGTGATTGAGGTCATGCAACGCTACCTCCAGGCTTTTCTGCCTGGCTTCGCTTTCAATCAAACACAAAGAAGGTTAGCCGCTTGCTATGCCGATGATGTTTCTATTTTTCTCAACTCTGATGCTGAACTCAAAATAACCACACAAGCTCTCAACTCGTTTGCTGCCGTGTCTGGTGAACACCCTAATTGGGAGAAATGCTCCATCATTCCCGTTCACAAGCTCGTCTCCCCCTTAATCCACTCTGGCCAGATCCCTGTGAGGAGCGCAGACGAACCCGAGCGGATCTTGGGGATCTACGTGGAATTATGTCAACCTGGTGTGACCACGTGGAACACCATCATGCCACGTATCAGGGGCACCACCAAGGTGCTGGCCCAAATTAAAGCCACCACCACTTGTCGCTCTCTTCTCTCCACCGAAAGACTCTCCTCGCTCTATGCATACGGCGCCAGATTTCAACCCCCCCCCCCCCCCCATCATTACCACTCTGGACCGAGTCATAGGCATCTTTCTGTCCAATTCCCGTTACAAGGAACATGGACTAGCCACCAGGCAAATTCCTAAGCGCATCCTGTTCAACAAAAAGAAACACGGTGGTGTTGGCGCCTTGGAACCTTCCTCGCACATTCGTGCTTTGAGTATTCAACGTGCGGCGAGGAGATTCCGGGCTACCCCTTATGAAGATGTGGCTCACTCTTGTGTCCCTGTCCCCTTTGGCCTCCACTGCTACCTTGCTCACCCATCCCTAGTCAAGTTCCTTCCTCCCCAGGTGCCTGACAGATTCCGTGCGGAGCTTGAAGCAGTGCTTCCCTTACCTTCCAAGGTTCTACCCCCGCGGCTGGAACCGCGTTGTCTCATGGCCGAATCAATTGCCTTCAATAGGTTCATTTGCAAAGAACCGAACGTACCCTTCGGTCGGCTGAAGGATGAGAAGTTTCTTCTCAACAACCAGGTGCGCCTTGGGGACCTTCTCGTTCCCACTCGGTTGGGGGCAAGACGCCTTGAAGAGCATGAGATTTTCGAAAAATTCCCGCCCTCTGTGTTTCCAGGTAGCAGAACGCTCATCCTCAACATCTTCGACTCCATTCCGCTCAGTTGGTGGGCCACGCTCAGACGGTTTTCCCCCCACAGGAAATATTTGTCCGTTGATGACTGGGTCTTGGAGGCGAAACAAACCTACCTTCCCAGCCGCATTCTCCGTGTCTCCCTCCTGCTCTCTGACTTCAAGGCTAAATTCCACATCTACCAGGTATTTCAAGGAAGACATGTGGCGACCACAAGCGACGGAAGCTGCACGCTGTCATTCAGGGATGTCATCCCTGTTTACGTCCGTGGGAGGTGGCTCGCTGGACCATACGATTCTGGACCTGCGCTCGGATCTCGGCATGAACTCTTCGCGGGCTCTCCCTCACTCGCGGATATCAGACAAATCCTCTATCATCCGCTGCCGCTGAACCACCTGGAACGATGGAGCGTTTGCGTTCGAGACCCCATTCCTTTCCTCCCAGACTATCATCACTCGTTTCTCAAGGATCAGCCGTCACGGCACCGCGACATCCTGTTCCGCCTCTTCACGCTGACCCTGCCCTGTGGAGCGCGATACCGCTTCAATACTTCGGGTGGCGCCTGCCCACGTTGCGGGCCTCCCTGTATTGAGGATCTTCCTCACATGTTCTTCGATTGTGGGCATGCGCCTGCGGTGGTGGAGGCAATTCAAAGAGTCGCTTTGAGACACCTAAACACTTCTGTTGAAGCAGCCGCCACGTTCTTCCCGCTTCCTCACCCTTCGAGTCTCATTGCTCCCTGGTGCCTACTCGTGGGTGCTGCTGCCACAATTCTTTGGCGAGATCGATGCGCATTTCACCATGAACAGACCTCCTACTCACGCCTTGAGACGCTACACCGAATACTAGCTCTCTTCCTTACTGCGTGCAAAGTCTACTTCTCTCGACGTTCTAAGTGGTCTGATAAGAAGAAACGTGCCACAAACAACCGTGTCAAAGCTGCAGCTTCTCTACGCCTCCTCAATTTTGGCCCCGACGGCTCCCCTCAGCTGCATCCATGCCTCCGAGAGTCTTGGTTGCTGAACGACACATTTCATCCTCCTTAGAATCTCTTGGACCCTAGGTGTACAACCCGGTTAAGGCTTCGGCCTTCACTCTACCGTAAGGTAGGCAAGTAACGCAGTTTTGGGTAGGTCTTTTAGACCTTGGCTTTTTGCCATTCTTGTGGTGTTGTACTGTATGCGGTTACGACCATAATAAAAACTTAAAAACTTAAAAACTTAAAACTTCCCACCCGTGATAAGCTGTCCTTCCACGATCACGAATCTATGACCAGCAAGTCTCGTAGTGACTCTGACAATCTGGTGAGCTCACCCCAGGGGCGCCACGTAAGATGACGCGATCCGCGGCTTGCTCTACCAAGCTGACGTGGCAAAATGCCGAAGTCGCTCGGCGGCAGGGCAGGGGGGCTTAGAAACGAGGCAAGAACGCAGAGGAAATTCGCGAGAGCGAAATTCCATTTCGACGTCGCGCAGCGACTCCGCCGCCGCGTGCCCCGTCGCGTCATGCTTCAACAATACGTGGCGGAGAAGGGAGAGGAAAGAGGGGGGCAGTGATGGTTCAGAGCACACGCGCAGTAAGCCCAGAGGTGTTTCCTGCAAAGTAGAGGAGAGTCCTTTACATCAAGAAGATCTCTAAGCGCACACCTTGAGATTATCCACCCGGTCTTGGGACATATTAAGCCTGACTGAGTTTTCTGCTCGCTGAGAATATGTCCCAAGTGATGGTTCAGAGCACACGCGCAATAAGCCTCAGAAGATCTCTAAGCGCACAACTTGAGATTATCCACCCGCCCATGTCGTGGCGCTGCCTTGCTCCTCGCTGCGACTCGCAAACATGCGACTCGCATTGCGTGCAGTCTTGTTTCTTAGCTCGGCGATGGCGGCAGAGGGACAACAGCGAGACCCGCGCTCCGCCATGCGCAGCTCCGCCATCCGCAGCTCTTCAGCGTGCTGTCACCCATGACCCGCGATTGCTGCCATGCTCGCCGTGCCTGCCTCTTCCCCTGCATGTCGCCACATGTCCCCTGCCCTGCCCCGCCCTCCCCCCCCCTTCGCACCCCCTGCCCCCCCCTGCCCTGATTACTATGCCACGTTCGCCAAGTCGCCCTCTCTGTGTCACTCCATACCTCCACGTCACTCCATACCTCCGCGTCACTCCATACCTCCGCGTCACTCCATACCTCCGCGTCACTCCATACCTCCGCGTCACTCCATACCTCCGCGTCACTCCATACCTCCGCGTCACTCCATACCTCCGCGTCACTCCATACCTCCGCGTCACTCCATACCTCCGCGTCACTCCATACCTCCGCGTCACTCCATACCTCCGCGGCACTCCATACCTCCGCGTCACTCCATACCTCCGCGTCACTCCATACCTCCGCGTCTCACACCCTCGCACTTCTTCAGCCGTCCCTGTGCCGAGCCCTAACTCCCCTAACCACCCTACCCGTCTTCCCGCTTTCCCGGTCGCCCCAGGCACTCCCAGCCTTCCCACCCCCACCCTCACAAGCTCCAATGCGCCATGCGGCAGGAGAGAGATCCAGTGTGTTGCTCGCTCAGTCGCTCTAGTCTTTGTCCGCTCACTCGCTCGCTCTGCAGGCTCGTCTTTCTCCCACGTGTCATCTCATCTCGCGCCCGCTCAGTCACTGGTCGTCATCTCTCGGCCGCCTGCCTGCCCGTTTCTGCACAAGCCATTCCACTGCCCGCCGCTTCGCTGCTGTGCCGACTTATTGAGACGTCTCAAATTCTGCACAAGCCAATCCACTGCCCACCGCTTCACCGCCGTGTCAACCCCTCCCATCCCTCCACCCTCCCACGCTCCCAGCCTTCCCACCACGCACACCACTCCATCACCTCGTGGTTTCGTTCCGCCAGCACTCACCGCCTATTTCCCCTCTGCTCTTACCACCTGTGCTCTTACCACCTGTGCTCTTACCACCTGTGCTCTTGCCACCTGTGCTCTTGCCACCTGTGCTCTTGCCACCTGTGCTCTTGCCACCTGTGCTCTTGCCACCTGTGCTCTTGCCACCTGTGCTCTTACCACCTGTGCTCTTGCCACCTGTGCTCTTGCCACCTGTGCTCTTACCACCTGTGCTCTTACCACCTGTGCTCTTACCACCTGTGCTCTTACCACCTGTGCTCTCACCACCTGTGTCCTCCAAGCTCCGTGCTCCCCGGCTGCTCATCCGTCCCTTTCTCCTGGTTTTTCCCTCCCCATCACCGTGTGCCCCGAATGGCAGGAGTGGCAGGAGTGGCACGACTGGCTGTGGCGCGGGCAGGGCAGCTGCTAGCAGCGGTTCATGCTGCTGTGACTGTATCAAGGCTGCTGTGACTGTATCGAGGCTGCTCTGACTGTATCGAGGCTTCTGTGACTGTATCGAGGCTGCTGTGACTGTATCGAGGCTGCTGTGACTGTATCGAGGCTTCTGTGACTGTATCGAGGCTGCTGTGACTGTATCGAGGGTGCTGCTGAAGCATGGTCCGCCTGACAGCAGCGACGTCGCCCAGCTCCATACGCTGTGAGTGCGCGGGCAGGCTGCTGCTAGCAGTGGTCCACACGCTTACTTTCTCACAACCACTGTGTACACTGCTTGGTGACTTAAGAGTCGACTCAAAAGTCACCTTGCACCCCAAGAGTCGAGTGGAGTGGATTGGATTGGATTGGTTGCTTGGCTTGCTTGGCTTACTTTCTCACAACCAGTTGTAACACACACTTTGTTCCACTGCATGGCACCCCAAGAGTGGATTGGAGTGGAGTGGAGTGGCGTGGAGTGGAGTGGATTGGATTGGTTGCTTGGCTTGCTGCGCTGGAGATTCATTTCTGCTTGCTTGGCTTGGCCATTTGAGTTCCCACCCACACTGTCACTCTATAAAAAAAGCCTGAATCCAATGGCCCCCTGCCAGTAAGAGACTCCCACGCATTTATCAGCAAGCAATCACATTCATCCCCCCTTTTCCCTTTCCCCTTTGCCATTTCCCTCACCACCTCACTCCCTTTCCCTTTTCCCCCTTCTCTCCCCTTTTTCCCATTCCCTCTTCCCGCTTCCGCCTTCCGCTTTCCGCCTTCCACGTTCCCCCTTCCTTTTTGCCCTCCCCATCCCTCCTCCCCCTTTCCACCTTTCCTCCTCCCTCGTCTCCCTTCCCCTTTCTCCGTGCTCTTTTTCCTCCCCATTGCCCTTTTTCCTCCCCATTGCCCTTTTTCCTCCCGATTGCCCTTTTTCCTCCCCATTGCCCTTTTTCCTCCCCATTGCCCTTTTTCCTCCCCATTTCCCTTTTCTCTCCCCATTTCCCTTTTTCCTCCCCATTTCCCTTTTTCCTCCCCATTTCCCTTTTTCCTCCCCATTTCCCTTTTTCCTCCCCATTTCCCTTTTTCCTCCCCATTGCCCTTTTTCCTCCCCATTGCCCTTTTTCCTCCCCATTGCCCTTTTTCCTCCCCATTGCCCTTTTTCCTCCCCATTGCCCTTTTTCCTCCCCATTGCCCTTTTTCCTCCCCATTTCCCTTTTTTCTCCCCATTTCCCTTTTTCCTCCCCATTTCCCTTTTTCCTCCCCATTTCCCTTTTTCCTCCCCATTTCCCTTTTTCCTCCCCATTTCCCTTTTTCCTGTCTTCTCCTCCCACTTCCCCCTGCCCCTTCCCTTCGTGCCCTTTCCCCTCCCGATTGTTCCTCCCTCCTCTTCCCCCTAAACCCTATATGCGCACACCTGCAGGATTCCGGCACACAGCTAGCCATGGGCCTCACATGCGACTCACCTCCCTGCACCGAATCCCACCGTCTTGCACCTCGATCTGTTCCCCTTCCCCCTTTCCCATTCTCCCCACCTGCAGGATTCCGGCACACAGCTCGCCATGGGACTCACATGGAACTAGCGGCCCTGCACTATGAGTGAGGGGGGAAGGGTGGGGGGACTGGGGAGGGCGGAGGGGAGGATTGGGCGTGCATGGCGTGCAGGGCGTGGTGGCGAAGGATGTGTTCACAATGATCACATAGATGTGCTCCATCCCACACAATGATCACCGTATCTGTCTCTCATGGCTCATCTCTCATGCATGTGCGTGCAGGGCGTGGTGGCGAAGGATGTGTCCACAGTGTCGTACCATGGGGGGCCACTGGATGATGAGATGACCACGGTGAGATGAAACGAGCATGGTGAGATGAAACGAGCATGGTGAGATGAAACGAGCATGGTGAGATGAAACGAGCATGGTGAGCTGAAACGAGCATGGTGAGATGAAACGAGCATGGTGAGATGAAACGAGCATGGTGAGAAGAAACCAGCGCGGTGAGATGAATGCGTCACGGTGTGATGAAACGAGCATGGTGAGATGAAACAACCACAACTAAATACCTTGTGTTGTGTCCCTGTCCACCCCTGTCCCTGTCCACCACTAGATCCCCTCGTAGGAGGTATGGCGTAGCGTGGCAGCAGCTGTGTTTAGCAAACTGTTGTTTAGTTTGGTTTTATGCTTGCTTGTAAAAAACCTTGTGTTGTGTCCCTGTCCACCCCTGTCCCTGTCCACCACTGTCCCTTTATTTGCAGACATTGTTCGTGCCACCTGTTCCTTCGACTCTACTGCGTCTGATCACCGATTCTCTCATGCACCACTGCTGCCAATCATGCACCACTGCTGCCAATCATGCACCACTGCTGCCAATCATGCACCACTGCTGCCAATCATGCACCACTGCTGCCAATCATGCACCACTGCTGCCAATCATGCACCACTGCTGCCAATCATGCACCACTGCTGCCAATCATGCACCACTGCTCCCAATCATGCACCACTGCTCCCAATCATGCACCACTGCTGCCAATCATGCACCACTGCTGCCAATCATGCACCACTGCTGCCAATCATGCACCACTGCTGCCAATCATGCACCACTGCTGCCAATCATGCACCACTGCTGCCAATCATGCACCACTGCTGCCAATCATGCACCACTGCTGCCAATCATGCACCACTGCTCCCAATCATGCACCACTGCTCCCAATCATGCACCACTGCTGCCAATCATGCACCACTGCTGCCAATCATGCACCACTGCTGCCAATCATGCACCACTGCTGCCAATCATGCACCACTGCTGCCAATCATGCACCACTGCTGCCAATCATGCACCACTGCTGCCAATCATGCACCACTGCTGCCAATCATGCACCACTGCTGCCAATCATGCACCACTGCTGCCAATCATGCACCACTGCTGCCAATCATGCACCACTGCTGCCAATCATGCACCACTGCTGCCAATCATGCACCACTGCTGCCAATCATGCACCACTGCTGCCAATCATGCACCACTGCTGCCAATCATGCACCACTGCTGCCAATCATGCACCACTGCTGCCAATCATGCACCACTGCTGCCAATCATGCACCACTGCTGCCAATCATGCACCACTGCTGCCAATCATGCACCACTGCTGCCAATCATGCACCACTGCTGCCAATCATGCACCACTGCTGCCAATCATGCACCACTGCTGCCAATCATGCACCACTGCTGCCAATCATGCACCACTGCTGCCAATCATGCACCACTGCTGCCAATCATGCACCACTGCTGCCAATCATGCACCACTGCTGCCAATCATGCACCACTGCTGCCAATCATGCACCACTGCTGCCAATCATGCACCACTGCTGCCAATCATGCACCACTGCTGCCAATCATGCACCACTGCTGCCAATCATGCACCACTGCTGCCAATCATGCACCACTGCTGCCAATCATGCACCACTGCTGCCAATCATGCACCACTGCTGCCAATCATGCACCACTGCTGCCAATCATGCACCACTGCTGCCAATCATGCACCACTGCTGCCAATCATGCACCACTGCTGCCAATCATGCACCACTGCTGCCAATCATGCACCACTGCTGCCAATCATGCACCACTGCTGCCAATCATGCACCACTGCTGCCAATCATGCACCACTGCTGCCAATCATGCACCACTGCTGCCAATCATGCACCACTGCTGCCAATCATGCACCACTGCTGCCAATCATGCACCACTGCTGCCAATCATGCACCACTGCTGCCAATCATGCACCACTGCTGCCAATCATGCACCACTGCTGCCAATCATGCACCACTGCTGCCAATCATGCACCACTGCTGCCAATCATGCACCACTGCTGCCAATCATGCACCACTGCTCCCAATCATGCACCACTGCTCCCAATCATGCACCACTGCTGCCAATCATGCACCACTGCTGCCAATCATGCACCACTGCTGCCAATCATGCACCACTGCTGCCAATCATGCACCACTGCTGCCAATCATGCACCACTGCTCCCAATCATGCACCACTGCTGCCAATCATGCACCACTGCTGCCAATCATGCACCACTGCTGCCAATCATGCACCACTGCTGCCAATCATGCACCACTGCTGCCAATCATGCACCACTGCTGCCAATCATGCACCACTGCTGCCAATCATGCACCACTGCTGCCAATCATGCACCACTGCTGCCAATCATGCACCACTGCTGCCAATCATGCACCACTGCTGCCAATCATGCACCACTGCTGCCAATCATGCACCACTGCTGCCAATCATGCACCACTGCTGCCAATCATGCACCACTGCTGCCAATCATGCACCACTGCTGCCAATCATGCACCACTGCTGCCAATCATGCACCACTGCTGCCAATCATGCACCACTGCTGCCAATCATGCACCACTGCTGCCAATCATGCACCACTGCTGCCAATCATGCACCACTGCTGCCAATCATGCACCACTGCTGCCAATCATGCACCACTGCTGCCAATCATGCACCACTGCTGCCAATCATGCACCACTGCTGCCAATCATGCACCACTGCTGCCAATCATGCACCACTGCTGCCAATCATGCACCACTGCTGCCAATCATGCACCACTGCTGCCAATCATGCACCACTGCTGCCAATCATGCACCACTGCTGCCAATCATGCACCACTGCTGCCAATCATGCACCACTGCTGCCAATCATGCACCACTGCTGCCAATCATGCACCACTGCTGCCAATCATGCACCACTGCTGCCAATCATGCACCACTGCTGCCAATCATGCACCACTGCTGCCAATCATGCACCACTGCTGCCAATCATGCACCACTGCTGCCAATCATGCACCACTGCTGCCAATCATGCACCACTGCTGCCAATCATGCACCACTGCTGCCAATCATGCACCACTGCTGCCAATCATGCACCACTGCTGCCAATCATGCACCACTGCTGCCAATCATGCACCACTGCTGCCAATCATGCACCACTGCTGCCAATCATGCACCACTGCTGCCAATCATGCACCACTGCTGCCAATCATGCACCACTGCTGCCAATCATGCACCACTGCTGCCAATCATGCACCACTGCTGCCAATCATGCACCACTGCTGCCAATCATGCACCACTGCTGCCAATCATGCACCACTGCTGCCAATCATGCACCACTGCTGCCAATCATGCACCACTGCTGCCAATCATGCACCACTGCTGCCAATCATGCACCACTGCTGCCAATCATGCACCACTGCTGCCAATCATGCACCACTGCTGCCAATCATGCACCACTGCTGCCAATCATGCACCACTGCTGCCAATCATGCACCACTGCTGCCAATCATGCACCACTGCTGCCAATCATGCACCACTGCTGCCAATCATGCACCACTGCTGCCAATCATGCACCACTGCTGCCAATCATGCACCACTGCTGCCAATCATGCACCACTGCTGCCAATCATGCACCACTGCTGCCAATCATGCACCACTGCTGCCAATCATGCACCACTGCTGCCAATCATGCACCACTGCTGCCAATCATGCACCACTGCTGCCAATCATGCACCACTGCTGCCAATCATGCACCACTGCTGCCAATCATGCACCACTGCTGCCAATCATGCACCACTGCTGCCAATCATGCACCACTGCTGCCAATCATGCACCACTGCTGCCAATCATGCACCACTGCTGCCAATCATGCACCACTGCTGCCAATCATGCACCACTGCTGCCAATCATGCACCACTGCTGCCAATCATGCACCACTGCTGCCAATCATGCACCACTGCTGCCAATCATGCACCACTGCTGCCAATCATGCACCACTGCTGCCAATCATGCACCACTGCTGCCAATCATGCACCACTGCTGCCAATCATGCACCACTGCTGCCAATCATGCACCACTGCTGCCAATCATGCACCACTGCTGCCAATCATGCACCACTGCTGCCAATCATGCACCACTGCTGCCAATCATGCACCACTGCTGCCAATCATGCACCACTGCTGCCAATCATGCACCACTGCTGCCAATCATGCACCACTGCTGCCAATCATGCACCACTGCTGCCAATCATGCACCACTGCTGCCAATCATGCACCACTGCTGCCAATCATGCACCACTGCTGCCAATCATGCACCACTGCTGCCAATCATGCACCACTGCTGCCAATCATGCACCACTGCTGCCAATCATGCACCACTGCTGCCAATCATGCACCACTGCTGCCAATCATGCACCACTGCTGCCAATCATGCACCACTGCTGCCAATCATGCACCACTGCTGCCAATCATGCACCACTGCTGCCAATCATGCACCACTGCTGCCAATCATGCACCACTGCTGCCAATCATGCACCACTGCTGCCAATCATGCACCACTGCTGCCAATCATGCACCACTGCTGCCAATCATGCACCACTGCTGCCAATCATGCACCACTGCTGCCAATCATGCACCACTGCTGCCAATCATGCACCACTGCTGCCAATCATGCACCACTGCTGCCAATCATGCACCACTGCTGCCAATCATGCACCACTGCTGCCAATCATGCACCACTGCTGCCAATCATGCACCACTGCTGCCAATCATGCACCACTGCTGCCAATCATGCACCACTGCTGCCAATCATGCACCACTGCTGCCAATCATGCACCACTGCTGCCAATCATGCACCACTGCTGCCAATCATGCACCACTGCTGCCAATCATGCACCACTGCTGCCAATCATGCACCACTGCTGCCAATCATGCACCACTGCTGCCAATCATGCACCACTGCTGCCAATCATGCACCACTGCTGCCAATCATGCACCACTGCCGCCAATCATGCACCACTGCTGCCAATCATGCACCACTGCTGCCAATCATGCACCACTGCGGCTGCCCATCCATCATCACCCCTGCTCCCCCTCCTCATCTTGCCTCTCATCTCTGCTCCACCTCACATCCCTCTCAACGTTCTTAACTACTTTCGCTTTCCTCTCTGCTCACCCCTGCCGAACTCCCACTACTCCAAGCGCTGCTCACTGGAAGATGTCCCAAGATCTGCTCACTCCTGGCTAACACCCCTCTCAACGATCTCTAACTCCTTTAGCTTTCCCCTCTGCTCACTCCTGGCTGACTGCCACTACTCTCAAACGCGACCTTTCTTTCCATTGTATACACTTTCTCTCTCCTCCATCAAGGTCATCCCCCCCTCCCTCCCTCCCCCCCACCCCCTCGTCCCGTTCCTTCTCCTCCCTTTCCCTGACCTTCTGACTTCCAGCCCACTATGACCACCCTTTTTCAAAACCTTTACAAGGAACACGCAGTTCTGTCCTCTACCGAGTTTCTCTTCTTTCGCCCTCCCAGTCTTCCCCCTCACCCACCCATGCCGTTCCGCTCTTGATCTTCTCTGCCCTCTCTCCCACTCCCTCCCCGCCTCTCCCTGGCCCCTCGCAGCTCACACTCAGCGCCCGCAACTACACTCTCTCGCTGCCAGACATTGAAGCAGAGGAGAGCTACTAGCGTCACGAGGCACCTTATAACGAGGCTGAGAGCTTCCAGTCCTTGAAGACACCTTATAGCGAGGCTGAGGGCTTCTACTGTTTTGATGCACCTTGTAACGATGCAGAGAGCTACAAGGTAGCAGCAGCAGCGCAAGGCACATGACAGGGCTGTGCATGTTTTTTATGCTCTTCTGTGATTGAAACTGGACATACCCCCACTTGTCTTCCTCACAGCTGTACAGTCTGTTTTGAATCAATTCATATATCCACTCATCCCTTCTAAAACCATTCTTGTCTATAAAATGGGCCCATATGATTTTCAGTCACAAAAGCATTCCTCGGGGGTTATGGTACAGTGCCTTACCTTCCACTCATAACTCTAAAGATGATTTGAACAATGTTTTCTGAGTTGTGGATCCCCCCGTACATGTCCTACACGTACGCACTCTTGCATAACTGTATATTAGTGTATGCAAAATAGCTGCTGGATCTACCAATAGTCTTGGTACAACTGGAGTCCAAGCCTCTCTTGAAGGTTGTAAGGACCAAGCATTCTGCAGCCAAAGAAATTCAGCATTCGCAGCATCCTCAAGTCACACAGCTGTTGCAGCAGGGACTGAAGCTGCTCACAGCCACTCAGGTCCAGCTCTCTGAGTCGTGCCAAATGGTGGAATTTGGGAGGGAGGAAGTGAAGAGCCGTCTTCCTGGCATCCAATTTGTGCAGGTAAGTGAGGCTGGTGAAAGAATCGGGCAGGCTTGTCAAGGAGGAGCAATTACCGTATTCACCCGGATATACCCCCAGGTGGGGGTGTAAAAAAACATGGAAAAATGGTGGGTGGGCTTATAATGTGGTAAATTTTATAACCCCATGGGCTAAAGAAATGACACTTATGGAAATTTAATTTTATAACACTGGAATGTGGATTTCACCCTGGCGATTTAAATCGATGCTAACACAAAGAGGTTCCATGCTGAAAAGTTCCGAGAATGTGTCGTACAGTCAAGAATCCCAGTCAGCACCAGTCAAATGTTGCAGATTTCGCGCACGTGCACCTCCTGTGGAAATTTTGCCAAGCGAGCCAGGGGGGAATTCGTCATGCACGTCTGTGACGATTCGTTTAGGTGCGTTAGTGGCGATTTCGCTAAAAAAAAAAAGCAGAATTCATTGGGTGCGCTTATACAAAGATTGACAGAAATTGGGGTGGGCTTATAATCGGCAACTGGCTATAAGCCCACTAGTACGATTATAACCGCATGGGTGTAACATAGGCCTGGGGGTATATCCGGGTGATGACGGTACGCAGGCTAAGGTCGCCTAACCTTGACAAGGCGGAAATGGTCTCCGGAAGATGGGTCAGGCTTGGAGCTTCAATATGAAGGGAGGTGAGTTGCACTAGCCGGGTTACACTTTCTGGAATCTCCGTCAGAGATTCCGCACCTTCCACGTGTAGCTGTCGCAGCTGAGGCAGAGCAGAGCCGATGTCATGAGGCAGGTGATGCAATGCCGTGGCATTCGAGATGCGTAGATTACGGAGGCATGAAAGGAAACCGTGCGGGAGTGGAAGCCCTGTCTGTTCAGCGCCCAGGCGCATCTCCAGGTGCTCTATCTGAGAGGGACAACGGCTGGTCGCTGGTGCGTCCATGATGGTAACCCGAATCAATTTCAGCTTCTTTAGATTTGGAGTCGTTGACAAATCTGGAAGAATGATGCTGCTGGTGTCGTTTCCCAAGCTCAATGTTTCCAGAGACTGCGGCAAAGATTCCAAAGTTTCCTGCAAAAGTTCACATCCCGTCAGATCCAGCTCCCGCAGGCATGAGAGGTTTTCCAAGGCTCGAGGTGTAGACGCGAGCTTGATACACATGCAGGCCTTGAAAGTCTTGAGGCGGCTCAGTTGAGTGATGGATGCTGGCAGAGCTGTCAGCTCATCGCAGCAGCTCAAGGTCAACTCCCGCAGGTCACCAAGATGGCCTGTACCCTCTGGAAGGTTAACAACGGGACAGCTGCTGATTTCGAGCTGCGTTAGAGAAGAGAGGCGACTGAACGACGCCGGCAGCTGCTGCAGTTCTTCACAACCGCTCAGCACCAAATTGCGGAGATTGGTCAGCTCGCCTATCTCCTCCGGAAGTGTCGTCAGCCTTGATCCTGTGATGCTCAACGATTCAAGAGCAGCCAAGCAGGAAATCGTTGTGGGGAGGGTGTCTATGTCCACATGGTCCAAGGATAGTTTCTGAAGCCCTGTGAGCAACCCAGTAGAATCGGGGAGTCTTTTCAACGACAATCTGTTCAACGCTAATGATTTCAGCCCTGGAAAATCTCCAAAATTCTCCAAGATTTTGAAGTTGAGAATGGTTGAGAATGGTTAGAACTTCCAAGGTGCTGATGCTTGTGATGGAATCTGGTACCAGGAACTCAGCAGAATAAAGGCTACCGAAAAGGCAGAGTTCGCGAAGTACTGGGAACCGTTCTCCAAGCCCCTCAGGCGGGATGCTCGGAGCATAGCTTAGCAGCAGACGTTGAAGACGGAAACACGGTGATTCTGGCGGAAACATTGCAGGGAAGTCCGTTGTTCCCCGCACGAATCCCAGCAAACGAAGATTTGTCAGTTCACCAAATGAGAAATCCCCCTCGAAACTGTCGGAGTATATCTCTCCTGGGAAGAACAGGCTGGTCAGATTCGGAAGGCGAGTTAACGGCGACATCTGATGCACCCGCATGTTCAGCTTTTGAATAGACAGCCTCGTGAGAGAAGAGAGATTCACGAAGTTCGGATCCACCATAGGCGAGACATCTCCCAGTGACAGCGTGTGCAGGCGCGTCAATTGGAAGAACGAAGGCGGAAGCTTTGTGGTTCAATGGAGGCACTGGAGTGACAGCTGCTCCAAGCGGCGACAATGGCGGAAGAGAATGCCCAGCCCAGCTGTCGTGACGGGGTGACCTGATTCGCCAAACTCGTCCATCTCCTCCTCCTGTTTTTGGTAACGGCTGTCGTATGGAGCAATTCCTGTGCCGACGTGAAGAGCCGTTAGGTTTGGTGACGAGGAGCCGAGAAATGCTAGGAAATTGTCGTCTATCGTTTCCATGCTTCCGTTGTTCAAGTGCAGGCGAGTGAGATTCGGGAAGGACACGAGGACGCGTTTGAGATACTCGCGAGACACCAGACGATTTCGTGAAACGAGAAGCGTTGTGACGGATTCGTGTGCGAGCTCCCGCCAGCAACGGCAGAATGAGGCAATGAGGAGAACGTGAGCGACATCGGCAGAGGCAGGAGGTGTTGAAAAATGCGGGTCAGGCTCTGGATCTTCGTTCTCCTTCCTGATAGCATAATCCGAGAGAGACAATGACGAGGTCGGCCGGAAAGCGTCGGAATGCCAGAAGATCCTGACAAGAACATGGTCAAGAAGGCAATGGATATTTGGAGACATTCTCCTAAGAGGGTCGAGGTAAAGCTCTGGCTTGTGCTACGTTTGATTGACAACCACGACTAAGCTTGGGAAGGGATGTCCCTGGAGAGGAACTTGATCAGAGAGAGCAATAAAGATGAGATCAGACTGAGCCTCTTTAGCTTCCTGCTGTTAGTGTCATGGCTGTCAAGTTTTACGGGAAAGGAAACATTCAGAGCTGCTCGCTCAGGGTGAGTGAGTTGGTCTTGCTTGAAGAGTGGCTTGAACGAAAACCTCCTGAGCGCCCCCCCCCCCCCTGTCATGCAGGCAAGCAGTTGGTTCCATACGAACCTCAAATTTTGAATGATCCTATTCGTTGCGAGCAAAGCGCGGTAACCCTATCAAACAAGCCATCGGGGGTGGGGTGGAGCCAACCAAGCAAACGAACTCGCTGTTTGTAGCGAGATTCGGAGGCTACTGATTGGCGCTGCACCTGGTCATTCCCACCTGGACACCAACTTCGATGTCAATGTGGCGCCACTTTGGCCGGGCAGCAATGTTTCGCTGATGTGGCTGGATGTTGTTGACCACTGTAGCTTCTCTCCATACAAAATCTGAAAAATAAAAACCAGAATTCTCGATAACACCCGATCCGATATTGCGTGTCGGGGTGCACAGTCTGGTTGTCGCGACTAAACCTTTTCGTGGATTTTGCTGCACAGTTGCGAATTGGAACAAATCCACAATCGCAACCGCAACCAGCTAGGTCCTGGCAATGGCAGGGGGAGCTGCGAGACATGTCGCGGTTCGCGAACCGCAACGTGCTCAACCAAGCTGATGTGGTTGCGAGAGATATTGCGAAATGCTAAGATTGCTCGACGGCAGGGAAGATGGGAGAGAGGTTGGGGAATGGTGCGGTACGGGGAGGGAGCTTTAGAGCGCACGCACGGGAAGACTTAGAGGGTTTTGATTTTCTCTCGTCGCATCGAAGCGCAGTTCAATCCGTTCACCCTCGCATAGAGCCGTTCCGCTGACGCGCTGGTCGCTGCGACTCGCATTGGATGCAATCGAGACCCGCGCTGCGTACCCTTCTCAGCTCCGCCACGCGCAGCTCCGCCACGCGCAGCTATCCAGCGTGCTGTCACCTGCGACCCGAGATTGCCGCCTTGCTTGCCGTGCGCGCCTCCTTGCCTTGCGTGTTGGCGCATGTCTCCTGCCCTTTCCGTGACTCCGTCCCCATGCCAAGCCCTAACCGCCGTACCCAACCTTCCCAACCTAACCTCCTCCCACTTTCTCAATCGCCTAAAATCATGAATTAATTCCGCTCAGTAGCTGATTATGAGACATCTAATAATAGGTGTTCTTTTTGCTCAGTAACACTTCAGTTCAGACTCCTCTTTCTGCGACATGCCATATTGCCCCGCTCATCGTCATTTCAGTCGCCCATCCGTTCCTGCACAATCATTCCCCAGCCTCATCCACCGCCGTGTGGGTGTTCCCACCCTCCAACCCTTCCTCCCACCCTCCCACCCTCCCACCCTCCCACCCTGCCAGCATGCCACCCTTTCACCAGTCATCATTCTTCCGCCTCGTGCGTTCCTCCAGCACTCACCGCCTCCGCTCCTCCTCCTCTCTTTCCGCCTGCTGCTATCTGCTGCTGCTCCAAGCTCCAAGCTCCCCGGCTGATAGTCCCTCCTCATACCTTAGTGCCCACGGGCATAGCTCAGCTCACAACACCCATCACCGTTCGTTCTCTTGCTTGTTCTCACACCCCATCTCTCACCCCTGCTCTCATTTGTGTTCCCTGTCTCATATCGTACAGGCCCACTGGATGAAGAGATGAGATGAGCACGGCGAGATGAAACAAGTTGACTTTTGAGTTGACTCAAAAGCCATCTCTCTCCTCTGCTCTCCGTTGTGTTCCCTTTGTCATACCGTGCAGGCCCACTGGATGAGGAGATGAGATGAGATGAGCACAGCGAGATGAAGCAAGCAAGCACGGTCACACGCTTGTGTTGTGTCCCCACTCCCCACTTCCACCCACATCCCTTCTTTTGCGGAGCTGCGCACCTCATTCTGTTGTCTGTGTGTTGTTCGCATCACCTGTCCCTTATGCTCCGGTGCTGGCTGTGTCACTCAATCTTTGGAGCACCACTGCTGCCCGCCCTTCATCAGTAATCGCCCCCCTGTTCTGGCAACCTATCTTTCGCCCATCATGAGCGAACTGGTTCTTGAGAATTCTCAAAAACCAGCTCATCATCAGTAAACACCCACCCCCCTGTTCTGACACCCCCCTGTTCTGACACCCTATCTGTCTCTTCGCCCATCATGATTCCCCCTCAGAACGCCAGCTATTCCCCTCTTCATCTTGCCTCCCATCCCTGCTCCACCTCGCACCCCTCTCAACCGCTCTCAACTACTTTTGCTGTCCCCATTTTTCCTGGCTGACGCCAGTGCTCTCGAGCTCAACCCCTCTCGTTCTGTATCTCTGCATCTTGCTTTACCCTCTCCTTCCCCACTCCCCTTCACCTCCCTGGCATCCTGGCTTCTAGCTCACTATCACCGCCCGCCCTAATCCAGCTGACTTTTGAGTCGATTCAAATCCCGCCCTAATCTCGCCCTTTTGAGTAGACTCAAGTAGACTCAAAAGTCACTCCGCTTCCCCGCCCTGGCATCTTGGCTTCTAGCTCACTCTCACCGCCCTAATCTAATCAGCTCTAAAATCTGTAGAGACTTATATAGAAAATAATAATCTTTATAAGAGAGCTACTAGATACCAACAGCAGCTCCGCACACATGACAGGGCTGGGAATTTTACTACTCTCCTGCTCTGCTGCTGCAACTCCGGCCAGGATTCCTCACTGCTGAACAGCTTGTGTTATGCATCCATCAATCCATCCATCTCTAATTAACTCAAAGCACGGTTGGTTGAAGCCATCTCTGCTGCTCCATAAGTGTTGAGCACAAAACCTCCATCCATGTGAGTATTTTAAACTAAAGTGCATATTTTGTGTGAAATTCCAACACATGCGTGGTCCATGTAGTAAACAGATCAGCCTCCCTTGACATGAGAGCGCAACTAGGATGGCATACATAGGAGAAGAATGGACACAATCAAATTCAACGTAACAATATGTGGTACACACAGAGATATCCCGTGCACCCTACACATACAGTACGGTACACCTGCTGTCCCGTGCACCCTATGCACCTGCTACAAGCTTGGGCGAAGCAGCACTACACTGATGCATCAGCACTAAGCTGAGTCAGCTCAGCGCCCATGCACCAGTGAGCATGCTGCTGCACCCAAGCTCTGGCAATGAAATGAAAACCCCTAACGCTTCATGCAGCAATGCTCCGGAGACCCCTGCACTAGCTGCCAGTCCCTCATACCAGCCGTGTGGTGAAGCCAAGCCACCTACAAATCGTCTTTTTCCTTGCGGCTTCAACGCCCCATGCCCCCGCCAATTTTACCACCCATGCCTCCGCTAATTACTGCCAACCACCCCCCTCCTCCCTGTGGTGAGGGAATGTCTTGCATCAAGGAGAAAACGGCCCTAATCCACCCATCCCGCCTCCCATGTTGCCCCCGGCTCCCCCCATCCCTCCCCCCATCCCTCCGCCCATCCCTCCGCCCATCCCTCCGCCCATCCCAGGTCCACCCTGGCCGGGTGTTGCCTGCGACCCTGGAGCAAACCACCCTGACCCGCCCATTCCTCCGCCGCCCATGCCTCCGCCGCCCATTCCGCCGCCTCCCATTCCGCCACCGCCCATGTTTCCCCCAGGACCCATGGCTGCTTGTGATCCGGGAGCAGACGACCCAGGTCCGCCCATGCCGCCGCTCATTCCGCCGCCGCCCATTCCGCCGCCACCGATTCCGCCACCGCCCATTCCACCGCCGCCCATTCCGCCGCCGCCCATTCCGCCGTTGCCCATTCCGCCGCCGCCCATTCCGCCTCCGCCCATTCCACCGCCACCCATGCTGCCGCCGCCCATTCCGCCGCCACTCATTCCTCCGCCGCTCATTCCGCCGCCACCCATGCCGCCTCCGCCCATTCCGCCGCCGCCCATTCCGCCGCCGCCACCCATTCCGCCACTGCCCATTCCGCCGCCGCCCATTCCGCCGCCGCCCATTCCGCCTCCGCCAATTCCACCGCCACCCATGCTTCCGCCGCCCATTCCGCCGCCACTCATTCCTCCGCCGCTCATTCCGCCGCCACCCATGCCGCCTCCGCCCATTCCGCCGCCACCCATTCCGCCGCCGCCCATTCCGCCGCCACCCATGTTTCCCCCAGGACCCATGGCTGACTGCGAACCTGGAGCAGAGGAACCAGGTCCGCCCATGCCCCCTCCCATTCCGCCACCGCCCATTCCGCCGCCGCCCATTCCGCCGCCGCCCATGCCTCCGCCGCCCATTGCGCCGCCACCCATTCCGCCGCCGCCCATTCCGCCGCCACCAATGCCGCCGCCGCCCATTCCACCACCGCCCATTCCGCCGCCGCCCATTCCGCCGCCGCCCATTCCGCCGTCACCCATTCCGCCGCCGCCCATTCCGCCGCCACCAGTGCCGCCGCCGCCCATTCCACCGCCGCCCTTTCCGCCGCCGCCCATTCCGCCGCCGCCCATTCCGCCTCCGCCCATTCCACCGCCAACCATTCCACCGGCACCCATTCCACCGCCACTCATTCCACCGCCACCCATGCCGCTTCCGCCCATTCCGCCGCCACCCATTCCGCCGCCACCCATTCCGCCGCCGCCCATGCCGCCGTCGCTCATTCCACCGCCACCCATTCCGCCGCCACCCATTCCGCCGCTGCCCATACCGCTTCCACTGATTCCGCCGCTCTGCTGCTGCTGCTGCTGCGGCTGGCCGGTCGAGCTTCCACCTCGCGCCCATCCGCGCATCATCCCCCGCAGCTTGTCCGCTCGGAGCCCCGCGGAGAAGCGATAGGCCAACGCCGCGTGGAGAGACGAAACAAGAACAAGCGAGAGGAGGAGAAAGGCCGTGCTCAGGTCACGGCGACGACGCTGGCTGGACATAAATGAGACCCTCTGCGTCATTGTGCTGGCGTTGCGTATGGTTCAGCTGAAAATTCCACGTAAGATTGTATTCTGGAAGTAGCAGGTTGGAATCGAAGAATCGAAAGCAGAGAAGTTGGAAAGCTCGAAGTCCTATCTTCAATGCATATGTGTGTAGGAGAGTGATGAGTTGATGAGTTGCCAATGTGACCCAGCCCTTTGTACTACCGTCGAACCGCGAATACTGCTGCACATGGAAATGATTTCCCCGCGGCGCGATAACTTGAGCTGGAACCAGTTGACCAATGGCTAGCGTCGAGTCAAGCGCTTGAAAACGGAGTCAACGCTTTGTGAAAAAAGTGTTGACCACTGTACATTCTGTCAACAGCCGACTTTTTCCGTTCGTCGTCCCACGAAACGAAATTTGAAGAAACTCGTATTTCTGATAACATTGGATTCGGTATTCGCAGTTCGTGACGCAAGTCACACATTGTTTTCTATTTACTATAACGAAAGTTCTGGTTATTTGCGTGGCTTTTGCTGCACAGCCCGAACAAACTCGCACCAATCAAGCTTTCACAAGCGCGGATAGACCAGCAGGTGTAGGGGTGACTGAGAACAAGCTCACACACTCGCGTTCCGCGGCTCGCGCGACCAAGCTGACGTGGCAAAATGCGGAGGTCGCTCGACGGCGGCGAAGTTGGGTTTTAGAACAAGGCGAGATGTAGAACACAGAGGACTTTCGCGAGATGGATTGCATTTTAAAAGTCGCGCAGTGATTCGCCGCATACCTTGCGCGGGTTCCGCCACGTTCTTGTTTCAGTGATGTATGGGGGCACGAAAGCAAGGGCAGGGGGAAGGCAAGGGGGAGTGGGGGGGAATATTGCGGAGGATTCGACGAGAATTTGGATTTTCTTACGTGGCATCGAAGCGCACTCCAGATATTCTTCATCGCATGGCGTGCGGCTGGTCCGCTCCCTCGATTCGACGCGCAAGCATTGCGACGCGCATGGCATGCGAAATCGGTGTTACTGAGCTTGCAGATGGTGGCAGAGGGTCAACAGCGAGACCCGAGCGGCTACGCTACACACAGCTCCGCCTCACACAGCTCCGCCTCACACAGCTCCGCCTCACACAGCTCCGCCTCACACAGCTCCGCCTCACACAGCTCCGCCTCACACAGCTCCGCCTCACACAGCTCCGCCTCACACAGCTCCGCCTCACACAGCTCCGCCTCACACAGCTCCGCCCTCACACAGCTCCGCCTCACACAGCTCCGCCTCACACAGCTCCGCCTCACACAGCTCCGCCTCACACAGCTCCGCCTCACACAGCTCCGCCTCACACAGCTCCGCCTCACACAGCTCCGCCTCACACAGCTCCGCCTCACACAGCTCCGCCTCACACAGCTCCGCCTCACACAGCTCCGCCTCACACAGCTCCGCCTCACACAGCTCCGCCTCACACAGCTCCGCCTCACACAGCTCCGCCTCACACAGCTCCGCCACACACAGCTCCGCCTCACACAGCTCCGCCTCACACAGCTCCGCCTCACACAGCTCCGCCACACACAGCTCCGCCACACACAGCTCCGCCTCACACAGCTCCGCCTCACACAGCTCCGCCACACACAGCTCCGCCACACACAGCTCCGCCTCACACAGCTCCGCCTCACACAGCTCCGCCACACACAGCTCCGCCTCACACAGCTCCGCCTCACACAGCTCCGCCTCACACAGCTCCGCCTCACACAGCTCCGCCTCACACAGCTCCGCCTCACACAGCTCCGCCTCACACAGCTCCGCCACGCGCAGCTCCGCTTGGCCAGCCCTTCCCCGCCCCGCCCTGTCCTCATCACAATGCCGCATTCCGCAAGTCGCTCTCTGTCCCACTCGCCATTCCTTCGCGTCTCGTCTCGTCCGCCTCCCTGACCAGCTCGGCCGAACCTCAGCCTTGCCAAGCTCAAAACTCCCTTCCCCAACCCCAGCCTTCCCAAGCTAGGCTGTGCCATACAGCTCCAAGCTTAGTGCTCCCTGGGTGATAATCCTTCCTTAATCTTCCCTGCTGCTGCTGAGACATCCGTCTGACAGCATCGCCATCACCCCCCAGGTATGTGGCTGATTTTCACCCCACTCTGAAACTTGATGGCGTGACTGTTGAGGAGAGTCCTAAGGTATGGGCATGGCACTGCTGCTTGTCATATGATGGTTGTGAACCATGCTGCTGCTTAGTTCTCACGGGAAAAGCTAAGCTCACACAGCTGTTCAGCTCACATTGCTCACCGCCGTGCGCTTTCACCTGTTCTGTTTGAACATGATGGGGACATGCGGTCTTGTGGTATCGCCGCTAGGCCCCATAAGCTGCATGGTACAATAGACATGCGTTCTCACACACACGTTGTGCTTTTGTGATTCAGTGTGTAGCCTATGGCCCACAAGTTGCATCACTCACCCCACGCTGCATGCATGTCACGATACATACTACCATTCCAATACTTCATTCACCAGGCTCAACTCTCGCCAGATTTTGTTCTACTACTGAGTGCCATGCCTAAGACAGGTACCAGTGCCAAATTTCAAGCCCACCTGTGCACAAGTGCATAAGAGGGTGCTACTGTTAATTGTCACTGTTGACACGGAAGGAAAGTCCTAAATACGTGTACCGTATGCCAAAAGAGAGGTTCTCAAAGATTAAAGATCCAGCTTACATTCTTTTGTGGAGGGTTCTATTGGAACAGCAGTTTTCACTTCACCCTACCTATTCAGCACATCCACCTGCTCCAGTGAAAACCATGGAAAGAGCGAGAATAGTTATTGTTTCCGCCTTTGCTCTCTCCCTACCATTCTGCTGTATCTGCAATCGCCTGTCCTTGCTTCTGCCTTTGCTCTCTCCCCGCAATATAATCCCCCTGCCATGCATCCATCTCCTTATTCGGCATCACCCTGCGTGCTCGCACTCGGGCATTGTCCCACCTCTCCCTCCCTCCACCCTTCCACATCTCTCTCCTCATCCCCATCCTCCCCTTCCCTTCCACTACCTCATCACCAAAAACTCGAATCCCATGTCCCCCTTTCTCCTTCACCAGCTCCCGCTCCCATCTCTTGCTATTCCCACTCCAGCCTAGCCGGAGGCAGAGCGTCTTGTGGTTGACACACCTCCCAGAGGGCAAGAGCAGCTCCTCCAGTTTCACCAGGGAGGTGAGCTGTTGCAACCCATCATCCGCCACCCCAGTGCGTCGCAAATCCACCTGTTTAAGGCTCGTAATCTTCAACACATGCGCCATCCCAGCAGACGTGACACACTCGCACCCAGCAAGATCCAAGCGCTTGAGCAAAGGGAGCCCTGTGAGGTGCACCAGGCCAGCATCGCTCACCTTGGTGTGTGCGAGAGAGAGACACTCAAGCCTGCTCAACGCCTCAACGCCCTTCAAGTGCCCGTCCGCAATGGGTGTGCCACTCAGGTGCAGCTTCTCCAGCCATGGGAGCTTGTACAGGCAACTGATGCCCTTTGTGGTGAAACCCGAGGATCCATCCAGGTTGAGAGCGGTCAGGTGGGTCATGGTGGATACATGTGCAAGGACGGCGCCAGAGAGGCCTGAAAGACCGCTCATATCCAGCTTTGGCTTTCCTGAGGCGGAATCGAGTCTCTGGAGGGGATGGAACGGGGGGGGGGTGGGGTGGGGGGGGCGGAGAAGGGGGGAGGTTGAAAAGACATGATAACTGTACCACGTGCGAGGAGGAAGGGAACAAAAACAAGAAGATAACAGGAAAAACAGTAACAACAGAAGCCGTCGTATTAAGAAAAGAACGGTTCATGTGGGTTGGAACCGCGAGCTTCACTCACAGCCATACATTTCCACCAAAAATGCCACTCACCTGCCAGATAGCTTGACCGGCCCCATCGTGGTGTCCTCCTTCCGCCGTGCCGTTCCACACGGCCTCACAGCGTTGCTTGATGAGCTCCCTTCCGCCTTCTTCCCTCACCCTCGCACCAGCGTTCTCACTGCCTTCCTGCAACGCTCCCACTATGTCCCTCAGTTCATTCGCCTCTTGCTTTGCAGCCTTCCTGAACTCACCCAACTGCTGCTTCACTGCTGCAAACTCCCTCTCCCTTCGCTTCAGCACAGCTTCAAGCTTGGCGTTTCTCTCCTGAAACTTCATCCTTATCTCATCCACCTCCGCTATAATCTCTTGAGACAAATCCTGCCTCGCTGTGGCCAACTTGCCCTCACTAAACTCACTCACTTCCGCCACCTGCAACTTCACTGCTGCCAACTCCTTCTCCCTCTCCGCCACGCTTGCAGCAGTGCAGCCGTTTCTCTGCTCCACCGCACCAATGATGTTTCTCAACTCGTTCAGCTTCCGTTGAGACGCAGCCTTGTTCTCACATACCTCTCGTTTCACTGCTGCCAACTCCCCTTTCACTTCCATCAACTCTCTCCCCGCTTGCTCCCGAACTTCACGCATCTCCCTGTCAGCAGCTGTCTTGTAACCATGAACTCTTTCTTTCAGTGCAGCCAAAGCTGACTTGACAACCACCAGCTCCAGTTTACAAGGAGCCATTTGCACCACCCGATCCACAGAGAGCATGAGCGCATGCACAGCCCTGTCCCTCTCACCTGCTTCCCTCTGCAATCGTTCCATGGCTGCATTCCCCTGAGCCAGTGCGTCTGTCAACTCACCCACCCCTCTCCTCCTCTCCTCCCTCTCTTGCTCCAGCTCCCTTGTCAGTGCTTGCTCTTCAGATTTTATCTCCTGTACTTGCCTTCTCAGCTCACTCAGCTCAGCTTCTGTTCTCTGAAGCTTCTCACGCTGCTCCAACTCCCTTGTCAGTGCTTGCTCTTCATCTTTCGTCTCCTGCACCTGTGTTCTCAGCTCGTTTAGCTCAGCTTGTGCTCTCTCACTTCGCTCACCCCTCTCCTCCCTCTCGTGCTCCAGCTCCCTTTTCAGTGCTTGCAGTTCATCTTTCGTCTCGTGCACTTCTCTTCTCACCCCAGCTTCTGCTCCCTCACGCTCCTCCAGTTCCTTCCTTGAATCTTCCAGGTGCCTCTCTAATGAGCTTATTCGCTCCTCTGCCCTCAACATAGCTACTTCCAGCGACTCTGTTCCCGCCCTTTGTCTCAGCACTACCACCAAAGTCTCATTCATCACTGTCTTTCCAAAACTGCCAATCTCACTGCACATGACAGAGTCGCATGGCAGCATGACGAAGTATGTAGCAGCACACGAGAAGCATTCAAGAGAATGAGATGCAGAATGAAGGGATGAGTGCATAGGAGCAGCATGCACGCATCATGAACAAGAAGGGGAAAAACTCTCATGCAAGAGAAACCAAGTGGAGGGGGTTATTAATAAGCCTTGCAAAAGAACACAATGATATTGAGGTGCTTATTACAGATATGAACTTTGTATGTATGTTTCGATGAAAACAAAAGACAGAGAATGAGAGGAGAGGTGGGAGAGAGGGTAGAGTAGGGAGGTCCTCACATGGCTTTGCGAAGAAGCGGGTAGTTATCAAGTTCCTGTGGCAGGTAGGGGAGGAACCGCATTGGAGGAAAGGGAGAGCGATGAGGAGGGAAGCAAGAGAGAGGAGGGAGAAAGAGAGGAATGATTGGTGTGACTGGAATGGGATGGGACGAAACGACACAGGCACACAGATTGACACAGATTGGAAATCAGTCCCATAAGAGAGAACAATGGTTGACATCAGAGAATAATATGGAAGCCAATAACCAAGGAGTGGCATGATTACGACGACTGAAGGCATACCTTATCCCTCATCACTCTAGCACTTTCAAGGACATGACTCAATGCATACCGCCTTAGTACCACCACCACACCACTTGTGAGATACAACCAAGCAAGCAGACGACTCAGCGCATACCATGAAGGACGCAGCTGCTCTCTTCAGCATCGTCAGCTTAGCTCTCGCAGCCAAGCCCTGCAGGAGCAACCACTCCCTCACTTGCCCTTGAGTGACGTTCATCCACCAGAGGAGCACTATGAGCGGACACAGTGCTGTGTATAGTACGTAGAGCTGGAGTCACACACATGTGCACAGTACAGTACAGGGCAGTGAGTTCCCCGGTGAGAGGAGAAAATTAAGGATGAGAACCAGAAAATTGGTGAGAGTTTGTCAGAGTGTAAGTAACGAATTGACAAGAAAGGTAACTGAAGCACGAGGGGAGACTGGACGCACTAGAGTGTGCAGGAGATAAAGTGGCAGAGCTTGAAAACGGGCAGGTTGAACTGAAGGCTTTGTGCCTTCGTGGGACTGAAGGCGAACCAGACCTGTGACATTGTGAACCTCGGCAGTGCCATTGGGCTGGAAGGAGGAAACAAAACAAATTTCAGGGAACAGAAGGGAATACACAGAGCCACGTGGTAATATAGATACACATCAAGTACAGCCAAACCTTGCGAACTAAAAGGAAAAAGGTTTCAGTTTGAGAGATGTTAATGTGACGATTCTAATGCCCCAAGGCACACCCACCTGTTCCCGAGGCTGAGCAGGGAACACGCATGGTAGGCATGATGTGAATCGCACCTATGTTGAACGCGTGGGTTGTGCGTGCTACCTCAACGAGGGTTGTCGTTGTCGGTTGGTGCACGAGAGAGCGGTTTGCTTCCACGCTGGGAGGGTCTTGTGGAAGCTGCGAAAAGGCAAGGGACAGGAAAGGTGAGAGAACAAGGTGAGGGCAGAGGTCGAGATGGGTAAAACGAGCTCCACATGGCATGGCGGCCACACCACGTCATCTCCATGCCTAGGATAGCATTACATAGCATAAAATCCAGCACTGTGAAACGTAAACCGGCTCCGCCTCGTGATGCTCAAGCGCACACAATCCGACCGAGATTTCAATGTAAACAGAAGTGTTTTGAGACGTCTCAAAACACTTCTGTTTTCACGTGTAGATCCAAAACGGTCTCAATCTGACTCATACATGCTGTGTCAACTCATCGCTGGCATGGCTGGCAAGAGGGCCATTTTTCACCGGCAGCAGATGCAGCAGCCTCGAAGTTGTCATAGCAGCAAGAATCACTGCGACTAGCAGCCCTGCCACCGCCGTAGCCACTCCAGCCATTCGAGCCATGGCGACGAGCTAGGAGAAACCAGGAGAAAGTACCCGCCGAGCCGAGCAGCACCACGCTTGGAGCGGTTGCGGATGGGGATGAGAGACTAAGAAAAACGAGGAAGTGCTGGAGATGAAACACGAGATGGACGACTAGAGAGATTATTAACCCATCGGGCGAACTGTTAATCCATCGGGCGAACTGTTAATCCATCGAGCAAACACGAGGAGGTGGTATTTCGTAAGCTCGAATGACAATGGAGAGAGAAAGTCGGGATTGATGAGCTCGAAGAGGCGTGGACGAGACGCGGAAAGATGAGGGACGATGTGCGAGCGCTCGACATGACTACATAGAGAATGGACCGTCATGTGACCCTGATGTTAAGGCATGCAGGGAAGGCAGGTACGCCAGCCATCAGGAGAGGAAGCAACGGCAAGCATGCAATCGACAGTGCGACAACGAGCAGACCCGATCTGAGTAGCCCGCCGAGCATTTCAACATGCTGTCATGCGTGGCCATGTGCTTGCTGCCGTGACGCTCATGCCTCAAAATGATGACGTCATTCGACATCATGCATGGACGTGGCTGGAGTGATGGCTAGATCAAGATAACATCACTCCCGAGTCGCAGCGAGCAGCTCATGAGCACCATCGTCTCATGCGAGGGTGTGGTGGACAGAAACCGTAGGATGTGAAAATCATCCTCATCTTCATTCGTCGATGGACTTTGCCCAGGACTACGGACTCTCGACGTCGGTCCCTCAATCGACAACCGGCTTGCGAGACTGCCCCTTCGCCAGCTGAGGCCCGTCGCGACTCTCGTCGTGCGAACCCACTTCGTCAACCCAACATCCGCCCACGCCATTCCCACTCTTATCGGCGGCATGAGGCCATAACTGCTCGCGAAGAAACACATATGCTAAAATAATCTGTCCGCAGAAGCTCAACAGCTGGGAAGGAATCCAATGTACTGTGTGGGATGAGCCTAAACAGTCGTCAGGGGTGTCCGACACATTGCACACGTCGCATGGATCGTGAACCGTCGCATTTCACTAAGCAAAAGCAACACGTGAACAAGGCATGGAAATTGACTAGAACGCATTTTTGGGTTGCGTAGCAACCTTATACATTTGGTTTCACTTTTTGGGGAACTGACCGTGAACAGTGATTTTTCCCTGCCCGGTTGGGAAAAAATACTGTTCAACTTTTTAGTTGCCCCAAAAACTGTGAAGCCAAATGTAACCAATTATTCCATAATCGTCGATAAGTACGGCGAATGGAACAATTGGTTGGACACGAGCGTGAACAAAAACATACCCAAACGACAGCACACGAACTTGTACAAAAACGAGAAACACCAGTTGTGAGTGCTTCGAGGCTAAGCTAGAATGCATCGTTTATGCAACTGCGATTGATCTGGTATGGAAGAGGCAACCAAAGCTGCCCCACCAACGATCACAACCGCAATTGTATACACGAGGCACTTAGCATTCACCTCGAAACAGAGCCACACAACTACATAACCTGGTACATGTACGCACACACATACGGAGATAGAAAAACACGCAGAAACATACAGCTAATACTAAGCATGCAAGCATAGCCAATGAAGTTCACCAATTAATAAACCATCGCTACCTTGCCCCCCATTCCCCTCCCTCCTCCCCTCCCTGATCTCCCTTAACCCTCCCTACACCCCTCCGTCCCTCCTTCCCTCATCTCCCTCCCACTCCCTCCCTCATCTCCCTTCTCAGCTCACGCGCCCTGCACAAACGAAAACAGAGAAGTTCACACACACACGGCCTGCACACAGCAAAAAACAGAGAAGCAAACACACACGCGGCCTGCACACAGAAAAAACAGAAGCAAACACACACACGGCCTGCACACAGCAAAAACAGAGAAGCAAACACACACACGGCCTGCACACAGCAAAAACAGAGAAGCAAACACACACATGGCCTGCACACAGCAAAAACAGAGAAGCAAACACACACACGGCCTGCACACAGCAAAAACAGAGAAGCAAACACAAACACGGCCTGCACACAGCAAAAACAGAGAAGCAAACACACACACGGCCTGCACACAGCAAAAACAGAGAAGCAAACACACACACGGCCTGCACACAGCAAAAACAGAGAATCAAACACACACACACGGCCTGCACACAGCAAAAACAGAGAAGCAAACACACACACGGCCTGCACACAGCAAAACAGAGAAGCAAACACACACACGGCCTGCACACAGAAAAACAGAGAAGCAAACACACACACGGCCTGAACACAGCAAAACAGAGAAACAAACACACACACGGCCCGCACACAGCAAAACACCTTAGAAGCCGGCACACTAAACACTAGTGCAGAAAGTGACACTCGTTTGCATAAGTAGTCCCAGCTGCCCAAGCACCAGCAGAATAGATGCTAGTGCATATGCCCCAGCGTGCTCATAAAGCTCTCTCGTGCGTTCTCTCACGCACTCCCTCACGCACTCCCTCACGCACTCTCTCACGCACTCTCTCACGCACTCTCTCATGCGCTCTCTCACACTCTCTCACGCGCTCTCTCACCTGCTCTTTCAGGGCTCTCTCACGTGCTCTCACACGCTCTCACGCGCTCCCTCACGCGCTCTCTCACACTTTCTCTCACGCCCTCTCTCACGTGCGCTCTCACGGACGCTTGCACGCGTCTTTCACACGCACTCTCACGCGCTCTCTCACGCGCACTCCCACGCGCACTCCCACGCGCAATCTCACGAGCACTCTCACGTGCTCCCTCACGCGCCCTCTCACGCGCTCTCTCACGCGCTCCCTCACGCGCACTCTCAGTCACTCTCTCACTCGCTCTCTCACGCGCTCTCTCACGCGCACTCTCATGCGCAATCTCACGCGCACTCCCACGCGCACTCTCACGCGCACTCTCACGCGCTCTCTCGCGCGCACTCTCACGCGCTCCCTCACGCGCTCCCTCACGCGCACTTTCACGCACTCTCTCACGCGCACTCCCACGCGCACTCCCACGCGCAATCTCACGAGCACTCTCACGCGCTCTTTCACGTGCTCTCTCACGCGCTCTCTCACGCGCAATCTCACACGCACTCTCACGCGAACCCTCACGCGCACTCCCATGCGCACTCTCACTCACTCTCACACGAGCACTCTAAATCGCTCTCTCACGTGCACTCTCACGTGCTCTCTCACGCGCTCCCTCACGCGCACTCTCAGTCACTCTCTCACTCGCTCTCTCACGCGCTCCCTCACGCGCCCTCTCACGCGCTCTCTTACGCGCACTCCCACGCGCACTCTCACGCGCTCTCCCACGCGCACTCTCACGCGCTCCCTCACGCGCTCTCTCACGCGCTCTCTCACGCGCACTCTCACGCGCTCTCTCACGCGCACTCCCACGCGCACTCCCACGCGCAATCTCACGAGCACTCTCACGCGCTCTCTCACGCGCCCTCTCATGCGCTTTCTCACGCGCTCCCTCACGCGCACTCTCACGCGCGCAATCTCACGCGCTCCCTCACGCGCTCTCTCACACTTTCTCTCACGCCCTCTCTCACGTGCGCTCTCACGGACGCTTTCACGCGTCTCTCACACGCACTCTCACGCGCTCTCTCACGAGCACTCTCACGCGCACTCCCACGCGCAATCTCACGAGCACTCTCACGCGCTCTCTCACGCGCCCTCTCACGCGCTCTCTCACGCGCTCCCTCACGCGCACTCTCAGTCACTCTCTCACTCGCTCTCTCACGCGCTCCCTCACGCGCACTCTCACGCGCAATCTCACGCGCACTCCCACGCGCACTCTCACGCGCACTCTCACGCGCTCTCTCGCGCGCACTCTCACGCGCTCCCTCACGCGCTCCCTCACGCGCACTCTCACGCACTCTCTCACGCGCACTCCCATGCGCAATCTCACGAGCACTCTCACGCGCTCTTTCACGCGCAATCTCACACGCACTCTCACGCGAACCCTCACGCACGCGCACTCCCATGCGCACTCTCACTCGCTCTCACACGCGCACTCTAACTCGCTCTCTCACGTGCACTCTCACGTGCTCTCTCACGCGCTCCCTCACGCGCACTCTCAGTCACTCTCTCACTCGCTCTCTCACGCGCTCCCTCACGCGCCCTCTCACGCGCTCTCTCACGCGCACTCCCACGCGCACTCTCACGCACACTCTCACTCGCTCTCCCGCGCGCACTCTCACGCGCTCCCTCACGCGCTCTCTCACGCGCTCTCTCACGCGCACTCTCACGCGCTCTCTCACGCGCACTCTCACGCGCTCTCTCACGCGCACTCCCACGCGCACTCCCACGCGCAATCTCACGAGCACTCTCACGCGCTCTCTCACGCGCCTTCTCACGCGTTCTCTCACGCGCTCCCTCACGCGCACTCTCACGCGCGCAATCTCACGCGCACTCCCACGCGCACTCTCACACGCACTCTCACTCGCTCTCTCGCGCGCACTCTCACGCGCTCCCTCACGCGCACTATCACGCGCACTCTCACGCACTCTCTCACGCGCACTCTCACGCGCTCTCACACGCGCTCTCTCACGCGCTCTCTCACGCGCTCGCACACGCGCTCTCACACGCGCTCTCTCACGCGGTCCCTCACGCGCTCTCTCACGCGCACTCTCACGCGCACTCTCATGCGCACTCTCATGCGCACTCTCACGCGCACTCTCATGCGCACTCTCGGCGCGCTCGCTCCCGTGCACACGCTCTCCCTCGTGCTCCGCCTCTCCCCGTGAAAGTGCAACGGAACAAGACATCAATCGACACACAAAATCTAATAAGAAAGCAGAAAAAAAACATGGAAATTCAGAGGCGTAAGGGAGGAAAAAGGGACCGGGAAAGGTAAACGAACCTGAGAAACCAACCCGCGGTGGCGCACCAAGCCGCGGGCGCGCACAAACCCGCGGTCGCGCACCAACCCACGCTCCACTCGTGCGCCTGTCGCCAGAGGCGACAGCGGGAAGGGAAGGGAAGGCGACGACGGGCAGGGTTGGAGGCGACGAGTGGAACACGAGTGGAGCGTGGGTTGGTGCGCACAAACCCGCGGTCAGCAATAAAACTACAACTCACTAGAGCAAAAACTCGATAGGGCAATGTGAGAGGTTAAAGATAGAGAATAGTAATAATATTAAATTATTCCCCACACAATATTCAGCACAAAGCATAAAAGCAAGCACGATGATTTCTATATAAATCTATACCCACGAATTTCCAACCTTAACATAGTCTAACCAAGGGAGAATAGAGTATATTGCTTTAACACATTGTATTGCTTCCAATGCATACAACGAACTGCAAAATATATATATGATATAAATTCAACTTACAACCCATACGTCAATTATTCGGTGCCGATATATTAACATTATCATATTTCAATCAATAAGAATAACTTGGGTACATGGCTTGAGATAACATATTACATACATCTCCTCAAAATATTTATAACTATGAATGTAACTGACTACGCAACCCTCCCGACGTTAAAGTCGAGTCTTGTTCCTACATATTCTTCAGTTCGGTATGAACTGGTCCGAACTGAACCAAGTCTCCAGACAAAAATGGCATCTTTAAACTCGGATCCTCTTTATTGGATAAACGAGACCTGGTACAGTAACCCCGCATGAAAGGCAACGGGCGCTGGACGCTACTAGGGCAGGCGTAGTCCTGAAACAAGGCGACAACACCGCCGCATGCCGTGTTTATCGCGCGAGCACGCCGGGGGGACAGCCTTAGGGAATTTCGATTCTCTCTCGTGGCATCGAAGCGCAATTCAGCCCATCCACCCTTGCATGGCGTGCTGCTGGTTCGCTCCTCGCCGAGACTCGCAAACGTTGTGAATCGCATTGCATGTAAGCGTGCTACTGAGCTCGGGGATGACGGGACCCGAGCTCCCCCATGCGCAGCTCCACCAGATCCGCCACGCGCAGCTCCGCCCTACCGAGCTCCTCCATCACGCCGAGGCGAGCCAAGCCCAACCACCCGACTGCCCTGAACACTCTCCAGCCTCCCAGCCCTTGTGGGTTGCTCCAGCACCCACCGCCTCGTTCTCCTTCCCTCTTGCCACCTTCTCCCCCTCTAAGCTCCGATCTCGTGTTTTATAAATCCTTTCGAATTTTTCCTAGCTGATCGCGCGGTATGCCTGGAGTGCTTCGCGTGGCTGTGGCGGGGGCAGGCCTGCTATTCGCAGCGATTCTTGCAGCTGTGACTGTATCGAGGCTGCTGCCGCTGACACATGCTCTGCCTAACAGCAAGCAACGGCATCACCCTGTGACTGATTTCACCCCCACTACAGTAGCTTTTGAGGCGATTTTTGCAGCGCATTAATATTGATTCCAACTTACACCAGGACTAAAGCGAGTCAGTTGTTTCTTTCAATTTCCCTGCGATATAGAGAATTATGAGGCAGTGAGGCAGGTAGAGTGGAGATAATAGGATGGCTGTGACTTGTGAGCTATGCTATTACTCACGGCCAAGCTCAGCTCACATCAACCATCAACCATCACCTGTTCTGACACCTCTCTCTCTTCTCTCGTCCGTTCTAACACCTTTCTTCTCACCTCTGCTGCTCTCCGTAATGCCATTTGCAGCTTCCACGTTTCATTAGCGGCCTCTCAGTAAACAGCTCTTTCGAGCATCAACTGCAAGCGAACCACTCTTTGGTGCATCAACCTCTAACTGCCCCTGAGGTGCGCACACACGAGCATATGAATTTGGTACACGAGCACACAAGCACAGAAGCTAAGCTCCCATGCAGGCCTGCATCGTTAACCAGAATCCATAAGTAAGAGGTGCTTGCAACCGCAGTTTAGTGTGTCGATGCGTGGGTGTGTGGGTGCGTCAGGTGTGTGGATGCGTGGGTGTGTGGGTGCGTCAGGTGTGTGGATGCGTGGGTGTGTGGATGTGTGCGTGCGTCAGTGTTTGGTTGTCTCGGTGTGTATGTGCAAGTGAGTCTCCATGTGACTCTGTGTTTATCCCAATGGGGAACATTTACCATGTCGGTGTATCGATGTATCTATGTGTGTCCATGCCACGGTGGTTATCCCCCTGGATTCAAATTCAATCCCTCTTGTTTTGTTCCTCCCCCCAGCCCAACGCCACAGCCACGTGTCACAATGCCACAGGTCTGGTTGCTCTTCAGGCGGAGGAAAGCGCAGACTCTTCGGTTCAACCTCTCTCTTTACGTGCTCTGGCAGTTCACCTCCTCCTAACCCTGGTGCGTGCACCCTCACTCATGACACGAGCGCGAGACACTCATTCATGCATGGACGGGGAGTGAAAGTCTGCTTGTGGCATGACCCCTGCCATCCCCCTTTCATTAAATCTGGCACACTTTACCTGCGTTTTGTTTTGCTCCTGCGTTTCCTCATGCTCAAACTGATTCTGCCCTGCGGTCCCTCCAACCATGAGTTACAGCGATCCGTTTCTTGCCATACAACTATTTCTTCAGCCTGTTCTGCTCCCCTGCTTGTGCTCTCTACTTTCAACATGCGTGATTCAAGTAATGCTGTACTGTGTGCTGTTGGTGTGCGTGCGTGTGTGCGTGGTTGTGTGTGTGTGTGCGTGTGCATGTGGTTGTGTGTGCGTGTGCATGTGGTTGTGTGTGTGTGTGCGTGTGCATGTGGTTGTGCGTGCGTGCGTGCATGTGGATGTGTGGGTGGGCACGGCCGTGGGCGTGTGTGTGTGCATGCGCGTGTGTGCGTGCATGTACGTGTGCGTGTGCGTGTGCATGTGCGCATGTGTGTGCATGTGCGTGTGTGTGTGTGCATGTACGTGTGTATGTGCGTGTGCGGTTGCGTGTGCGTGTACGGTTGCGTGTGCGTGGTTGTGTGCATGTGTGTGCATGGTTGTGTGCATGTGCGTGCATGGTTGTGTGCATGTGCGTGCATGGTTGTGTGCATGTGAGTGCATGGTTGTGTGCATGTGCGTGCGTGGTTGTGTGCATGTGCGCGCATTGTTGTGTGCATGTGCGTGCGTGGTTGTGTGCATGTGCGTGCATGGTGGTGTGCATGTGCGTGCATGGTTGTGTGCATGTTCGTGCGTGGTTGTGTGCATGTGCGTGCATGGTTGTGTGCATGTGCGTGCATGGTTGTGTGCATGTGCGTGCATGGTTGTGTGCATGTGCGTGCATGGTTGTGTGCATGTGCGTGCATGGTTGTGTGCATGTGCGTGCGTGGTTGTGTGCATGTGCGTGCGTGGTTGTGTGCATGTGCGTGTGTGGTTGTGTGCATGTGCGTGCGTGGTTGTGTGCATGTGCGTGCGTGGTTGTGTGCATGTGCGTGCGTGGTTGTGTGCATGTGCGTGCGTGGTTGTGTGCATGTGCGTGCATGGTGGTGTGCATGTGCGTGCATGGTTGTGTGCATGTTCGTGCGTGGTTGTGTGCATGTGCGTGCATGGTTGTGTGCATGTGCGTGCATGGTTGTGTGCATGTGCGTGCATGGTTGTGTGCATGTGCGTGCATGGTTGTGTGCATGTGCGTGCATGGTTGTGTGCATGTGCATGCGTGGTTGTGTGCATGTGCGTGCGTGGTTGTGTGCATGTGCGTGCGTGGTTGTGTGCATGTGCGTGCGTGGTTGTGTGCATGTGCGTGCGTGGTTGTGTGCATGTGCGTGCGTGGTTGTGTGCATGTGCGTGCGTGGTTGTGTGCATGTGCGTGCGTGGTTGTGTGCATGTGCGTGTGTGGTTGTGTGAATGTGCGTGCCTGGTTGTGTGCATGTGCGTGCGTGGTTGTGTGCATGTGCGTGCGTGGTTGTGTGCATGTGCGTGCGTGGTTGTGTGCATGTGCGTGCGTGGTTGTGTGCATGTGCGTGCGTGGTTGTGTGCATGTGCGTGCGTGGTTGTGTGCATGTGCGTGCGTGGTTGTGTGCATGTGCGTGCGTGGTTGTGTGCATGTGCGTGTGTGGTTGTGTGAATGTGCGTGCGTGGTTGTGTGCATGTGCGTGTGTGGTTGTGTACATGTGCGTGCATGGTTGTGTGCATGTGCGCGTGTGGCCACCCCCCACAGCTCTACGTGCTCTACACAGCGCTGTGCCCTCTCCTAGGGCTGCTATGGTGGATCGGCGTTTCTCAAGCACAAGTGAGGGCGTGGGTACAGCGACAGGGCTGTGCTGTGAGGGAGTGGGTGCAGCGGCAGCGATCAGCTTTGGGGGCCAAGCTGATGAATCTGAGGAGAGCAGCTGCGTCTCGCATGGTATGCCAGATGTTTCATGGTAGCTGATAAACCCATGCCATGGGTGATGCGGCTCATGCCATGACTCGTTTATCTCGTTCATCGTGCCATAAGCTGCACCTTTGTTGCTTTATGTTCAATAACTTTGTATCAGTCTCTGGTTTCATCCTCTTGCCATGAGTGTGTGTCGCTCATCCCGATGCATTGTATTCAAGAAGGTCCGTCCAACATCCGTTCGCTGGACTCAGCACCCTAAACACCTCCTTCAAACCAACCACCTCCTCTGTCCACTCAGTCTTCCCACGCCGCTTCAGTTGCACCCCATCTCAATCCCTCTCCCTTCTCCCTCATGCCGACTCCCCGTCGTCTCTCTCTCCCCTCCATGCCACAGACACTTGGAATCTTCCCCCGACTCCACAATGCCATGTGAGAATGATTGAACTGCCTTGCCAGCTGCGCTGCATGCTGTGTGCTGCCTTCCGGGCTGTGTCTCGTCCCTTGTATCACGTATCGTATCTTTTCATGTTCTTGTATGCGCCTGCCCTTTTTTCCCTTCTCATCTCACATTTTCTTGCTTGCACATCTCAGTCCGTCTGTTTCCGTTTGCTAGCTGCGTTGGATTATGTTTGCTCTGTGCTGCTTTCCTTTCTGCCTTTCTTTCTGCGTGTACCATCTACCATATCTCTTCGCCGTCGTCTTGTACGCTCCTGCGCTCTTTCCCCTTCTCGTCTCACATTTGCTTGCAAATCTCGATTTTCTTTCTTCATCACTTTCCATTCTGCTGTGCTGTCGCGTGCAGTGACGTGAAGTGAGGATTTTTTGAGACGTGAAGTGAGGGTGTTTTTGAGACGTGAAGTGAGGGTGTTTTTGAGACGTGAAGTGAGGGTGTTTTTGAGACGTCTCAAAAACACCCTCACTTCACGGTGCTTGCAAATCTCGATTTTTATTTTTCATCTCTTTCCATTCTGATGTGCTGTCGCGTGCAGTGAGCTGTGTGTTGCGCGGATGAGAAGCGTGAGAGAAGCTCTTGTTGGAATTCTCAAGCCAATGTTTGGAGCAGCCATGCTGAGGCAAGCATTGGAGAGGAGAATAGGGTCTCTTGATATGCAGCAGGCAGCGACAAGGAGAGAGGAAGCTGAGAGGGAAAGAGCCATGGAATGGAGTGAGCTGAGAAGGTTACTGGATGAAATAAGAGATGGAGAGAGAGTAATGATTGCTGAGGTGGTTAGGGAGAGGGACGAGCGGGAGAAGGTGAGAAGAGAGATGCATGAGTTGAGGGAGCGACTGGAAGAGGCAATGGGCAGTGGTGGATTGGAGAGTTTGCTGAGGGGGCGACTGGGAGAGGCAATGGGCAGTGGTGCATTGGAGGGAGAGGAGGTGAGGGAGGGAGGGGGAGAGGCGATGGGTGGTGGTGCATTGGAGAGGGAGGAGGGTGAGAGAGGGAGGAGGAGAGGGGGTTGGATCGGGGGAAGGGGGGGAAGGTGAGGTAGTGGTAGGTGTGGAAGGGGAGGAGGATGGGAGGGATGAGAGAATGGTGGAGGAGAGGAAAGAGGAGAGCAGAAGGGCAGAGATGAAGAGGGTGGAGAGGAGGAAGGAGGAGAAGAGGGAGGAGAGGAGAGAGGAGAGAAGAGAGGAGAAGAGGAGGATGGAGCGGAAGGAGAAATGGAAGGAGAGGTGGGAAGAAAAGGAGGAGGAAAGGAGGAGAAGGAGATTTCCTGGAGGATAGAGGACAGGCAGGTAAATTGGCAGTTGACTGTTAGGTGTCATGGCAAAGAGTCATGGCCAGGATTTTAGTGACGTGGTAGTAGCTTGGGCTTTAGTGGTAAACGAGTCAAGGTTGAAGACTGCACAACATGACTGTAACTTGCTTGTGAATTATGGCGAAGGATGTGGCATGCGGCAATTTATCCACCTGGTAGAGTTTGTTTTGCATCAACCCCTCACGCTGTACCTAAACACCAAGCAGTCCAAGTACCGGTAAGCACTAGGCACAACATTACAACAAGACTATTCACGTAAGAAAGGTAACCATGACAGCAAAAGCAATAGAGATCAACCTAGAACATTCAGGATGCTTGCAATAATGTTGATACCGGTACATGCTGCTCACAGAGCTCAGCGAGGGGTACGTACGTGTTTTTTATGGATGTGATGAATGGCATTCTGCTGGCTTGATGAGTTTGGTCTGGTGCTCGTGAGGAGCTTGGACGCAGCAGCACTGCTGGCGGCCCTCCCGTTGGAAGTGCTGCTGCGGCCATGCTCCTAGATAACACTACCGTATTCAGGGTGCGCCATTTGGGGTGCAGCCATTCATGTACCTGCCCCTGCTTAGAGCAAGAGACTACTGTGGTCCGCCCATACCGCCTCCCATGTTGCCCCCAGGCCCACCCATCCCTCCCCCCATCCCTCCGCCCATCCCTCCGCCCATCCCTCCGCCCATCCCTCCGCCCATCCCTCCGCCCATCCCTCCGCCCATCCCTCCACCCATCCCTCCGCCCATCCCTCCCCCCATCCCTCCGCCCATCCCTCCGCCCATCCCTCCGCCCATCCCAGGTCCACCATGGCCGGGTGCTGCCTGCGACCCTGGAGCAAACCACCCTGACCCGCCCATGCCTCTGCCGCCCATGCCTCCGCCGCCCATGCCTCCGCCGCCCATCCCTCCATCGCGAAAAAGGAAAGTCGCGATTTTTGGCCTCCAAAGGTTTTTCTGTGTAAACCTTGCATACAAGTTGCGCACAGTGTCCAAAAAACAGCGCACGAAATTTGCAACATTCTGTACACCAGTGGCGAATGCGGAAACCTGCGGAGAAATGTCACCGCAAAGTTGCTTTTCCGTCAACATTTTCGCGTCACTCGGTTTCGAGCGTTCGAGAGAGTTTGAAAGCGGTTTGGCAGGTTAACATTTACAATGACCAGGGTAACATCAAATTTTACGAAACAGAAGGACCTCACGAAATTTAGCGAGGTTGCACAAGTGGATACATCGGTTTCGTTTACTCCCAACTCCGAACCCAACCCCCCAAACCAACCCACAAACGCAAGCTGGTTTCTTCAGAGGTCTGACGTGTGAGCCAACAAATCAATTTGAACCAATCATGGTTGTGCTATGAAGAGTCAATCAATTGACACCATCCGTTATCCACACGTCAGCATACACACCCAACCATCCAAAAACGTCCACCTTCACCGTGGGAAGCTTTCTCCCATGATTCTCCCCCACGCACGTACCTCGCGAACTAAAACCAACGACCTATCTCAGACACATCTCCTTGTTCAATTTTTGTTCAACGTCCACCAGAAGCGCTCTCCTGGTACCTGCGCCAACAACTAAGTCCTCATGTTAATCTCACTATTATGCCACTTATTTACCGACGATTTCTCCGTCTCCTTCCGTGGTGAACATCTGCACGGCAGAGTTAACTTCATTGACTCATTCTGGACTTTCTCCCTTCCATTTACCCTAACATTCCCCTTTCCAGGTCGACCAGTTACAACAAGTTCGCGGATGAAACGCGTCGCGAAATATTGAAGCTTAGCAACACGTTCGGTGATGTATACGTTTTTCATGGTTTCGCCATATCTCATGTTTGCAGTCTCAAGTCATGTTACCTTCTTACGTTTGCATCTACATCTTTCATTCTGTTAGAGACTACCAGTGTGCAGCATCTCACTTGTCGCCATGCTTAACTGCCGTGGCTAGAGCGATGCAGCTGACTATCACGAACGGGTTATCACTAACCCTACCGTAGCAAGCTCAGAGACGTGAACGTCATCGCTTACCATTGCAGGAGTATAAGTTTCGACTTTCGCACATGCGTATTTTGCAGGGTGTACCTGTTATTGCAAGCTTATCGTCAACCAGTATCGCAGTATGTATATTTTCCAACATTGAAGCGTTCTACATTATTACTAACCCCAATGGTGAGTGTTGGAAACGCAATGTTGGTTTGTTGTTAACAAGTCCATGTCTGTTTTTCCAGTTGACATTTTCTTACCTTGATGAGTTTTACTTCTTTCAGAGATGCAGGTGTAGAAACCTAGCAATGCAGGATAAGTTAGGCGTTGGTGTATAATAAAATAATGTGTACAGTTTGTGTGCGCTGTGAATACTAAGTATACTGTAAAGAGAAAAAAATATTATAGTAGAACTTCTGCTAATGTTGGGTCATTTAAATGCGTCGCAAGGATTTTTCTAGAAATCGCCAGCCAATCGTTATTTGTTACTGTACACCAAATCGCAGGCTACAATTGGTCTATTTCGCAGTATCTCGTGCGTCGGACCAGATTCTAATCCGACGGTTGTCGTAGAGTACAATAATCGCCACGTCAGCGTGTCTGAGTTTCATCTAGAGTACGGCGTACGCCACGTGGCGTCGTCATGACACTTTCGCACAGGTTGCTCAAAGTTGACGGAAATGTTGCTTTACTGTATACTTGGTCAGTTGCCCCAATGTGTACAGTTAGAGACGGAAGAGTGCCTGGGAGGTTGCTTTGTAAGTGACTGTCGCCATGCAGTTCTAAAACCTTGACTTGAAAGTGCCGGGCAAAAAATATCGGGAAAGTTGCGGGCGAGTGTATTTTTAGTTGCTTTTCGCACTTCCCCTTTTCGCGATGTCCGCCGCCCATTCCACCGCCGCCCATGTCCCCCCCACGACCCATGGCTGCTTGTGATCCGGGAGCGGATGACCCAGGTCCGCCCATGCCGCCGCCCATTCCGCCGCCGCCCCTTCCGCCGCCGCCCATTCCGCCGCCACCCAAGTTCCCCCCCGGACCCATGGATGATTGTGATCCAGGAGCAGAGGACCCAGGTCCGCCAAAGCCACCGCCCATTCCGCCGCCACCCATTCCACCTTCACCCATACCGACGCCGCCCATGCCGTCGCCGCCCATTCCGCCGCCGCCCATTCCGCTGCCGCCCATTCCGCCTCCTCCCATGCCGCCGCCGCCCATGTTCCCCCCAGGACCCATGGATGATTGTGATCCAGGAGCAGAGGACCCAGGTCCGCCCATTCCCCCTCCCATTCCGCCGCCGCCGCCCATTCCGCCACCGCCCATTCCGCCGCCGCCCATTCCACCGCCGCCCATTCCGCCGCCGCCCATTCCGCTGCCCATTCCGCCGGCACCCATTCCGCCGCCGCCCATTCCGCCACCACCCATTCCGCCGCCACCCATGCTGCCGCCGCCCATTCCGCCGCCACCCATTCCGCCTCCGCCCATTCCGCCGCCGCCCATTCCGCCGCCGCCCATTTCGCCGCCACCCATGCTTCCGCCGCCCATTCCGCCGCCGTCCATTCCTCCGCCGCCTATGCCACCACCCCCCATTCCGCCGCCGCCCATACCACTTCCACTGATTCCGCTGCTCTGCTGCTGTTGCTGGCCAGTCGAGCGTCCGCCTTGCGCCCATCCGCGCATCATCCCGCGCAACTTGTCGGCGCGGAGCCCCGTGAAGAAGCGATAGGCCAATGCCGTGTGGAGAGACGAAACAAGAAGAAGCGAGAGGAGGAGAAAAGCTGTGCTCAGGTTACGACGACGATGCTGGCTGAGTGAAAACAAGAATATCTGCGTCATTGTGCTGGTTTTGTCTACGGTGCAGCTGAAGTTCCCACGCAGAAACGAATTTAGTCTTCCCAGCAGTAGGAGGTAGAGAATCAGAAGCAGTAGCTTGCAAGTATCTCAACGAACAACGAATGAAGATGATTTGCCAAATGTGTGCCTCCAAATACATTATGTAGTCCCGACGCGTCGCATTTGCTCGGACTTGACGAAGGTTTCCGCGCGTCGCGAGGACTCAGTCTGCAAGCCAATGAGTGAGCAGAGGCTTCCATCCAGTCAAACTTCAAAAGTTCGAGTCAGCCGAAAGTCGAATTTCGTTGACTACTGTGCTGTAGTCAACAGGCGACTCTTTTCCTCCCATCATACGGATTGTGAAGAAACTCGAATCCTCGATTGCATTCGATTTCCGATTGCTTTCGATTTCCGGTTACTGGAATGAAGGAATTCTACTAAACAATGTTTTTTTTTTTGTATGTGAAAATGCATTATACAACGGACAACGCAAAACACCGTCGGTCGTAACCGGAGCTAGAGGGCATAGGTAGTGTATACCGTACCCTCGCAGAGATCTACGGAGGCTTATATCGTATGCCAAACGCCTAAAAACTTCATCTTGCACGCCACAAAACCCTACCGTGCCGTGGTCACACTTCAGAAACATCTCGATACATCCCTCCTCATCCTGGTTGTGTCTTTTCAGCTTTGGTGGGTTGGCTCCTCCGAACCTGCCTTGCCTGGGCTGGTGAGGTTGGTTTGCCACAGATGCAGCCCTGGTTCGACGTTGCTGCCTAGCAGGGCGAACGCGTCTCATCAGAGTTGATGTCACTCGCGGAAGCTGCTTGAATGGTGTGACAGGAACTACCTCGACTGCCTGAGGTAAAAATGCAGCAGAAGCTGAAGCCGATATGGCTATCTTCTTAGATTTTCGACGTGGCTCATCCATGGTCGGAACGTAACGCCGTAGTTTGCGCCCTAGACATCAGACTTGAAAATCTGATTCAGAGTCCGTTCAGACTTTTTTTTTGTACCTTGTCTGAAGTCTAAGAATTTTTATATGTACCTTGTCTGATTTTTCAGAGGTTTTTTCTATGAGTTGTCTGAAATTTCAGCCTAATTTTTGAAGTGTAGGCTGAGCCCCAGACTTGTATCGGAGGTACACTCTGCGCGCTTATCGAAGCGAAGTGTCCTGGAAGTTTCTTTTCAATATGCCCACTTCCGAGATGGAAGTGGAGTGCCAGGACGTGAGCAACGCACACTTCAACAGCTGGGACATCCGAATACACTAAGCTACTTCGCGCCCGCAGATCTTCTTCCCGCGCGCTGCCCCTTTTGCCCCGAGCATCGCCCTCCCTGCTCGCGTCATGCCTCCGCAGCCGCGTCGCGCCCCGCGCACCACCCGCGTCGAGCCCGCGCAGCGCGCTCGCGGCCCGCAGCTGCCCTGCGCACCGTCCGCGCAGCCCGCTCTGCACTCTGACAGCCGATGCGGCCCCGCCCTGCCACTGACGCGGCCCCGCCCTGCCGCTGACGCGGCCCCGCCCTGCCGCGGTCGCGGCCCCGCCCTGCCGCCGACGCGGCCCCGCCAGGTCGCTGTCATGGCCCCGCCCTGCCGCTAACGCGGCAGAATGGGGTTGCTGAGCGCCGCATTGGCTTGGTCATGGAGGTCGCTCGTACCTCCATGTTCCATGCGGCTGCCCCCCATTTCCTGTGGCCGTTTGCGGTCCGCTACGCCGCGCATCAGCTCAACCTCAGGCCCCGTGTCTCCTTGCCGGAGACTTCGCCCACACTACAGTGGACGGGGGAGGTTGGCTATGCGTCGGTGTTCCGGGTCTGGGGTTCTCGTGCCTTTGTCCGCGATACCACCGCGGACAAGCTCTCCGCCCGCGCTGTTTCCTGTGTCTTCCTTGGCTTTGTCCCTGACGCGCCTGGTTGGCAGTTTTACCACCCCACCTCGCTGTCAGAACATTATAGCTTATACATTTGTGTAGGCTGTAGTGGGGTAGCCCATAAGGGGTACAACCCAATAAGGGTTAGTACTTGTACCCAACTGTTTCATAGTTCATTCATTCTCGTTTCTTCTCATGGTATCAGAGCAGGTTCCCGAGTGGGAACGCTACCTAGGGCCCACCACGATACCCTTTTTTTCCCCTGCCCGGAGCGGGGGTGGAGGTGTCGGTGGCGGCAATGGAGGCGGAGGCGGCAGCGGTGGTGGCGGTGGGAGCGGAGGTGGTGGAGGTGGCGGCGGTGGAGGAGGCGGAGGCGGAGGAGGAGGAGGAGGAGGTCGTGGCTCTTCGCAGAGGAGTGGCTCCGGTGGTGGTCCGCGCCAGCAGCAGCAGCGCAGTCGGGAGACCCTGTCCCCTCAGCAGCTCAGTGAGTGGTACGCTGCACGCCAGCGGGGTGGGGGTACTGGTCCGTGCACCTACGTCCTGCGCACCGGCGACCGTGCGGGTGAGCAGTGTGGGGGTGCGCACCCCACCCAGCGCTGCTTTGGCCGCCTGACGGACGCTTGGCGTCACCAGTTCCCTGAGGCCACTGAGATCCCTCGCTAGGGCGAGCTGTCTAGGGCAGGGGTAGCTATCTTTGACCTTGACTTCGATGTTATTCTTGCTGCTATGTATGCTGTGACTATTAGTGAGGAGGGTGTCTGTTACCGGTGTTTTCCGCCGACCCGGGCATTGAGATTGCTGCTCTAGGTGCTGGTGAGGCTGCTGCTCTTGGTGCTAGCGAGGTTGCTGCTCTAGGTGCCAGTGCGTCTGCTTCCTCAGGTGCTGGTGAGTCTGCGCTCTCAGCTACTGCGTCGGCTTCGGCCTCCCACACCTTCAGTCTAGACTCGGGGGCTTCTCGCTCCTTCTTTCGAGACCGCACCACACTCACGCCGCTTGGTCGACCAGTTGCAGTCTCTCTCGCAGACCCCTCTGAGAGTCCTGTCCTTGCTCACTTCTCCGCTGTCCTCCCGTGTCCGGCGGCCCCCTCTGGCACCCTGTCTGGTCTGTACCTCCCCTCGTTCTCTACGAACTTGGTGAGTGGTGCTGACCTACAGGATGCGGGGGTTCACCAGTTCACTCCTGCGAGTCAGCGGGTGACCCACTGCACGGACGCTCGGACAGGCCGACACCTGGCCACGTTTACACGTCGGCCGGGGTCGAGCCTGTACACACTGACCATTGCGTCTCCTCCAGTCACTGCGTCTGGTCAGGTAGCTGCGTCGGGTCAGGTGCTTGCTGCAACATCCAGGTCTGGTCCTGAGTCTGCCCCCTGCTCGTGTCGCCTCCTGTCTCACGAGACTCTCCTCTGGCACCACCGCCTTGGTCACCCCTCCCTGCTTCGTCTCCGAAGCATGGCCTCCCGTGTCCTTGTCTCTGGTCTTCCCCGGTCCCTCCCTCCCCTTCCTCCGGGGCCTGGCCCTACCTGCGTCTCCTGTGTCGAGGGGCGGCAGCAGGCTGCCCCTCACTCCTCCCAGTTTCCTCCGACAGAGGCCCCGCTGCAGACGCTTCACATGGACGTGTGGGGCCCCGCCCGCGTCCGTGGACAGGGTCACGGGCGCTACTTCCTGCTGGTGGTTGACGACTACTCGCGTTACACCACAGTCTTCCCCTTGCGCAGCAAGGGTGATGTCACTGAGGTGTTGATCGACTGGATCCGCGCAGCTTGTCTCCAGCTCAGGCGGAGCTTCGGCTGGGGGTACTGAGTCTGGGGGTGCTGCACCTGGGGGTACTGAGTCTGGGGGTGCTGCACTTGGGGGCGATGAGGCGTCTGGTGAGCAGTCTCCCTGGAGCGGCCGTCTCTGTAGTCGCTCCACTGGTGCCTCGCCGCTGCACTCTCGTCCTCGTCTCCCTCTCTCCCCACAGCAGCTGCGTGAGTGGTACGGTAGCCGTTAGGGTCGCGCTGCTGGAGCTAGGGGCCCTGCTGCGGAAGGCGCTGGAGCTGGTGAGTCTACTACTGGAGTTGTTTCTCATGGAGTTCTTGGAGCATCTGGTGTCGGAGGTGCTCGTACTGGAGGTACTGGAGGTGCTGGGTCTGGAGATCCTGCTGGACCTGGAGGTGATGCTATCGACTCTGAGGTTGGAGGCCCTGGAGCTCGAGGTACCGGTTATGGGGGTGCTCCTGTTGGTGGCGCCGGAGCTGGAGGTTCTGGAGCTACTTCGGGTGCTGGCACTGGAGGTTCTGGAGCTGTTGGAGGTGCTGGCGCTGGTGGCGCCGGAGCTGGAGGTTCAGGAGCTGCTGCGGGTGCTGGCGCTTAAGTTTCTGGAGCTGCTGCGGGTGCTGGCACTGGAGGTTCTGGAGCTGTTGGAGGTGCTGGCGCTGGTGGCGCTGGAGCTGGAGGTTCTGGAGCTGTTGCGGGTGCTGGCGCTGGAGGTTCTAGAGCTATTGGAGGCGCTGGCGCTGGTGGCGCTGGCGCTGGAGGTTCTGGAGCTGCTAGTGACGCTGGTACTAGAGGTGCTAGCGCTAAAGGTTCTGGAGCTGCTGGTGGTGCTGGCGCTCGAGGAATTGGAGCTGGTGGTACTGGAGCTGCTGGAGGTGTTGGAGCTACTGGTGGTGCTGGAGCTGCTGGTGCTGGTGACTCTGCGCAGCCACGACTGTTCTTTGCTCCGCCATCTCCGTCGTCTCTGCCATCGCCTGACTCCGTGATTCACGAGGTTCTTAGCCTCCCGCCGTCTACTAGTCTTCCGTTACAGCCTGGCTCACCACTGCCTGCTCCCTCTCCTTACACTGAACAGCCAGGAGGTCTTACTGAGCATCGTGAGCCTGCGTCTCGTCCTGTCTCGCCTGTT